CTCCTCCATGCCATGAGAACAGTATCAGCAGCAGCTACTTTGGAATTGTCCACTGGGAAGAAGATCTAACACTGCAGAAAAATTGTCCCAGAACAGATGAAAATAGGCAAAGATAGGCCAAGCAGCTAAAATGGAAGACAAACCACAAAAAACTTTCTCAAAGAAAAATGTTAGCCGGATGGAAAACCAATGACAAAGGAAAAGCGAGCCATAAACTATAAACTGGCCTTCTATAAATTGCATTGCACAAGAGACAACTGAAGACAGCTACGGGCTCCACAAACATGGCCTATCCGTGCAGATAACTCCTGTTTGCTCTTCCACGTTGCAATTTTAAAATAACTTTGTGCTTGGCATAACAGGTCCTGCGGCGAACACTCTCACCCACACCATCAAGGGGTGTTGCTTTAACACACACATACTGGCAAAGGGATCATGCAGCAAACACTGAATTTAGATGTATCATGACAAACCCACCAGCAGGCTCATTAAGCAGGCCTTAATGAGGCCACTTGAGGCTCAGCAAGCTTCAGTCCCTTGAACTGGTCCCGGAACCTGAAGCTCTCAGTACACCGCCTGACCTAGAAAGCTTTCCCTGCTCTGATGCTCACCAGGACACAAGGCAGGTGAGGGTGGGAGGAGGGGAACTGCTAAATCTTAATGGGGGCCCCAGACTCAGAGCCTCCACTGTCATCAGCAGCAACCATTCCAGCAGAAGGCAAGAATAGCTACTCCCCTCACCCTGCTGAATTACTGTTTTCTTTTCCCTCCCAATCCTTTTTCCTTGTGTGCTATGACTTTTTAAATTGCATGCTTGTGGGTAGGGACTATGCTTCTTCAGGAAACACATACCTTAAAGAGAGGTCAGTGTTCAGTTGTGAAACTGATCAGAATAGCCAGTGGCCAGAGGGCTAGCACAGCCTGGTGGCTTCTGAAGCCCCCTGGCCAAGGCACTGCGCTGCCATGGGCAAACAGTTCTCTCTAGACTTGGTTGCCACAATCATGCGATGGGGATAAGCATGACTGTTTTGGGGTAGTGAAGGGAAGGACAGCAGGATAAAATAAAAGCAATACATCAACTCCTGTGTTTCTGCCAAATAAAGCCCTGGGAAGGCAGAAGTTAAGGTGTGTCCCAGAGCAATCAAGCCCAACCGTGTGCGCCCAGTGGCTTCTGCGTGCGCCATTAACTTAGCGGAAGAGCAAAGTCCAGGGCCCACATGCCCTACCCTGGCGATGCACTGGGTACAACTCAGCGATGTGCAGCAACAGGTCAGTCCTCTCCTGAAGGGACACTCCACTGAAGAGCCTTCCAGAGAGGAAGCCTCAGGGTTCACAGAGTGCATGGAGAGAATGCAGGCCTGCCCTGTCTTTTCAGTTGACTGGAACCTGGGGACAATTGTGCTGCTCCTCAGCTGGGAAATGTGTTCATCGCAAGCAATGAGGCCTTCTTCGCACCACTCTTGACAACCCGGACAGGGACTGGGTGCAAGAAAGCATTTCCGAAACACCCAAAGGAATTGGAAAAGGCTTCTCCAGTGCATGCCCAGGGCCAGTTCAGCACATGGAAGCCAAGCCAGTTCCTTTCTCGCTCCCATCATTGCGTGCTCACAGTTGCGAAAGACCTTTGTGTGCCAGGAGGGCAGAGGCAGCTGCGAGGAGCAGCACATGCAGGGGATTCGAGCAACCCTGGCCTTTGCTGCTGTTTTAATGGATGTAACTCCCACTCATTTGAGAGGGGCTTCATAATAAGGCAAGGTGTGGAGAAAGCGGAGAATGAGGCATTTTTCACCTTCTCCCTCCACACCAGAACCAGAACCCATAAAGCATCTCCCTCCACACCAGAACCCGTAAAGCTGATTAGTGAGATGCAGGACAGGTAAGAGGAAGTCCGTCATACAAGTCACAGCTAAGCCACGGCAGTCGCTGCCACGAGAAGTGGCGATGGCCTCCAATCTGGATGGCTCTGAAGAGGGAGCGGGACAAATTCATGCAAAAACATCACTGGCTGCTACCCTTGCTGGCTATGCACCTCCTCCATCATCGGAGGCAGCAAGCCTTCAGACACCAGTTGATGAGGCACTTGGGCTGGTGGGGATCTCGCACGCATCCTGTGGACAGCTGGTCTGCCACCATGTGCATGGGGTGCCGGACTGCATGGACTATGGATCCGATCCAGCATGGCTCTTCCGATGTTCATATGCAGCCTCAACATGTGCTTTTTCGAGTCCAGTGCTTTTGCCCAAAATTTTGGAGGGAGCCAAGTGGACCTGCAGCAGAGACATGCGCAGGCAGGGGACACCAGTCACCCCAGAATGAAGCCCACTTTCATTACAGATAGCCCAATAAAAATGGACCTCCAAGTTTCTGGCCCCCATCTCTCATTCCACTGGTTTTGACGAGAAAAACCTCCCCTCCTTGAGGAGAAACTTGAGAAGATCGTCCATGTAAGTGGAACAATGAACCTCTGCCCTGGGAAAGAAGGCAATATGGCAGATCACAGAACCATAGAATAGTTGGAAGGGGGCAAGAAGACCATCAGGTCCAACCCTTTGCTGTTGCACCATCCCACTCAGTGTTGCCTTGAATGCCTCCAGTGTGGGAGAGCCCCCCACCTCTCTAGGCAAAGGTTCCACTGTTGTATTGCTCTAACAGTGAGGAAGCTTTCCCTGATATCTAGCCCGAGCCTGGGTATCTAGCTTGATACCTAGGTCATCAACTTGAGTTGATTATTCTGTGTCCTACACTCTGGTATCAGCGAGAAGAGATCTTGGCCTTCCTCTTTGTGACAGCCTTGGAGGTACTTATGGAGGGATATCCTGTCCCCCCTCAGTCTTCTCTTCTCAAGGCTGAACATGCCCAGAGTCTCTCCCCATAGGGCAGTTTCCAAACCCTGGATCATATTTGCTGCCCTCCTCTGAACCCTTTCTAATTTTTCTGCATCTTTCTTAAATCTTGGTGCCCTTCTGGATGTCCCTTCTGCACCCCACCTTCAAGAACACCAGTCACTGTAGAGCAACTGCAAGTGATGTCCCCATTGATCTCCTCGGACCACAGAACTAGAACTGCCCCTTGTTTGTATTCTGCTCTTGCTTGTGGGAGCTACTTTTCTGCTTGCAGAGCGAAGTATGGTTCAGGGTGGCCAGGGCTGGAGTAAGCACAACCCCTTCCTCTCTTACTTGCCAATTACAGTCCAGCTCCCTGCCTAGAAAAATCACATCCACCTAGAGGCAGTGAAGCACAGTTGCAACACTGTCCTGAGCCCCCTGCCCGCACCAGGGACAATTGTCAAGGACAAAGTCCCTGTGACTGCCTCAGTCCAGCCAGCGTGTTCTCACATGCTCCACCCCCTGGGCATTGAGCCCACCAAGGGTCACTTGGTGCAGCCAGGAGGCGGACCAAGCAAGGGACTCTAGCCAAAAGCCCCTTTCCAGGCCAGAATGGGGCTGCCCTGCAGCAAACGCCACCAAGCCCCACCCATTTAGGGAGCATGCAGTACATCTTCCACCACAGCTTTCTAGAACTCTAGAACAGTTTGTGCTCGAGAGTGGCCTTTCCCTCTGCAAGGGTGCGGACCCGATTGTGTGGGTCCGCCCCCAGAGCCGGATGGATCCGGATGGATTCCTGAAGGCCCTGGGGGAGTTTCTGGTTGACAAGACTGGTGCTCCTGTCGAGGCTCTGGTCGAACTATGGAATGGGGAAATGACCAGGGCTATTGACACGATCGCTCCCAAGCATCCTCTCCTGCCGGGCTGCCCACTCTTCCCCTTGGTATACACCTGAATTGCAGGCGATGAAGCGGGTTGGGAGACGTCTAGAGCATAGGTGGAGGAAATCACGGGATGAATCTGACCAAACGCACTTAAGAGCCCATTATCGGGCCTATACTGCGGCAGTGAGGGCGGCGAAAAAGAAATTCTTCTCCGTTTCCATTGCATCCTCACAATGCCGTCCGGCAGAGCTTTTTCGGGTGGTACAAGGGCTGGTTCATCCTGGCCCTAAGAAAGATCTGGTACCACCCTCGAAGGCCCGCTGTGACGACTTTGCCCAGCATTTTAGGGTGAAAACTGCTCAGATTCTTCACGAGCTGGACTCCACTAGTGACCCAGAGGCTTCTGGGGAGATACCAATGTCGCCATCTGGTCCAAAACTGATGGATGAGTTTCAGTTACTGTGGCCTGATGATGTGGACAAGGTGCTTGGATGAGTATGTCCCACCACTTGCCTATTGGACCCTTGCCCATTTTGGCTAATTAACACCAAGCACGGGACAGGGACCTGGATCTTGGAAGTGGTTAACGCCTCTCTGAGGGATGGCCAGGTACCTGCCCCTTTAAAGGAGGCGGTAGTCCGACTTGTCCTGAAGGAGGCATCACTGGATCCAGAGATGGCCACTAATTATAGACCAGTGGCCAACATCCCGTTTCTGGGCAAGGTGTTGGAGCGGGTGGTGGTGGGACAACTCCAAGCACTCTTGGATGAAACTGATTATCTGGACCCATTTCAGTACAGCTACAGACCCGGGTACGGTGCTGAATCTGCCTTGGTCGTCCTGTCCGATGACCTGTGTAGGGAGAAAGATGGGAAGTGCGTCCCTGTTGGTTCTCCTGGACACGTTTGCCCTCAGAAAGCAGCCTGCACAAATACAACTGGTACCTCAGCAGGGAGTGACCGTGAGGGCACTAATGGCAACATACAATGCCACCTCCAGCCCCCATACTTTTAAAGGGGACACGCTGGCTGCAGGTTTGAAACTAGTCAGTGGGTTTCCCTTGCAAGGGAACCTTGTCACTTTGTCCAGGAAATCAAGTCAGTGTGGTGTCACTTCTTGTCACAGTTGGAGGGACACATCTTCCACCCCTTAAGTAAGGGGAGAAAGTGTGAGGGGAAGAAATGGAACAGGTTGCTCCACATGCTTTCCATTGGAAAGCTATCCCTCTGCAGCAGGTGCATTCAGTCAAGAGCTCTAACTACTTAGGAGAAACAGATAAAGGAGTCACATACAATGGAAGCAAGTATACTGTGTTTTGATTTCAGCAATATCACAAAAGTCTCACTGCTTTCAAACCAAGAGCCAAGGTCCTTTAAGTCACAAGCTGAAACTTTGCACCCTCCTGAGAAGGACTCTCCAGTCCTCTACACCTCCATCCAGTCCCTTCAGGAAGACCCCCCAGGTGGAAAAATAATCTTCACGGATAAGTAAGACAGCCCGCTAGGCCTTGACTTCAGGTCAACCAGTAGCAGAAAGCCATTCTCTGTAAGACAACCCCAACCAGGACTAGAGATACTTGTAAACCACCTTTGTAGGGACTGTCTGCACCTCCATCTTAACAGGACACTTGTACAGGAAAGAAAGCAGTGTCTCTGTGTACCCAATCAGGAAATAGAACTTTGAAGGGGACAGCCTCTGCACAAAAATGGCACAGATGATCAAAACGTTTGCACGGCGCTTCAGAACAATCTCATTTGCCAAACAGCCATGGAAGGTGCCATAAATGAACTTCCGGATGAAGAGGTCCTCCACAGTGCGCTCAGCTGCTCCATCCTCACCATGCAGGTTACCTGCAAGGTGGGCAGACAGTAAGACACAAAGCAGAATGGTGGGGGGTGGAAAGTAATTTCTGGTTGCTTTCTGATCAGAGAGGTTGCCAGAGAAATGCCAGAAGGCAGTAGGTCTGCAGAGAGCAGCCAGAGTGGGCTATGCTACTCTGCATTCAGGGCACAGCACAGCTGTGGCTATTTTCGTTCAGCCACAACTTTTGCCAGGCAGCGGCAGAGAATGAGGTGGCCAGAAGGAGTCACTGAAGCAGTCGGCATGAGCTTAAGTGGACTCCAGGGGATGGTGGAGGACAGGAAGGCCTGGATAAATGTTGTCCATGGGGTCGCGATGAGTCGGACACGACTTCACGACTAGCAATAACAAAATGAAAGCTGCAGCTCAGCTGAAACTACACTGGAGCAGCTCAGACCACAGCCTCGGGGGAATGGGAACTCAAATCCTCATCAGAAGACTCTGGAAGTCTTGAGTTGAATTGCAAGGCTTGGAAACACCTTAAGCATTAAGGAAATAATAGCATCTCCTTAAATATTAAGGAAACTTCCATGTGAGAAAAACTGGGCTCCCCTCAAGAGAAAAGCAACGTGGAAGGACATCCCTCTCACCAGCCCACTACGTTCCTGTCCCCATGGACAAAAGCTACCTCAGGCCCAGGCAAGAAATCTTGCCGGTGCAAGGCAGGGACCGCCTCGGCTTGGGGCCCTCCTCCGGGGAGAAACGCCTGCTTTAAGCCTGAGAGCTGCCAGTGAGGGCACTCACTCACTTGTGTGCTGCGAAAGCCAGCCCTTTCGGTGAGCAATGTAGTGGGGTGGATGGGCTTCCTCATACGTGACGGGCTTGTCCCCTTTCCCGACGCGAACCCGAGCGGCTTTGTTCTGCGGGAGGCACGGAGGGGGGGATCGTCACAAGGTGGGCGCGTTAGGAGGCCCGCGGCGGCGGCCGCGCGCGACCTGACCTGGGCCGGGTGGCCCGCCCCGAGCCCGCCTCTGCGCGCCCCGCCTCTCACCTTGGAACAGGCGCTGCTGGTCTGGAAATCCCGCCGCGCGGAGAGCAGCCAGACGGCGCCGCCGCGCTTCCCGGCGAAGGCCTGCAAGGGAAACGCCATTAGGGGCCGCTGCCGCGGGGCCGCCTGCAGCGGAGGGCTCAGCCGAGGCCGGCCGGCGTCCCTCCTGCCGCCGCCCGCTGCCTTGGGCCCGCCCGCGCCGCGCAGCTCGGCCAGGCCGGAAAGCGCTCACCTGCAGGCCCCGCCGGGCCTCCGGCCACCAGGGCGCCGCCATCTCGGTGCACGGGCGCCGGCAGGCGGGCCTAAGCGGCACTTCCGGGGCGGGGCTGAGCGGCTGGCCCCGCCCCGGCCTCCTCGGGGGAGGGGCGCCCGCCTGGGCTCCTGCTGGCAGATTCACGCAAGCGGCTGGCGGTGGAGGCGGTCGCTCTCGGGCCCGCGCTCCGCTTGCCGGCCGGGGTCACGGCGCAGGCGTCTGCCGGGCCCTGCTCCTCGGCCTCGCCTTACACCTTTCCGGAGCCGCAGTCTCCTAGTCCTCCGGTCATTCCGGGGCTTTTGCTGTCCGCAGCGTGCTCCTCAAAATCCCCTTTTCACCCGTATTGCCTGCCCGCATTTCGCGCACGCCTTTCTTTGTTTGTCTGGGCGAGGCATCCGTCCTCTGAATCCATCCTTTTCTCTAAAACTTCCCTTGACATTGTTCCTGCCGGTGACCGCTCCGGTTCTCTGCAAGGCTTCCCACCCCTCATGTGCATTGTAGCTGACTGTTCTGCAGGGACCCTGGAAAAAGTTGACCTCTTGACCTTTCTTATTTTGCAGGCATTTCTGCATTTGAAATCAAGTAAGATTGTCTTAGTGTCTCAACTTGCTTATAGATTAGAGAGCATTGTGCTCCAAACATTTCAACAACACTCATCTTTTTGTCGTGGATGAAACGCATCCCTGGCCTCTGTGCTGGTAACAAGCCCCCCCATGGTGCCCCCATGGTGCAAGGCTTCCTCCCTCAGATGCTCCCTCAAATTCTCCGCTTGGCCAGGTGTTGGCTCCCAGAACAATCTGGTGGTGGAGTCTGTGCTGCTCAAGATTTCCAGACTGCTCAACACTAAGCCCTCTTGGATGTCACCAGCCCAACACATTCTTGTGGAGTTTGTATTCAGCAGTGGCCATATCCCAGCAGTTCCCCAAGCTTTCCATTATGCCCGCTGTATCTGTGCTCTAAAACCACCCCCTCGACTCTTCTCCTTTCCTCAGAGCAGCCGGGTGAGTGCTAAGGAAGCTGTGGCAAAAAGCTCTGAGAGAATTGGGTGTTGCTGCCTCCATTCCCTGCTCCGACCCAGAAGAACTTTTGCACTTCTCACTGGCTGACAAGCTGACCCTTTCCCCACCCCACCAAGGAAGCCACTGGTGTTTGTTTCCCGATTTGCTGTACTTCTAGCCCATTTTGTCCACAGAACTGAAGGCACACGTGGTGCCCAGGCAGCCCTGTGCCCAGTCTGGGCGAGGCGGCCACAGCCCGTGTTTCTGGCTGTTGCCCTGTGCCAGCTTCAGGCCCATGCAGAGCATCTCCAGGGCAAGAGAAGCCCGGGCCTTGCTTGTGGTGCACCTGCAGCTCGTTGGGGCAAGTGAGTGCAGGGCCGCATGTTCTGCGGTTGTGTACACAGCAGCTCTTCAGCTGCACAGGTTTGTCTGGGGCAGCACCAGCTTTGCTGAGCAAAGTTTCTGTGTTCTAGAAGCTTGCAGTTGGAAACTAAATTCATACTATGCTTAAGAGATACCACATATCTGTAGAGAAGACTCAGTGCTCTCAGCTATTATTTTATTTATTAGATTTATATCCTGCCCTTTCTCTTTTTTAAGTCACTCAAAGCGGCTCACAACATTCTCCTCCTCCTGCTCCCCATCTTACTCAGGCTGGTGGAAAGTGCGCCAGCACAGCCATGCCCCCCTCCCATCCCCTGGCCCTTCACTTCAGCTGACCCACGGACACTGGGGCACAGAACAGAGCCCAGCTCTGCTGCCGTGGCCCCCTTCCTCTCTGAGTCCGACGACACCAATTCCTGCCCAAGCGCTTAGTCCTGTTGGTGTGGAGGGATTTTGAAGTGCCACCTCTGCTTGGGAAGCTGCTGCCCAGCTCCTCAAGATTCCCCCTGCTTGGGTCTCTCTTGATCCTGGCACTGGCCACATCCTGCCCTTAGACTCTCTCCGTCTTCAAAAGCAGAGCTGTTGGTAAAGGTCAGGCTGCTCTCTTTCTGCTGCTGTGGCTGCTGCTTTGTCTGTGCTTGCACCCTGGACAGGCTGACGTCAGGCCCTGGGGACAAGAAGGTACTGGTTAGGGCTGGGCACTGGAAGTAAGCCTGCCTGCCCACTAATGGAAGCCTCCCTTGGGAGGACAGTTGCTGTCCAACTGCAAGTGCATCGCAATGACAGCACTGTGGACATGGTCATCTATTTAAAGCTCTCTGGGCAGTTCACAACAGCACACTGAAAATACAATTAAAATGCGTAATTTAAAAACATTCGCTGTTGCTGTGTTTCTTTACTGCATGTTTGGGGACAGAAGTTGGGTTAGGTTTGTTTTCAGTCTGTTTCAAGTCAAGGTGGCATCACATGTCAGACAGGTCAGCCTTACAAGTACTGCCTTCATTTCTTGAAAAGAGAAGCGGTGCCTTCCTGCCCTGTGTGCCTCTGTGGGAGAGAGGACAGGGCTGGATGTGCCCTGAGGGGCGAAGCAGAGCTGGTGTTGCACAGAAGAAGCAAAAAGCATGGCACATCCTGTGCTGCCAGGCCAGGTGGGCAGGTGAGAAGGGACCTGCTGCAGCAGGAGTGGCTCAAGCTAGTTTCCCTGCCCAGGTTTCTTCAGGAAATGAGTGCCCCTCCTGCCTCCAGGACGGGTGGCTTCCCCGGCCCAGTGCGCCCTCCGACAGCACGATGTTTTCATCCTGCATGGGGCGGAGATCAGGGGAGCGCACGCATCCAATACGGATTAACTGACGGCAAGCTTACCAAATACGCTGAGGATAGCCGGGAGGAAAACCAGGCCGTGCAGCGTCCCGAGGAGTGTGATGATGAGATTGAGGCGGAAGAAGAAGATCTGGATCAGCTGGGCCTTGGCAAAAGCCAGGACCACGATGCCGGGCAGGTTGGTCATGGTCACACCAGCAAACACCTGAAGGATGTAATAGGAAGAACCAGCATGGCCGAGATTAGTGGCGTGCGGGTGGGCACAGCTGGCTCGCAGGTCAGGGGAAACCTCTCTGGCTCTTCCAGTGTGATGCTCAGCTGCCCCTCAGCTGGATGCAAACAACCCCCAGGAGTGGAACCAGGGAAGGATGCAAAAAGGAGAACTGAGCTGATCTCATAGCAAATCAGCCTGTGGGAGAACGCCCCGCCTTCCCACCATGGCAACGCGGCCGCTGTAAGGCAAGAGCAAGGCTGGCCTCGGGAGCAGCGAGGCTGTCAGGATAATGTGGCCGGTTATGGCTGTGGAGCCGCAAGACCTGGGTCCGCTGCCAGGATGAAAGGCTGCGCTAGAGGCCTGGGCGCCCATCCTCCCAGCTGCTTGTTGGACAGAGCAGCCCGGTCCCAGAGCCCCAGCCGGGCTGGCTCTCCCTTCCCTTTCGGATCCCCAAAGCCCAGCCTGAAGCAAAATGCCAACATGCCCTGCCCCACGGCCTGCCCGGGCTGTGCCACACTCACCGCGCTCCCCATGTTGACGGTGGCTTCTCTGGCCCTTTCCAGTTTGCTGGGCCTGGTGCTGACAGCGAAGGAGCGGGTAATATGGGACACGAACTCCACTGAGATGCCCACCGCCTAGCAGGAAATGGGTCAGTCAACAAAGGCGATGCTCATCCCTCTCGGAGGTTATCGGCCATCTCTGCATCCATCCCTGTTACAGCAAGTGCCAGCGCTGCTGCGTGGCCACCCCACGTGCCCTGGCCATTGGCTGCCTTGTCCCAGCCACAACTGCACCAGTCATCAATTCGCAAAAGAGTCTGAGAAAGGGGAGGGAGTGTGCAGCAGGCACAGCTTTGCAGAAGGGGAGGAAAGCCCCCTCCTCCAGGGCCAACAAGCGTGGTAACAGCACTTCTCTAGAATTCTGCTCCCTGCTCTCTCTCTCTCTCCCCCGCTTTAAATGCAGTTTGTGGCCGTCACTGGGCACATGTGTTCGAAAGCGGTCGTGGCATACGCCTGCTTCCCTGGATCTTGGCACGCTCCACACTCCACACCACTGCTGCCCTGCAGCACCTCATCTTTCCAGTATTTCTATCCTGCATGTCTCTGAGCGTGAGGTGGAAAGAAAATCCCTAGCAAGCAATCCTGCCTCTATGCATGGAAAGCAAATATGTGGAAATGGTCTTGAATAAATTGTGTGTTTGAATATATAATGTAATTTCTTATTTATACAAATATGCCTAAATACATAACTTATTGCTGAGTTTGCAAATACTGGTGAATGAGAGAATTTCCTTCCACATGCCTAATCAAACAGAATCCTCAGCCCAGCTGAGCTGTGGACCAGGAATTACACGGGACTGATTCCCCAGCTGGAGCTCTGGGGACCCTCACCCCACCCGGGCACAGTCTGAAGCTGCTGCAATGCCCTCCGGCCCCTTGAAGCTCCGAGGAATTCCCCCCAGGCCCCAGACTCCAGGCCTGGCTTACGGTCACCAGGTTGATGAGCGAGACGGCGTTGTAGGAGATCCCCCACAGCGTCATAGCTCCCAGCGTGTCCACCACAATCATGATAATGGTGAGCAGGTTGATGAGGCCCGAGCGCAGGTCCATGCCCAGCAGGATGAAGCACACCAGGAAGGTGGGTACCAGGCAGATGGTCAAGCTGATGAAGCCAGCCATGGCGATGGTCAGGTACTGCTCGTAGAACACGTAGGTGATCCTGCGGAGAGGGCGCAGCAACCGATGGCTGGGAGTGAAGGCCCACACCTCGCTCCCACCTCCACTGTCCTCCAGTGATGCTCTGGATTCCCAGGAGACCTGCTGGCCCGGAGGACCAGCAAAATGGTGGCACAGTGCTCCACCAACAAAGGTCCCTCGGGAGCTTCTCCTCATTTCCATGGCCACTTGCTTTTTCACCTGCCTTTCCTTCTAGTCCAGGCAACTGCACTGGCGTGAGAGGGAACAAGAGGAATTCCTATCTCCCTGTTCACCGGTTCCCTGCTTGGCAAGCAGGCAGACAAATCAAGACGGGGAAGCAAAGGACAACAAGTAGCAGTTGGCCATAACACCAGTGAAAAAGGAGGGTACTTACTCAGGGAGCCTCACTCCAGGGCCCTCCACAATCCAGAGTCAGTTCTGGTTTTGTGCACAGTTTAATAGCACATAGAAGTTTCCCCTCTAGCATGGTTTTGTGGCATGGGAAGGTCCTGCCCTCTCGTATTTCTCCTGTCTTTGTGAGTGTATGGCATTCTCTTATTTGTGGCCAGAAAGTGAGGTTTACGGTGGTGTTCTTAAGAAAAAGGAACCAGTTTACTTTGCTCTGCTCCGTGTGGACCTCTGAAAAGGTTCTGGTGGGGCAGGGAAACTCCACCCCTGGCTTCATGCCAAAGAGAAGTTATTCTGGCTCAGCAGCCTCTTAAGGATTTCCTGTGTCGATATCAACACTGGGGAACCCACCCTGGCTCCTGCTGCTTTCTTACGTGTATGGGAAGACCCGGAAGCTGGGGTCGGTGCCAGGCACTTGCCGCATGCTCTCCGTGATGCTGGCTGCAAGCTCCCGTGCAGCCTTCAGCGCTGCTGTGTACTCCTGCGAGTTCTTCAGGGGCGTGTGGTAGGCCATGAACCGGGAAGCTATTGAGGCAAGAGGGTGTGATGGGCTGTGTCCAACTGCCTAGCAGGACACTGAGTGGGCATTGGCCCATCACTCCAGCCCATTTGCATCTGCTCCAGCCACTGCCATTCCACCTGGAGGACCCCCACATATCAAGCGACCCTCCCCCGCCACCCATGGACCCCTCCCCTGTGCTGGCTGCAAGAGACAACTGGCTGTGGACTGGGGAAGCCACCCTGCCAGTCTGTTCCCACCAGGAGGTACCCCAGCTCCACTCACCTGAGATCTGCCCGTCGGGAGCCAGCCGCACAGAGCTGTCATAGGCACCAAGGCCCCTGCACAGAGAGAAGGCAAGGAGAGTCTGCAGCGCCGAGCAACTTGGGCACACAACGGGCCTGGCAGAAATCTCTCCCAGCACGAGCCAAGCCAGCTTCGAATGAGAACGACTTGGGTGTGCGCCTGCCCAGAGTGGAGCTGGCCACGCTTGCAGCCCCCCACTGAGGGCAGGCCTCTATGTGGCTGCAGATGCGGCAGCACGAGCCAGTGACCGGGGAGGGGTTAAAAGAATTGCTGCCCAGCACTGGCGACTGGCCTGCTCATGTTGCTGCAGAGAGCGCACGACGAGCCCTCCGAGCCAGCATCCCAGCATGCGGAGGCTCCTGGTCCCCGCCCCGGGAGCAGAGGGCGGCTGCGTCCAGGTCAAGAAGAGAGGGGCTGCAGCTTCCATCCTTGGGGAAAACCTTCTTTTCCCAAGGATACAAGCTCACAGGCTTCACAGACTCGCCCATCTAGGCTTGTCGGAGCCAAACTGCCCTACTCACTGGACTGTTAATCTTTCGCAAAATGCTTGGTGGCGTGTGCTGCTGGATTTCAGGGCGCACCAGGCTTCCTGTCCAGCTGCACACGGTATCCACCATCACCACCTGGTGGCAGCACCCGTGCCTGCAGCGCCCACTCACCCTTTGGGGCACTTCAGGTTGGGCTTGTCGTGGAGAAACCAGGGCAGGTATTTGTTGAATTGTTGGACGTCCGGCCGGAGCGTCCCGCTTGTGAGGGGCATGCATCTCTTCAAGGAGCAGAGAAGGGAAGCTGCCCGGGCAGAGCAAGAAGCATGAGCAAAGCACCCCTTTGCAACCCCACAGGCCCCGGCCAGTGCTCAGCAGGAGCACAGTCCAGGCCCCTGCAGCTCCGCCCCAGCCCCAGCCCATTTCCTGGGCTGCGCTTTTCCCTGCCCAGGCTTGGCACACGCAGGTGCATCCCCCTCCTGGCACGCAGTTACTCACGGCTGGTGGAGGGACAGAACTGGCCCTGCTGCGGGCCAAAGGGGTGCATGCGGCAGCAGCTGGAAAAGGGGCTCAGCCAGTCGATGAAGTCATCCACCCAGGAGTTGGAGGGGATGGCCAGGAAGGACCTGGAAAGGCAAGGAGAAGCCGAGGTCAGCCCCATGAGTCCACCACCCCTTCAAAGAGGTCTCGCTGGGGCTTTGGGCAGCGATGTCTTTCAATGAGGTGCACAAGGCGGTGAGCCTCTCCTTGGCCCGTGTGCTGTGCTGGGAGCCACGACGAGTGCAGCACGGAGTCCAGGCTCCCGCAGAGGCTGCCTGGAAGGTCTCTTGGTGCAGAGCGGAACTGCTGCCACTGCTGGAGCACCCCATCCCTGCCGGTCTCGGGTCAGCCTGAGGCCCCTTCGAGGGCACTGAGCAGCAGAGCCAAGCTGCACGGATGGCCCCTGCCTGGTGGGACTAGGCCCTGCTTGGCGACCCAGCTTCTCTGCAGGCTCTGCAGTGGAGGGGGGGTGCCGAGGGAGCTGCCCCACACAGCCACGATCTGCCCCTTGTGGGCTGCCAGGGCATCTTGAAAGGGTGGCGGAGGGCACACACCCAGCTTTGCTGCCCTTTCCTTGTGGGTTCCGAGTTGCTCCCTGTGGCTTTGACCATCAGAGGAAGGGTTGCCAGGTGCGTTCATCCCATTGTTGAACCAGTGATGGACAGAAAGTAGGTCTGCAGCTGCTCTGGACTTCGGCCCAAACATCTGGGACCACTGGCCGTGCTGCTGCAGTTCTGGGAGCCGGAGTCCAAACAGCCGTGAACCAGCCTCTTGCATGCCGCGCTGCCTGGCAGGGCAGGGAAGAGCTGCGGCTGGTCTGCAGGCTTCGAGACGTGCACCCCAGACAAAAAGGGAGGGAGTGGCAGCCCCTTGGTCCTTGAGGAGGAAGCCGAAAGCTTTTGCTGCAGGGCAGCTTCACAGGCTGGTTGGGTGACTTACTCCTTCGGGAACTTTGTGGCATGCTGGATCTTCTGCGTCATGGAGTCATTATTGCAACCCGAGCTGGAGCAGACACCGTTCATTCCAGGCACTGTAGAGAAGTTGTAGCCCCCGGTGGTGACAAAGAAGGTTGGGGCGCCCACCATGAAATATTGGTTCAGGTACTGGAAGTACTGCAGCAAGTAGGAGTCCTGGAATGGCAGGGGAGGCAGCATGACCACCGCCCTCGGTGCCTGAACCGCCCTTTGCCTCTGGGACACTGGAGGGCAGCCCCACAGATAAGCTGCATCCCCCTCTCCCTCCACTGCACTGCACTGCACTGCCCTGCTCAGCTGAATGCCGTTCATTCCTCCACTGGCCACTCTGCTGAGCCTTTCCCTCGGCCTGCCGTGAGAGGGGCCGGAAGGGCTTTGTGCTCCCAGTGCCTCATTCATGCCAAGGCCAGAGTGGTACGGTGGTGATGAGCACCAGGATGGGACTCTGTGGTCTGGGTCCCAGTCCCCGCTCAGCCACAGTACCAACTGGGTGACCTTGGGCCAGCCACAGACTCTCAGCCCGCCCACCTCACAGGGTCTTGTGGGGTAAGATGGAGAGCAGCAAGAGGAGAACGATGAAACTTCGAGTTTGCTATAAGAAAAAAGCAGGACATAAATCTAACAAATCCAATCTTGAAAGAGAGTGCAGTCCAGCAAGAAGCTCAAGGCATCTCTGGCCTTGCAGCACAAATTAGGGCTTGCTTAATTGGCTGCCCCTTAATTGGCTTGCACCTTTATGCTTGGGAGCCTCTCCCCACCAGGAGCCACAATTCTCTTTTGTGCAATGGCTTTCAATATCGGATGACTCCAGCTGAAGGCCTCTTCCAGCTCTAAGTGCTTGGCCCCCTTGGATTTAGAAGTGCAGCTGAGGGCCGTGTAGAGTGGCTAACGGCAGCCACAGCGGGCCTGGGCATGGCTGTGAAGCAGGCGGCAGGGCTACTTTGAGCAGCACTGCGCTACAAGCTTCAGCTCCCCCTGACATGACCCACAACCAGGAATTCTGGAAATTGGAATACAAAACATCGAGAGGGCCTGGTGTGAGGGTTTAAATAGCTCTCATTAACTCAGAAGTAGCCAGGCAAGGTATATTTGCTTAAAATATGCTCCTAAGTCCAAGGAAATTGAGAATAAGATGTTTGCAGTAGCTGAAAACATCAGCAGGTGCCTGTGAACAGGTTAAGAAGAGGAAAAGAGGGTGGGTGAAGAGAGGTGCGTAGCTGGGCTTCCCTCCTCAGTGGAGGGGGCTGGGAGGAGGCAGGCGTCGCTCACCTCGGGCATGGACAGCTCCTGCTCCAGCCCCACCTCCACGTTGAACACCAGGAAGATGCTGGCACAGAACAGGGCGGTGAAGAGCAGCACCTGCGGGGGCAGCGGGGGAGAGCGGACATCGCACAGGAGCCCCCAGTGCACGTGGCGCTCTCTGCTCAACGGGCAGGACTCAGACCCTCCCCTGGACACCCCAATGCACTCACCACCAGGGTCCGGGTGACGCTGTGCAGCAGGACAGGGGCGTAGCAGCGCTCCATGAAGGCGCAGAGGAGCCCCGGGTGCCGCTCCCCCCGGTCCCTTCCCTCGAGGCGGAGGCAGCAGCACAGGTCGGGGCGGGAGGCCTGGGGGTGCAGACAAAGTGGGGTCAGCGGAAGCACGCCTGAGGCACAGAGACGGGTGGGGCACTGTCCACGGCATGCAGCTCAGGACGGGCCTGGCGCTGCTGGCCGGCAGCAGGGACACAATTCCCCCCAGAGCATCTTCCCCCCTGACCTGCTGCCTGCGGGCATCCAGAGAGACCAGCGCCACGAACATGGAGAGCTGCAGCAGGAAGTCAAAGAGCACCGCCAGGGCCGCGCTGAGGGCGAAGGTGCGAATGGCAGGCATCGGGGTCAGGGCACCTGTGTGGGACCAAACAGGCTCTCTGGCTCTCTCCACGCACCACGATCTGCACCGCGTTCCTTCCCCCAGCCTTCTCCTCAGCCTGCTCCAGCTCCTCCTTCCCATTCCCCTGCCCCACCGCCCCAGCCCTGCCACCCCCAGCCGAATTGGGGGGCACTCTGGCTGCCACCTGCCAGCAGGGTTTGCACCCAGCTGTGGCACTGAGGACGGAATCGCTCACCCAGGAAGAAGCAGACAACTTCGGAGAGGCTGCAGAGGAGCATGCTGGGGCCGACCTCGCCCAAGACTCTCCCAATATGCCGTTCTATGGCTTCCCCAGGCTTTGGCTCCAATCGCTGCAATGAGAGGCGATGGCCGGGCTGAAGAGGAGGGTCTCACATGGAGCAGCAGCAAGGCTGGCCCAGGCCCGGCTGGTCCTCAGGAGGACCAGCGCCATCCCAAGGCCCTGGCCATGCCGCATGCCAGCCCAGGCTTCCAGTTCCCCAGGTGCCCTCCCCTTGCTCCTGCCCTTACTCTGGGGAAAAGACCCCCCAGTGTACACAAATGCCCCGGTCTCCAGAGACATGCCCCATACCTGGAGCTCCAGCACAAAAATAAAGATGTTGTCAGCACCAACTGCCAGCACAAGAAAAGGAACGACCTCGAGAATGATGAGGGAGGAGGGCAGCCCCACGAAGGAGCAGAAGCCCAGGGAGGACACGACCGCCCCCATCACGACAAGGATTCCGCCCAGGCCCAGCGTCACCTTGGAGTCCACCTGGACAGGAGCAGCAGGTCAGTCAAGGCAGCCCGGCTGGGAGCCCACAAAAGCATTGGCGGGCTGGAAGGGATCTTCGCATGGAAAGGCCAGTTCTGGACCCACGGAGGCAACCCACTTGGGCTGAGGGGAGATGCCCCTGCATGTCTCCTACTTTGTGCCCATGACCCACCCCTAGATCCCCATCCAGGTTAAGGGGTTCCTTTCCCCTTAAGTGCAAGAACAACAGAGGGAGGGGGGGTCATCAAGATCATAAGGGGACTGGAGAGGGGGTTGCATTTCTTGACCTTGGGGTGGGTGCTTTGGACATTTCTTCCTGCTTGGGGGATTTGGAGGTTTGCTTTTGAAATGGGCAGCTTTCCCTAGGGATCCGCACAGTATCCTCTGCTGGAAAACATTCCAGCTGGCCCTTTGCAGACGCCGACTCTTTGTGCACAATCGCAGAACCAGGGAAGAGCCGAGTCAGAAGGGCCATTGGGACCAGTCCCCTGCTCGGCAAAGGACTCCAAGTTAAGGCATCCCTCTCAGATGGCCATCCAACTACATCGTGAATGCCCCCAGAGTGGGAAAGGCCAGGACTGCCCTGGGCCCTTGGCTCCACGGCTGGGCTGCTCTAAGAGCCCAGGCGCTTTTCCTGGGGTCCTGATCTGGCACTCTGTAATCATGCCGCCCAGCTTTAGATTATGCCCCAGCTGTGCTGCTGCTGCTGAGCTCCCTCCTCAACTGGCAGCAGCGGAGAAAATAGTCTTGCCGGTGATCGCTGGGAAACGGGAGAGGTGCTCCCCTCAGAGAGCAAGAGTCTCGGCGATTGGGTGGTATAAGAAAAGAAGTAAGTAAATGAATAGCTGCACAGCAAGTGCACAGTCACAGTGGACATTCAGACTGCCTCTTCCCCAGGGGCTAAGGAACATGTGTGGCGGGTGCTCCAGGCCCAAAAGGTTGTGCTCTTCAGCCACCAGACAGCCCAGAGGGGCAGGGAGGCTTCTCGCTATACAGAGGGGTGCCCTTCCCTTTGCTGTGAGGAAGCCTCTCGTACCAGGACATGCCTGCAGCTGGTGTAGTTGCCTAAGGCCATGGTGATGTATATGAAGATCACCAGGTAGCTGAGGACAAAGATGTTGATGTCTTCCCAGGTTGTGCGGTTAATTTCATCTTCCATGGAGCGCTGCAGCCATGTGGCAGGAGAAAGCAAGAGAGGACAGCAGGTTAAAAAACTGGCCACTCGGCATTAGGGTTCCTTTTGTAACACATGCTAGAGCAATTTATAATAAAGATGGAAGTGCTAATCACAGTGAAACAGCTCCAAGAAACATCACAGAACAGCAACATTATATGCACAGTAAGACAACCAAAGTTTATAAAGCGTTAAAGGCATACTATAAAAGCTGGGGAGAAAAGGTAAGATGGACTGGAGGCTAAAATCTATCTATTTATTTATGCATCTATTCATTACATTTCTATCTGTATTCTATTTCTCTTTCAGGAGGACTTTGATGAATAGAGGTTCCGGGCTTCCAACGTGGCGCCCTTTGGCACCACTGACCACATACCCCTCTTGGCACCTACGTATGTCTTGAGAGGACTGTGACTGTTCTTTCCCCTGGGAGATCCTGCTGTCAAATGAAGTGCTTCTCTCCAGCACCATCATTATTCAGTACAAAGAGCGGCTTTGTATTCTGGGGCTCAGACCCCACTTCTGCCTCGGACTGAGGCTTGGGACTCGGGACTCATCTGTCAGCCTCAGTAATGTGCCTTCTGGCCATGTCCACCCTGGAAGCCCTTTTCTGCAAGAGCAGAAGAGCACCATTCTACCCCTTCTTGCCACTGCATGTTCCCAAGCAGCTCTGAGAGGACCTGCACTCATACCTCAGCCATATAAGCAATGGTGTAGTTCTCAGCATGCTCCTGCTGGAATTCTTGTAGGATCTTCAGGAATTGCTCCTCCCACAACTTCACAAAATCAGAACGGTTGTCACTGGAGGGGAAGTTGTTCAGGGAGAAGGTCAGGATGAGGGCTTGCGATTCTGAGTACTCCACCCCTGTTGGGCAGAGAGAAAGTTGCTAAGAAGTGGGTGAACACAGCCTGGGGAATGCAGTCGGATTGCAGCAGCCCCTTCCACAGGCCTCCTCTTACGGGACTGCAACCCCCACGTGCCCGGCCCAGATGGGGAAGCTTCCCTGTGACCTGCCTCCGGGCCAGAGGGGGGCCAGGTGTGGGGAGCAGGATGCCTCAGCCAGGACAAGCAGTCTCCTGGGCAGCATCCCTGTGTCTTGCACATCTGATCCCACTCCTTGCCCAGTCTTGTTGGATGACAAGAAGCCAGAAGGCTGTTCAGGAGGAGCTCACAAAGGGGCTCCAAGGAGGGGAATCTCCTGCTTGTGGCTTTGCCCAGGAAGAGGATGTGAGGGCAGCAACCACAGCTGCCATATGGAACTCGGCCCTTGGGCCTTAGCACACAACTAAGTGCCGCGATCATGAAGCCCACACAAGGAGCAAAGTCTCTGCCGGCAACTGCAAGCTGGCAGCATCACTCAGACTGAGCCCTTGCTTGCTGCTTTGGGGAACCTGCCTCCTACCAGTCCAAAACTTGTTGGGGGCTCCCTACAGGAAAGGTTTTGACACAGAGTATGTACATTGGTGTGTTGAGCAGGACCACCGACTCCCATCAAGGCTAAGTTCATTGTCAGTGAGTCACGTGTCATCCTGGACTAGAATATTTAAAGCCTTTTTGTATTCCAATCCCTGGGTGGATAATCATGGGAGCAGAGGCGCCTTCATCGACGTGATGGCAGGTGAACTCAGAATGGGGACCAAGAGGCGGGTTTGGGCAATGAGGTGCTAGGGACACTCTGAACCTTAGAATCATAGGTCAGAAGAGGCTGAAGGGGGCAGAGGGCTATCAGGCCCAACCCCCAACAGTGCAGGAGCCCCAGTTAAGTGACTGCTCTCAGAGGCTGCCCAGCTGCCTCTTCGAGTCCCTCCGGTGTGGGAGAGCCCTCCACCTCCCTAAGTAAACCATTCCATGCTGTACTGCTCCCCCAGTCAGGAAGCTCTTCCTGATGTTCAGCCAAGAACCAGCTTCCTGCAACTTGAGCCTGTCATTCCTTGTCCTGCACTCCAAGAATGCCCCTTTCTATAGCAGGGCCAGTGGACGGCATACCCACCCGCCTATTCCTCTCTACAATTCTGCTTTCTGCAGCTGCCCCATCACTCTGCTGAGCAGACAGACCGGACCTGGAAGCAAGATGGAAGGGACTGCGACAGCTGGCAGGACACTGCCACTTTTGGATGCGCTTCCTACCTGGGTAGCCCCCAACAGCCAGGAAGGGGAACACTGGTGCTCCATAGTCAGACATGCAGCTCAGCTTCAGCTCTGTGATGTCTTGGAAAGAGGCTGGTGAGCTGAGAGAAACAATCACACCATGAAGCACGTGGGTGGGGGAAAGTGCCCCCCATGCCCCTTCCTCCTGGGAATGCCAGAGGCCCCTCTGCAGCTCCTCTTGCTCAGGGGCTGCTGGGCAGACCAGAGTGGCTCTCTGGTGCTATGGGGCCTTCCTCAGGCCTTGGGTATGCGAACCAGGAGCTTCTGCCCACACTCAGCCACTGAGCTCCGGAGCTGCCAGCGAGCCACTGCCACAGCGTCCCTCCCTCTGCCCCGCCACGGGCTGCCCGGCGAGTAGCACTGAGAGGGAGCAAGCGGCGGGAGAAGAGGCCCTCCATCAAGCCCCAAAGCCAGCAGGGCAAAGAGCCCCACCTCAGAACCAAAGCAGCCCCCACGCAGGCACTCACTTGGCGCAGTAGAGGAAGTGGTCCCTCCAGTCCACAGAGCCGTTCTTTCCCTGGAGTGTCTGATTGGCCGTCAGCATCAGGTGAGTGAGGTTGTTCTGGAAGTACTGCAGTGCACTGTTCACGCAGCAGTCTGAGAGGCCGGGATCCTGGGGGCTCAGGGGTGCGTAGCAGACGTCTGTCAGGGAGACCATCCTTTTGTGCTTTTCGGACCAGGCCATGATGCTTTGCAGCCTGGTCTGCAGGTCCAGCAGGTCCAGCAGCACCTCGAGAGAGAGGACCCCGCCGAAGATCTTCCTGCCCAGGAGGAGAGAGTCGTATGTGTAGCTGGAACGGTTCTTGGCTGTCAGGATGACCTGATTGGTCCTAAAGAAGGGCCCAAAGTGCTGCTCATAGAAGGCTTTCTCCTGGCGGGCCAGGCTGTCTGGGGAGGACCAGAGCTCCACGGGGTCCGTGGTAAGCTGGATGAAGACCAGTCCGCTGGAGAGCCCTGCCACCACCACCACCGAGGCGGCAATGACCATGAATGGGTGGGAGGCCACCAGTGTGCCCCAGCTGCAAAATGTCCTGGCCAGGAAGCCCTGGGTCGCCTGGCTCACCCTCTGGAAGGCAGTGGGACTCTTCGGGCACTGCTCCGACGGCTTCTCAGGCAAGGAACAGCGTCGCCACAGTAGGAAGGACACCACCAGCAGCAGCAGAAGGCAGACGACAAGGCAGCACACAAACACGATCCCGTCCATGTCCCCCACCTTGAAGGTCTGGGATGCAGGAGGGGGGCCCAGGATGGCAGGGCAAGACTGGGGACAGTCCTGGCAGGTGCACCGCTCCGCTGTCCCGTTCTGCACGGCCTCGCTGCACTTCCAGGCTGTGCCATTGAGTGGCATGATGCCATTCCCAACCACAGTGCTGCCATCCGGCACCAGCCGAAACTCGATGGCCAGGGGAGCCAGCCCATTGTGAGAATCCCCCTGGAAGTCCAGCCAACGCTGCGTGTTGCACAAGGTGTGCCCGTACTTGCCGCACATGGTTTCAATGGCATAGCCCCCGGTGGCCGGCAGCCTGACGGACTTGCAGGAGTTGAAGGAGGCGTCTGCAAAGTGCTGGTTGTAGAAACACTGGTACTCCAGGACACCCAGCAGCTGGCTGCCCTGGACAGTGCGGTTGAAATAGCGAGTGACGTTGGTGAAGGTGCTCTGGTTTGGGCTACAGATGTTCTGGCAGTAGATGTTGGCGAAGTTCTCCGAGCAGGCCGGGCAGCGTGACAGCAGCACTTGGGACATCGCCAAGCTGTCTTGCAGGAACTGCAGCTGGGTCTCCGAGCAGCAGGCGTAGGTGGCCGTGTCCCCCGTGTACAGCATTGGGCAGACAGCCTTCAGGCGGCTGAGGTGCGAGCCGGAGAGCAGCCGGGCCGGGGTGTTGGACAAGCAGGGCACTTTGGCCAGGATGAGGCTGCTGTTGATTTCTGGGTTCCTGCCGCAGTCCCCGTAGAAGGAGCAGTATCCTGGCCGATGAATCTCTGTCAGGGCAACAGCCTTGGTTCCACAGAATCCAAGGGAAGAAAGAGAGTGGATCAGCGGCCAAACAGGTTGCGAGGGGTCGGGGGGCCACAGCACTGGCACATCCCCAACCCTTTGCACTGCAGCCAAGGCGCTCCTTCCAGGTGTGAAGGGATCTGCATGGGCGGCAGGGAATTACTCATTACTCAGGGCCCTTGTGCTTCCAAAAGTCTGGCAAGTGCTTCTGCCATCTGGACTGGCTGAAACACTGGAGCAGCTGTCCAGAGCTTGCCTCACCTTCTGAACAGGAGGGCAGAACTGGGGAGGGAGCACTGTATGCGCCCAGGACCTGTGTCCTGACAGGAGAGGCCACAACCCCTGGGGGACCCTGGGACCGTCCAGATGTGTTGGACCGTAACTCCTCTAATTCTGAGTCAACGGCCAAACTGAATGGCAACTGTGGAAGCCCACTGCATCTGGGGAGCCCCAGTTCCAGGACCCAACTTGAGCTGTACTGGCTGCCTATTTGGTTTTAACTTCCAGAACCTCGCACAACCTCAGAATCTGCCTCCCCCTGTAAGGAACCTGCTCACCAACAGAGATCTAGTCAAGGGACCTGTTTGTGTCCTCTTTGCAATGCGTTTGGATGGAATTGGGCTTGACTTTGGGGCCACAGCCATCAGGCTGCTTAAGCCGTGATTCTGTCTGCCCAGATGTAGGTGGCGAAGACGGCACTTGCCTGCTTGTACTGGGCAGAAGCCAAACACAGCTTTGATCCATTCCTGGAAGCCTTTGGTCTTGCCCTGAATAGCTTGTCTTGCCAGTTGGAAGCATCCTAGGTGGACCTACGGACTGGAGCTTTCCAAGGACAGTGAGGAAGGGCCTTGGAGGAAGTCAGCGCCAGCTTGATGGCTGTGGGTTTTTGGAGCAGGTGCAGCTTTCCACCCCACCCCGTCCCACCAGAACACCCTCCACCCCAGCAGCGCTTGCTCTACTTACCAGGTCCGGCTTGGCACTGACCAGCCACAGGGTGAGGAGGACGGTGTTCAGCATCCTGGCAGCTCTGAGGCACAGGGAGTCAGTGCCTGAGAGAAAGGCTGTGCTAGAGCCAGCTGGGGCAAGAGTACTTCCCCACTCCTCCCAGGAATCCTGGCCTGACTGCCAGGAAGCCAATCAGGCCACACCAGGGCTGTAAAATCCCAGGTATTATTAACCCAGGCAGAGTTGGGGTTCTCCCCGAGGTCCCGGGGTAGCTCTTCCCAAATGTGAGAAGTTGTCTCTCCCCCAGCAGGCTGAGCCACCTGGCCACGACTTCTGTGCCCCAGCCCCTCTCCGGGCTGCAGCTAGACGTGCAAGCTGCCTTACCAGAGCACCAGGCAGGGCCGGGGCTCTTGACCAACTGCCCCCCTCCCCAAGTGCCGTGCCAACAGCAGCACCTTTCAGCAGTGAGCCTGTTTGAGGGCTGCCACATGGTCATGGCCGCTTCTCCCTTTATTCGCTGCCCTCAGACTTCCCAGCTCCATGTCTGAAAGAATCGGGCTCTGCTCTTTACTTCTTGGGGGTCACACTGTATGGGCCCAGTCACCGCTACACACAAGAAGCGCCTCCAGAACCATGAGGGCCAGATGGGGCCACACGAGGCGGCCAGACCCGTGTCCTCGGCCACCAAAGCAGCCTTCCTGCGACAGCAACCTGGACAGGTGGCCGTCCAGGCTCTGAACCCCCACTGGAGGAGAGCCCATCCCCTCCCAAGGGCACATGTGCCATCCAGAAGAGCAGACCGAACCTGTCCTTTGTGATCTGGACTCATCCGCACAGGACCCATGTCCTCTGGCCCTGTTACTGCGGTGGCAGCCCAGCCCTCCCCACTCGAGGCTAAACATTCCTGACTCCTTCCACTATTTCTCAGGGTCTCTAGGGACCCTCACCATTTGGGTGCCCCTCCTTTGGACATGCTTTTCCGGCACCCCTCCTAAACTGTGGTGCCTTCTTTCCAGCGACGACCCAGCAACCATGACCACGCACCTGCTCCGTGTCCTCCTTTGACACAGGCTGGAACTGTGTTGGCCAGCCTGCCTGGGCCCGCTTGGGACGTGCGTGTCGGGACCCAAGAAGGGAGGACAGCCACAAGGCAGTCCAGAAGGCAATCAAGACAACAAGCAGAGGAATTACCCACCGATGAACTGATTTTAAAAAAGATTTTGGACTGTGCGGAAATGGATAGATTGACTTTATCACTGAAGGAGAAAGAAGATACTGAATTCTATAAAACTTGGGACTCTTTTTATTATTGGCTAGAGAAACCTGGTTTAGATTTAAATATGTTTTAAGTGATCATAAATGGATTTAAATATGATTATGGAATGTTAAAAAATGAGTGGGGGGCTGACCCAGTACATCTGATGTATTTGATGATTGATGTTTTTAGTGTTAGTTTAAAATGTTAATAAAAACTTATTCCAAAAAAAAAAAAGAAAAGACAACAAGCAGCAGGACAGGTGAGGAGGGCACTTCCCTCCTTGATTTGCACCAGGCCTGACCAGTCCAGAGGCTGTTCTTCCAGCCAAACGCAGTGGCCAGCGCTGTGCTGCTCAACCACCATTCTGGCCTGGAGGCTAAGGCAGGTAAGTCCCTTCCCAACAGCCAGAGCCCCCTGCGGGGCAGCAGAGAGCAGAAGTGTGCATTTTTGCACACCGCTTTAGAAGCAGGAGGCCAACAGCCCGACAGCGATCATCTCATCCAGTTATGGGTGGCTGGCCCTTGCCTAGCTGAAACTGTCTAAATCTTTCCTTTTCTGCTACACCTAAAGCACCACTGGGATTATTTTTGCTTCCATTTGCATTGGTTTTGATTTACTAACTTTTTAAAATTCTTATTATGTTAATCTTTTGTATTTTAATTGCATTATTTTATTTATATTACCTATTGATAATTTTATTGTGATGGATGCCCCGAGAGTGATGCTAATGGGGGGGGGGGCTTTAAATGAATTTAATAAACAAACATGCCAGTAAATAAATAATAAATTGGCACTGCCCCTTTGCAAAAGGACTGCAGGAATCTGGCCCCAGGGTCTACTGCTGGACCCCTGGAGGAGCAGGCACAGCCTCTCTGGAGACTTGTCGCCCCACTGTTCCCACAAGAGACCCTTCCCTGGGTTCAGGCCTGCTCTCACAAGCACAGACCCCTTTGAACTGGGGGCCAGGCCTCAATCCTGGGCGGGGGCAGCACTGCTGCATGTGGGGACCCTCCAGCCAGAGGGTCCTTAAGCACTGCCAGCTTTTAAAGCACGGAAACAGCACCAGACTGAGAGGCCTTTTGGGGAAGTCAAGATGGCACAAAGCTAGCACTCTGCCCCCAGGCCAGGCTCATTGCTGTGCCCTGCAGGGGGGCTGAGGGTGCCAAAACGGAGCACGAGGAAGTGGAGGGCGTGCAGAGTGCAGACAGCACTGGCGAGCTCGGGAAAGCTTGCTGAGCTGCCTGAATAGAGCTGGGACCAGTGGGCAATGTGTGTGTGGGAGGAGGACCTGGGGGCTGGTCCTGGATGGAAGGATGGACGGAGTGGCAGGCAGTGGCCCCTGTGTACTGGGAGGGTAGGATAAGCGTTTGTGGGGCTGGGGGGAAACCTAAATAGGAGAGAGGTGTGTGGGCCACTGCTTTCAGCGGGGACCTCAGCCCTGCCTTGTGGCCAAACTTTTGGGAAAGGGACTTGTCGTTTATTCTCACTACTTTGCCTCCCTGTGAAATGGGGCGGGGGGGGGGGAGGAATCTGGGTGACAGGTGGGAAACCACACACCCATGCGCACAAGGCATAGAAGGGGGAAGGCAGAGAGAACCCCTGGGAGGGCTGCTGACAGCCCCCTCCACAACCAGTTGTCTGGGCAGCCTGTCGCAACCCCAGCAGCCTTCCAGGCGGGAGGACATGTTCACAGCCACTGCTCAGCACAGCAGGCCCTGCGAGGTGAGGGGCCCGCCAGCTGGCACCCTCCTTCCCGGCCAGCAACCCTTGTCCTGGGACCCTGCACGGCCAGACAGCAGGTGCATTCCGGGGACAGTCCAGGCAGCAGCACCAAGCCCTCCCAGAGAAGTTGTGGGGTGAGCAGAACCCTTTCCCCTCCAAGAACACATGGGCAGCAGCCAGCAGTGTGCACAACCCTTTACACAGTGCAAAGGAGAGCCCTGCCCCAAGCAGCGTACAGTAGAAGGTGCAGTGCAGGGCGATGCCCGGGGGAGGAGGAGAGGGTCCTGCACGTCACCCACAGCTTGGCTCAGCGGCCTGGGGTCCTGGCCTTGCCAGGAGGGGGCTGCAAGAGTGGAGGGGCACACTCCCACGGGCCCAGGCTCAGGGCAGGAGCCGGAGCGAGAGCCACTGGGCCAGGCGGGGACAACGGAGCAAAGCTCATGGACGTCATGAGAAAAAGAGCAGTGTGATAAGGAGAGACACAAGGCCACGGAAGGAGCTCTGAAATCCAAGAACAACAAGCCTTGTCATTACTTATCCTACAGCGATGGGTGTTTAGATTCAGGACGAGAAGAAATGCACCTGCATTCTTATTAGGACAAAAGCACTTTGTGTTATCTTTGTTCATTAAACAGTTGCAGTTGCTCTTTGTTCAGGGACTTTTGTGCCTGAGCTTGAGTTATTATAGACAACTCTCCATCAAAAAGTGTAATAAACAAAAACATAAACTTCAGCATGATACATTAGGCATTTTCCATGTTTCCTCAAGTCCTAGAATGCCAAAAATTATGGCTATTAAGGGCCATGCATTCAGGCACTCTGGACATGGTCTGATAGCTATTGCTGTGTTCTGCTCTGGCTTGCTTAGGATCAGCTCTTCCTATTGCAGCAGTCAGGCGAGGTGCTGTCGGGATGGCCCCAGGCAGACCCAGCCCTTCTCGGGCAGCCCTCATTACCCCCTGCCTGCTGGCCTCCGGCTGTGAGGAGGCAGACCATGGGAAGTGCCGGTGCTGCAGTGCTGGGGCCCCCTGGGGTCGGGGAAGTGGAGGATCGTTTATTTCTCTATTAAAGTTCATTGGTTCCCCACATTTCTACCAATGAAAAGGCACTGCAGACATCACGCAATCAAACTTCACTGAAGCAATAAACTCAAGTAGATTAAGACAATTAACAACAAGGCAACAGAATACTGTGATCCAACCTAACTTGAAAGGTCAAATGCCTGCAAAGAGAGAAGGGTCCTTGCCTCCGAAGGAGAGCCTGAGGGAAGGAAGCTCCTCCTCCAGCAGGGAGAGCCACAGCCAAGGAGCTGCCGCTAAGGTCTTCTGGAATCATCTCCGAAGGCAGAAGCCTCAACTGGCCTTCTAAGTACGTGCAGAAAATGGCAGCCTCGCTGGAGTCACTTGCCAGAGGGCCAGGCCGACAGATGTGATGAACACAGTGTGGAGAGCCTCCAAAACGAAGCACCTGGCGCATCCCAAAGAAACGAGTTCTCTCATACCCGCCCTGCAATCGTCTTCCGTGCATGAGAGTGCCACTCCTGCAGAAGTACTTGAGAACCTTTCAACAGCAAGATAAGTGTGCTGAACAAATACAGCAGCCACCACTTCTTGCTGATGAGAAGAGGGCACTTACTCCCAACAAAACACAGCTGTACCCTCTTCGAAGACTTCCTGCTGGCTCTCCAACCTGCCACAAAGAAGGGCCAAGCTTAGTCTCTTCATTCTTCCAGGCACATCCACAATCCAGGAAACAGGTCGAGAGCCCACCTGTGCAGCCTCCTCGGCGGGTGCTGGTGTAAGTCCGGGGGAAGAATCACTTCCTTGGGTGTGTTTTAATCCAGATCTCTAATTTGGGTAAGCAGGTATTTGGAAATCATATGGTCTTTGGTTCCAAAGAACAAGCAGAGGAGGCACTAGAGAGAGCACCACCAAGTCCTCTTCCCACTTTCCTTAAAATGCCCCCACCTGTTTGCACCTGATTGAGAAGATGATTCCCCATACAGAGAAGTCACCACAGGCCCCCTTAGTAAGTAGAAAACCACAGGGAACTGAGATGTTTGGAGATGTAGGTTTAAAGCCAGAAATGGGGCAGAGAGCAGCAGAAGGGGCAAGGAAAGCCAGGTGCTGAGCGGCACGGGGGCTCCCCAGCCACCCAGGGCCACTCCAAGCAGGCCCGTGGAGCCCTCCTGCTCTTGGTGTGCAAGGTCACACGCGTTCACTGTCCCCACCCTAAGCCTATCATCCAGACTTCTCAAGGTTTACAATCCTGGCCTGGCCTTGACGCCTGATAAGGCCAGGAGCCTGAACAAGAGTACACTGGTTGCCAACACCAGCAGCGGGCTGGCCAACGGGCACGCCAAGAGAGAATGCCTCAGCTGAGGCTCGCTCTCTCCTGGCAACCAGCCACGAGCTGGAATAATGGCCGCAGCACACGTCACTGAGATAGGAAGGACTGGATCAGTTCAAGGGTAAAGGCTGCTGCCCTCATCAGCCTGCTTCTGACTCAGGGCAGCCCCTGGTCTCGTCCACCCCGAACCCAGCGTGCAAAGGGCAGGGGTGGGACACAACTGGTGAGAAGGCAGAGCAGGGGTGGGCTCACTCCTGACTTATTTATTTACTGGACTTTTGTCCTGCCCCAGTAGCCAGGAAGCTCCCTGGGCAGTTTACAAACTGGAAAAGATACAATTAAGAATACAATTAAAAATAATGAGTCATGTAACAATAAAACCTAACACGCTAACTAGTGAAAAGCTCTCAGGCTAGTGGGATCATACCAACACACTCCACCTAGTCTGCTCAGAGGAACACCTTCAGTGCAAGGCACAACGGCCTTGACTGATATCCCCAGGGACAACATGACCTTCAAGTATGATCTGAGCTACACTGGATGACACGGCATCAGCTGCAAAGGCAGAAAGCCATTCAGGGACGAGGTTCAAGAGGCTGCAGGAGGACCCGGGCGGCAGCTGCTTCCGGGAATCCTCACAGCAGCAACTGGCTCTGTGAGAGCAGTGCATTTCACACAGAAAGAGCCTCACACAGGAGACCTGCACCATCTCGAAATGGCTGGAGGCTGGGAGGCCTCTGGCACTGCGAACAAAATGCGGAATACACAGGGCCTGGCTCAGACTCAAGACGGATCCAGCTCCACAGAACACACTGTCCCATTTCCCTCCCAGCAGCGCTAGGGCCGAAGATGCCAGACAAGCAACAAATGCATAGCACAAACACCTGTTCAGATGCTCTAAACGCTGCCCAGCTTCAAGCACTTTAATGAGACATGGGGCATGAGAAAGTCCTTAGAAATCTGTGTGACCAGAGCTGGGTGCAAACGCATCCTCCGGGGTTTTCATAAGCTGCCACATTCCGGCAAAAAGCAGTCCCAGTGAACTGTAGGCTGGGGAGAAGAACAGGCTCATCGAATCTCCTCCCTACCGCAATCCGTATGAAGCACTGCCTCTTCTGCAGCCACAGTCAGGGAGCAGGCTTCTTCCTCTTGGCTGAACTGCCCAGTTTCTGCTTGCTAGCCTGAAAGCTGCGCAGGGGGTTTCTTTGGCCCTGTGAGGAGAAACAGGAGGCAGGCGAGTGTCAGAGGGGGGCTCAGGCACCCCCAGCGCTGGAGTGCTAAGCACCGGGTGGCTCCAAGGGCAGCTGCAGCTCCTCGTGCATGAGAGCAGTGCAGGCTCTCAGAATGGCAGAGGAGCTTCAGACTAGAAGGTCAGACTAGATGGCCTGGAGGCCTCTTCTGACTCGCGCTGTTTCTATGTTTCACACCCATGCCCTGAGGGGGAATGCACCAGGGACGAGGGTCGAGGGTCGCAAGGATGAGGGCAGCCCCTTGGCTGCCAGGATGTCTGGGAAGAACACCAACCTTGGTGACGCGAGGCAGGGGCTTCTGTCGCTTGCGCTTACTGCGGAGAGGCCGAGCCATGACTTGAAGCGCAGGAGGGACTGTCGGTGGGAAAAGAGGCGGCCACTGCTGTCACCTGGCAGAGCGCTCCCCTGCAGGCACCCCTTCTAGGAGCCCCTCTGCCTTTTGCCCAGCTTCCGAAGCGCACACATGCCAGCCCCAATGTGAATGCAACAGCTCACCCCTACAGTGAGCTTCAGGAATGTGGGAGACTCTCAGGCAAGAGGTGCCAGGAGAATTCATACCCAGGGGAGAGAAAAACAAAGGAGACCCGTACCAGATGCAGTGCTGTCGCGCCTGCAAAGCAGGACGCCCCCCTCCCAGGGCTTCCACCACGCTTCCTGCTCCCCCCCCCCCCCGCAGCAGGACACACAGCACCAAGCCTCCCCCTGCCCCTACCAAGGTACTCTGGCACATTGCACAGGTGAGGCTTGACGATGGCCGGGTGAAGCGGCTTGTCGTGCCGCAGCAGGCTCAGGTCACGGGGATTATCTTCGAAGTAGGTCTGGGAACAAAACCATCAAGAGGAGCCATGTCTCCGCTGCCCAGTCCCTCAAAGCCCACCCACTCCCTCAAGCACACACCCAGGCAGCAGCAGGCCCATGGCAGGCCCCAGGCCTGCTAGAGGGGAGGGCTGGTCCGGGCCGGGGAGACAGGCAGAGGGAGAGCAGCAGCCTGCCTGAGGGCATCTCTCCATCACTCCCCCTGCATTGCTGGCACCGAGATACCTTCAGTTTCTCAGAGTTGAGCAGTTCCTCCTTGATCTCACGGAGCCGAGCTTCTTTGATCGCCTGCTTGGTGACTGAGCGCATGGCGTCCTTGAAGCAAGGAAACGGCCCTGGGGTCAAGGCTGCCTGACAATGGCCTCACATGCAAAACTTCTACTCACATGTCCACCACCTCACTTACAGCTGAAGTACACCGGGGGAGGGCGGGGAGGACAGGATACAAGCCACCCTTGCAGGCCGTCGTACTGGCCAAGCTCCTCTGTCCCATGTTTAAACTGCACTGCTCGTCCTTTAAGAAGAGCAGTGCCCAGTCAGCGGTTCCGGGGTTTCCACCAGACTGCAAGGGGCGCGCGGTCAGTGCTTAGGATCCCACGGGGCCGGTCCAAAGTGGCGGCCTCTTCCCCATAGCTGCCACTTCCCTTTTCCCAGCCCTGCCCTGTGCAGCCCAAGGTCAGAGAAGCAGGCCAGCTCCAGAAGAGGGTCAAGGAACAGGGAACGGCTAATTCCCCCACACCTTTTCCACAGCACCCAGGATGCCGCCACACAGGCGCCTCACCTGACAGCGGTAGCGGAGCCCTTCGATCTCCTCCATCCGAAACTGGTAGGGCTGCAAGGCGGCTTCACTGCTGCCTGTAGGACAAATCAGCGCCACCTGGCTAGTGAGAGCCACTGTGCAGATCAACCCCAGAACTGGCCAGGGCAAAGGGAGCTCCACGGGCCACGTGCACCCACCTTGCCAACCTTTCCTTTCCCACCCCCCACACCCTTGCACAGCCCGAGGCCCTGCTATCTTGGAACATGCCGCCTGGAACCTCTCTGAGGAGCCTGCCCCACACCCACCTCCCATGAGCTCCACCTCGATCTGTGCCAGCAGCGCAATCTCCGTGGGCAGCACAAACGTCAGAACGGTGCCTGGGTTGTTGGCCCGGGCAGTCCTGCGAGGGGAGAGGAGAGAGAAGTCAGGCAAATAGCAAGAGCAGGGCCTGTGGTTGGCGCATCAAACACCTTGAAGTGACTGAAGCAAGGAAAGCTGCAGAGGCAGCCAGGCTAAAAGTGGGGGGGGGGGTTCAATATACAAGCTCAAGGGTGCTTGGAGGCACAGACACAGTCCCCAGATTTCAGTACCTGGGGGTTTCAAATTTTTATGTTCTTTGTTCTCACAAACGAGTTCTTGCTGCTTATATTGCATCTGACAGTTATGACCCCAGAGCATCCTCCTCCCTCTATCTAGGGTGGGCGAGTCAGAAGCCAGCAAACCCGCAAAGGAACCCAAAGGGCTTGCTTCTCCACTACAGGCAATAGCAAAGACCTGTACAGGGTTTAGGACTCTGTCCTAGAGGCGTCCCAGACAGAAATTCCTCTGAGGACTGTCTAGGCCTTGATGTGCTTGGGTGTTTTCAACTGAAAGAAGCAGAGGTCCTGTTTTGGAATAAGAAACTTGCAGTTGTGTTTTTGATTCTAGGGGAAAATATCACATTATAGATAAAAAGGTCCACGAGGCAACAAATGAGGCAAGGGCAGAAACATCCCTTTGCCTTGAAGCTTCCAAAACCGTGAAGAAAAAAATGCCCTTTTAAAATGGCTCAAGGGAAGATTTGGAAAGGCTCAACTTCTGTCCCAGGTGTTTGCATACACGGAACCCAGCAGATACTGGCCATATCACAAAGCTACATTTTCTTGAGAAACTTAAGTGGCATTTGCACTTGAAGACTGGCAGCTTCACAGGGCAATGAATGTGGGAGCCTCATCCCTGGCTGCTGACCTGCCAGCTCGATGGATGTAGGACACAACTGAGGAAGGGAAGTCGAAGTTAAAGACCGCAGAGACGTTCTGGAAGTCGAGACCCCGTGAGACTCCATATTCCTTGTCTTTGCCCCTGGGAAGGAAGCAGCAGTAAAGCAGGAGCAGTCAGACGGCTCTTCTCCGGCAAGCAAGCTCCCCTTGACCTCTGAGGCCTAAGCGGTTTGGGACCAGGAGGACAGACTGCACTTGTGTAAAGCTACACAGGTCCTTGGATCAGCCACAAAAGCCCTGCCCAAGAGCCTGCCACCAAGGCCCTTCGCATCACTGATACCAGAAGGCAGGGCCTTTCCCCACAGCTGTCACAACCTCTTTCGTACGGAAAATGGAAAGCTTTTCCAGGTGAGCTGCATTTGATCTTCACACTTTTTAAACATGCCTTAGGAACCCAAATGCTTCCATCCGCTTTTAGCTGAATGCTAGCTTACATTTTATGAGTGCTAGCTCATTGGAACCATATTGCTGTTTCATACTTTGCTTGTATACAGTCTTGACAAAGTATTTTACTTTGATAGGCAATAGACTATGATTTTAAAGAGAATAAACTAAGATTTAATACCAGCCCTTCTTAAATGACCACGAGTGTTTGGGACTTTCTAAACAAGCTTACTTCTCAGCTTTGGCACCCTTCCTCTTCTTCCTCCCTGCTGCTTCTCCCGATCCCTCTGGCTCAGCCAGGTCCTGCTCATCTGTTGCAATGATGTAATCATAGATGCCTTTATTGAACTGGCTGATAATATGGCAGCTAAAAAGAGAAAGGAAATGCCAGTGTGATTCTTCCTGTGGGTTTCTTCAGAGCCCGGGCTCCCTCAGCCCCACATTCTCCCCCAGAGCTCACAACCACCATGTGCTGGCCAGAACGGGAGCTCCTCAGTGTGGGAGCCAGGAAGGCCCAGCCCAGGATGCCCACCACACCACCTCCCAGGTCTCTCAAGCACGGCCACCATCACCAGCTGATCCTGCTGGCGCTCACCGGGACTGGACAGGCAACTCTGAATTCAGCACACAGGCTGGGATGCTGAACTGCTCCAGGAAGAGCTTCAGGCGGTAGCAGCGCTCAATGGTACTGACAAAGAAGATGACTTTCCCCCGCACCAGCGACAGCTTCAGCAGGGCATACAGCAGCAGGAACTTGTCCTCCTCCATCTCACACCGGATATGGAACTGGCTCAGCTGGGAGCTATTTGGCAGCTGTGACTCCTGAAGCTTGAGGGTCACCTACAGGGAAGACAGGGTGTGGGGAGCCTCCCTCAGAGGCCCGGCTCCTCTCTTCTCCCTCCACCTGCCACATATCCCAGGAGACTGGGGTGCCAGTGGAAATAACTCGCAGACAGCAAACAGCTGCTGTTCTGCAAGGTGGCTCTCTCCTGGGCAGTGGGGCAAGAGAAGCCTGTCCCCCACCTTCCCCTCTGCCACCCCAAAACCTGACCCCCCCCCCCCCTTACAGGATTGTGCAGCACGAGCTCCTTCAGCGCTTGCACATCCTCATTGAAGGTAGCGGACATGATGAAGGTCTGATAGATCTTGGGCAAGTGGCTGGAGAAGAGACAAGGTGACATAAGCAGGCATCAGAATTGGCCTTGCAAGGCCTAATCAAAGGTCTAGCACCTTGCAGCCAAGAGCTTCCCACTGACTGTCACCACAACATCAATTACATAAATTGACTGAATAAAGCTAAGGATAACCATGATAATGACAACAAAATAAGGGGCTTCTAAAGCTCTTACAAGGACAGTTTACTATTCTGTACGTGCTTTCGGGGTTCTTCTGGAGCACTGGGTGTTGCTTGGCATGGCCCCTTTTCTCTCTCGCTAGTGCAAGACAACCAACCTCCACAAGACTGCTAAATACATTTTGCTGATTGAGGCAGAGCGACAAATCTCACTGCCCCATCAAAAGACACAATACCTAAGTATGGTCAAGTTTTTTTGACATCCTACAATGACCTCCTCATCCATGGCAGTAAAAGTCTCCCCAAATTTACTGCTCTTCCATAACACTAAACAATTGCCTTGCCTTGTTCTTCTGGCAGGACTTGCCCTGCCGTTAGGACGGGATTTTCAACTGCCAGGATGGGATTTTGGAGAGCTCTGATCTAGCAGGTCTCATAGTCTGCAATTTCTCCAACCTTCAGCTGACCAAACTCCACTGAGGCCAAGAGGAATCCTCTGAGCTCGCAAGCAGCCATGCTGTGGCCACCACAATGACTGATGCAGTTAGGTGGCAGCAGGGGGTGGACAATGTGGTTTTCTGGGACAACCATGTCCAGGGCATGCAACTGGGATTTCCCAGGTGGGAGGACCAGTGCTCTTGGGAAAAAGCAAATGCATAATACTGTATCTATCAGTCAGGGAGATGCCCTGCAGTATGTACAGTTTGGATCCTGACAATTCCCTCTCTTTTGCACAGAATAGACCTGCCTATATGCAGATTCTGCTCACTCCTGGCACTGCTGTAAAACTGGGGCCACTGGATTCTACTCTAGGAGCCAATGATACACCAATGCCACTTTCCAGATATTAGAAAGTAGCAGCAGGGAAATGTAACTGACCACAAACCAATGAACAACAGGGGCAGCCCACTGCCTAACGGACTTAAGAAAATATACACATGCAGTGCAAGGTGAAACAAACACTCAAATGCTGAGAAAATTGGGTGCTATATTCTCTTCCAAAAGATACTTCTGGCAAACCACCTGAGTAGGGACACATCCCAAGACGGCAGAAAGACCTCCCCCTCTTTCTTTCAATCAGACAGATGCTAGCCCTTCAAAGTAAAAATAAACTCACCAGAGCAGACTCTTCACGTCTTCCTCAAAACCAAAAGAAAACAGCAAGTCTGCTTCATCCATCACCAAGATTTCCAGAGAGTCCTGAAGGTTCAGGTTCTGGGCCTGCAAGTGAGCCAAGACCCGAGATGGGGTCCCCACCACCACATCTGGCTTCTCCATCAAGAGTGGTCTGAAGATACAATGGTAAAACATAGATGCGCTCTGGACAAAAGCTTCAAGGCCCAGGGCCTGCAAGAGGACAAGGGCCTATCCATGAAGGAATATTTGATTTTGTTTCAAAAAATTAAATCAGCCTTGTTTTTTTAAAGAATGAATTGAATTATTCACTAGACTCTACTCTTGCTAAAAAAAATACAGGTAAATCTTATTAAACACACGCTAAGCCTGACTGAACACACAGACCCACAGAGTACTTTTGTGTATTAGCCCTTATCTGGGGGAACTGAGGCCTACCAACCAGCAGCAAGGAAGAATGCCTGTTTGCTTACTGCTCCCTTAAGGACGACTAAAAAGTAAGGTCGGTGGAGGATGGTCTGCCAGAGCTTCCCAGCTGCGGGAGTTTGGAAAGATACTGCTGCTGATCCCACCATCTTCCAAGGCTTCTTCCAAGAGCAAATAAAGCAGCAGCTGCGCCGAAGCGCTGGCACCAAATACCCCTGGGATGCAGTGAAAGGGCAGGAGCCGCGGGCGGAGTCCAGCTGCCCCCTGAAGCTAGAAACCCGTCCTCACCAGGGCCGACTAGTCCAAACCCTGCAGGCTCACCTCTGCGCAGCCACGTCCGCCTGGCCAGAGACGTCGACAACGCGCACCTCGCGAGCGCAGTAGGCAGTCAGCTGCCGGAGCATCTGCAGCACCTGCCTGCCCAGCTCCTTGGTGGGCACCAAGACCAGGCCCCGCACAGCCTGCGCCGCCACCGCCGTCGCCTAGGAGGAGAGACCCGTCAGAGCCCGGCGGCGCGCCTCGGCGGGTGGGGCCGCCCGGCCTCCCCGGCTCACCGCCTTGCCGCGCAGCAGGTGCTGCAGCAGGGGCACGGCGTAGGCGCCCGTCTTCCCGGAGCCCGTCCTCGCCCGCGCCAGCAGGTCCTTGCCCTCCAGGGCCAGCGGGATGGCCTGCGCCTGGATCAGCGTCGGCTGGGCCCAGCCCATGTCGCCCACCGCCTACGGGGGAGAGAGAGAGAGGGAGCGAGGGAGGCAGCCGCGGGCACTCCAGCGAGGGGCGGCGGGCGGGCCGTACCTGGAGGATGCGCGCGTCCAGCCCCAGGTGGGCGAAGCTCCTCTCCGCCTCCGCCATGCGTGCCTTCTCCCGCGGCGGCCGCTTCCGCAGGAAGTGATGGCCGCGCCTGCGCAGGCTGTCGAGCCACTTCCGGCAGCGCTGCTGCGTGCGCGTCCGCCGGAGCCCGTTTTGGGCCGCAAGCCGAGCAGGCGCGACCCAGGAGCGCGCCGCGCGCCGACACTCCCCGCGACCAGCGAGGCGTGGGCGCACCTCGTCCCCGCCCCGCCCCCCGGCAACACGCAAGGGAAGGCTTTTCTTGCAGAAAATCTTTTATTTCACTCCAAAAACTACCAACAAGGAACAAGATTGATTAGCTGCCCTCCCACACAGGGAAGAAATGACGCTCCCTTGTACTACAGAGGAGGAAAAGCAGCATTTCCAACTGCTCATTTTAGGGGTGCAACCCTATTCTAAGACAGAGAGGAGTTCTATGAAGCCCATGCTGGGAACTGTGGGAAGTATTTCTGTCCAAACATGCAGTGGGCTGTGCCTTCAAAGTTCCAGTGCTGCCATCCCAAAGACAGCAAACAGGCAGGTGGATACTTGCAGGCCTCTCTCAACTAGAGAAAGGGTGAAACAGGTCCTAGGAATACGTACATACAACTGAAGACCCCTCATAAGATCTACTAGCAATCTTAACCAGGCCGGGCGAGGGGGGGGCACATATAACACTTGGAGCCAATTCTGCTTAACTCCTGCTTAATAGGAAAACTCAAGAAAGAGTACAGGAGCAGATACAGGGGGTTCTCCAAGAACCTAGTTATTCCTGCAGGTGATGGGGAAATGAAAGACCCAACAGTGAAATTTTAGCTACTGCTTTGTACAGAGAACAGAAGCATTCTAACTTAGTATTTCTTTTTCCTTTCCAGTAGCTCTCCATTGTAAGGGCTGCCTGTACTATTAACAAATTATATGAGGAGCCACAGGACAGAACCTTCTAAGCAGCTTACAACCATTTGGGCAGGTCAGTCTCCCAAGACTACTCAAAATCTACATCTCAGCATTTCCCAGGGTTGTTGGCAATTAAGTCTACTCCATCCCCACTCACAAGGCTTTTCTGCTCCAGCACAGCAAAATATGAAGTGGTGCGCAAGCAACTTTTGAAAGAAAGGGTATCTGCAGAGAGGAAGTCTCAGGAACTAGCCAAGGACATTCTGGGTTGTGTTGTTATTTCATTTCTGTGTACTAGCAACTGCAGGATGGTCAAGATGGTCTGTGGAAATTGAAGATGGCAAACTTCTGCAAAAAGGTGCCTCTATTGTCGCACAGGCTAAACTAGTTTTTTCGCTTCAAAGAAACTCTTGAGGTGTCTCATCTGCCAAATGCCTGTGAGGATGAGGATGATTGTCTGGGCAATGGACCACCACAGCACTCGCTGATTAGTGCTCTCACTGGTCATACGGAATCTCTCCTCTCGGTACTGCAACAGGGAAATAGCAGCAAGAGTCAGAATTGGCCACCCCATCCAACTTCCCCGCTTACAGTTCTACTTGAATCCCTGAAATCCACTCCAAAGCAGTTTCTGCTCCCTCCAGTCTTATCCCCTTCAACAAGAATAGGTATGAACCCGTTGCATTATCTAATCTGAACACTGCTGGGTCCTCATCTCTGCAGCTGTATTTGTGCAGTGTTTGGCAAGCTCTTTCTATGGCTTCAGACTAACAAAGCCTCCATGTGAGATCAAGTGGGTGCTTGCCAAAAATAACGCTCATAGATCCCCCCCCCCCAATTAAGCTTAAGTGCTATGAGAGCTTCTCACTCTTTGGTAGTTCTGCTCCTTCTGGATTTGCTCCACCTGGTCCAAAAGCTGTCTGGCTCTTAACTGCAGTTCTGTCAGTTTATCCTTGGCTGCAATCTCAGGGTAGTTGTTGGTGTGCTCTCCAACTTGGATATCCAGGTGCACTCGCTGAATACAAAGCAACATATAGTCAACCAGTCCCTGTCAACTTCCACCCTCCTGGGCCTTTTCTAGCCTCCTGCCCTCCAATCTCAATTGCTCAGTACTGAATGAAGCTCTGGCCACTGAGAAAGGAAAAGGAGGAGAAAATAAAATGAAAACATTTTGAAGAAACGCTGGCATTTTGCACTAGCTTTCATAGCTCTGCAATGCATTTCTCTTTCTTTCATTGAGAAATAAGGATATGAGAAGAGCAAAGTTGCTTGAGAAAATGACTAATGCCTGAAGTCTAAGCAAGATGGGCAAAAGAGCATCACTTACCAACTTCCCCCCTGCAAAAAGTGCCATACGAGTAGAATTGGAGTGGAGGCAGATCTGGTGTTCCCCTGGGGTGTGTGAAGTGAACGTGAACCGGCCTTCCGAGCCATACTGCCTGGAGAGCACCACCTGAAGGGGGGAAAAGCCTCAGCTGTGGCTGGTCCACCCCGGTGAAGGCAGCCGCCTCCCTTTTGGGTCCGCGGGTGTCCCCACTTTCTCTGGGACTATCGCCACATGTTGAGAAACGGGGGGTGGGGCAGAGGGGCAACCGAAGCCCACCACGGGAGAAGGCAGGCTGACAGAAAGGCTCCGAGAAACCCAAGTTTTGTTAGCCCTGCCCCACGGGGGAGCGATGAGAGACAAGGGGTGCCCATTTTCTCCTACCATGTCTGGCCGGCTCGGCTCGGAGCAGCCGCTGCCACAGGGCTGGGGGCGGGGACCCGGGAGGAGCCGCCGGCCCAGGCCGCCCCCGTGCTCACCTTCCCGTCAGGGTCCTTGACCTCCACGAACATGCCCAGGCCGGGCGTGGAGGGCAGGAAGGCCTCGGTCTGCTTGTCCCACAGCTGCGTCCGGTAGTTGCCTGCAAGGAGGAGAAGCGTGAGCCGGGCCGCGCTGGGCCGCGCGGGCGCCTCCCCCCGCCCCGCGCCTACCGATGACCATGGTCTCGTCCGGGATCTCCTCGATGAAGCAGCGCTTCTCGGTCTCTCCGATGTGGAAGTACAGCGCGTACGCGCCGCGGCCCGCACCCAAGAGCAGCAGCAGCAGCGGCCACCAGCGCGCCCGCCGAGGCGCCGCCGAGCGCCGCCCGCCGCCCGCCATCGACGCCCTCGCGCGCAGGCCGCCGCCGCCGCCCACGTGATCGGCCCGACCGGCGGCCCCCGGTCCCCGCGCAGGCGCAGACGGGCGCGTGGGGCCTGGCCGTATTGCCTCTTCCGCCCGGTGCCCTCTTGAGGCCGTGGCCGGGGGCTTGGGGCAGCCTGGCTCCCCTCCTCGAGGCGGACCCCGGCGCCCGGGCCTCAGCTCCAGACCGCGGGAGCCCTCTCCGCCCGCTGCCCGGCTGCTGCCGTGACTCTGGGCGCCGTGCTGGGCCCGCGTGGGTGGGCAGGCGCGATGGTGTCCGTGACGGGCCGCCCTCGGGGCGCCTTGAGATGGTGCTCTGGTGGCCAGCTGCCCTAGTCGCCGAGTCCTGGAAGAGGGCTGCTCTGGGGTTCTTCCTATCCCCGGGGGCCTGATCCGGGGTGGAAAGCGTTTGCCTGATTAGTTGTTACTGTATTTTTACATCACCCTGCAGCTGGAAAGCTCCTTGGGCGGTTTACAAACTCAAAATGCAATAATAAATATAAAGCAATCATTGCAAACAATTTAGAGTGTTGCGCAAAGAGGTGCTCTCGGTGTGATCTGAGTTCTAGTCCCTGCCCTGCCGTGGAGCCAACTGGGTCATGTGGGACCAGTCACAGGGTTGTTGTGGGGATAAGAAGGAGAGCATCAGAATTGTATACACTGCTCACAACTCATGTTCTTTAAAAGAAGAAAAGGTAGGATATAAACCTAAGGTAAATAAATAAATGGCATGCTCAGGGTTCTGTTCAAGACAGGTCATGTAGACACGGTGCCTCTTCTCCATGTGTGAGATGATGTAACTTGGTGACTTGCAAAAGCAGGGGGTTGGACCCTAGGGCCTTCAGGGCCAGTTCCCACTCTCCAATTCTATGAGTGTGTTTCCCATCCCCAAAGTTCTCTTTTGGGATTGGGATCATGAGGTAGGTCTCAAATGATGGATCATGCCCAGGAATGTTACTTTGAATGCTTTAGCAGTTTCGCTGCTTATCTTCTGAAGTACTGGGTACAGTCTGAATAATCAGCACACATTTTTGTGCTTAGGCATGCTAGACAACTTTCTGCACAACAAAGGCAGACCTCTGGACCACACTGACTGTGGTGGAGATAATAGTAGCCTTTTAGTGATTTTAGTGGGCTCTATTTTGCTCCCTTGGGCTCAAGGATGGTAGTGTTGGGGGACAGGACAAGTCTGAAAGTTATATAGGGCAGTTTGAAAATTGCCCAAATCATGTCACTTTTTGTGCCAGTCCTCTGTGAAGCCCTCTGCTTTATACAGTATTGAGCTCACATATCAGCTGCAACAATCACTCATGATTTGAGCAGATGAACAAAGGGGCAGCAAATCAACTGTGCAAGGGGATGCTTGAAAGCAAACTGAGCTAACTGAAAATGACCACAGTTTCCACATGTCTGTAGGGAAGCTACTTCCTGCATCATACAGGCCCACAAGATGGCAAGGCTTTCCTCAAAGCACCATATGCCTTCCTAGAATGAGCCAATCTCAAGTTACTTTATTCCCAGCCATGCAACTTCCTCTCAGCTGCACTCAAACTGTGTTAGGGGTAAGCATACAACTACCTGATATTCTGAAAAATCCCAGCTAGGGCATTTGGTTTTCATTTCAGCTTCCCCTGTATCACTAGAGGTGATTCAGCTGTTGGTCACTGCTTGCATGGTTGCCACCAGCACTCCAAAGCAAAGTGAGAGCTGAAGGGAGCCATAATCAGAAAGGTTTCGGAGGAGAAATCCCTCTTTAGCCACTGCATCCCACAGGTCCTACTATCGCATATTGGACTTCGGCTGGTATCTTGGTCCTATGGGAGGAAGGCAGAATTTTCTTCATTTGTTAAATTTATGCCCCACCTTTTTTTCCTTTAAAGAACTCAAAGCAGCTTACATCATTCACCTCCTGGGCTCAATCTTATCCCCAAAACAACAACCCTGTGAGGTAGGTTGGGCTGAGAGCCTGTGAGTTGCCCAAGATCACCCAGCTGGCTCCATGGCTGAGTGAAAACTAGAACCCAGGCTGCCTGAGTCCCAGTCCCATGCTCTTCACCCTACACCACAGCAGAGTGTGATGCTACCAGCATCTGGCATTTTGGCGTGGAGCAGATCCAGGAAGGTGAGCAGGCACTGCCAAATATGTTGAGCAAGTTCCTTAATCCTGTGATCATGCTAACAATGAGAAGCATGCAAAGTCCTGCAAAAGGCAAGGGAGACCAGAGCAGGCAGCGCTGCCCTTGGAAGGCTGCTGGGGATTGCAGGATGCTGCTAAGGCCTCTGGAACAGTGCAAGTGCCACCAGCCTCTTTTGTAATGCCTGCTTGCTGACAACTGGGCCAAGGCAAGGCCACTCCTCCTCATACTCTTCAGGCTGCACCATAAATAGCTGGGGGGGCCGGCAGGCTGCCTAGTCCAAATCCACAAGAGCAGAGCAATGTGCGACTCACAAGCAGAAGAGCTGCCAGCTAGTATGGGTATGGGAGTGCAGCTGGACATTCAGCTCAAGTGCTGCTTTTTAAAAACTTTGTTTGTGAGCATTGCTTTTGAGCTTTCTCATGGGGAATTTGTTTCCCCTTTTTTCAATGGATATGCCAGGGCAGGATGGTTTGGGGAACCTTCTGAGGAGCTGAGAGTGAAGACTGGAGGGAGACTCGGATGCCTCCAGGTGAAGGGAGGATTCCTTGCACTAGCAAGCAGATAGCCTGTTCGTCTTTTTCTCCTGGATGGATTTTCTGAATAGGAAAAAGATGGGAGCAGTAGCAAGAAGGGAAGAGGGTAGCCAGCAGAAGACTGTGTGCTCTGGACACCACACCACACTACTATACACACACACCTCTCAGAGTGGGAAAGGGATCAAGAATGTGATGGTGCTGCAAAAAACAAAATCTTGTCAGGAAGCTTTTGCTTTGAGGCAACCCAAACTCAGCCAAAAGGCAGACGTTGTGCTTACTTTTGCAGAATAACACTTTTAGAATATATGCATTCTTTTCTTAGAAAATATCATCAGCTCAAATCTATTTTCTCGCCACTGTGTTAATGTATTGCTATTTACATGTTGCGTTTGCATGTAGCAATAGGAACTTGAGCCACAATTTAAGGGAAGTTTTGCTTCAGCATTCAGGGTTACAACATGAATTGCAACACCCACAGCAGCTTTTGGACATTTGGGGGCTTCTGTCACAGCTACGTAATTGACTATGGTGCCAGGCAATTATGTACCTTTGTGCCATATGGTTGACAAGGGATCTATAAAAAGCCTGCCTGGCTGATGAAGCAGAAATTCTAAGTTCACAGTGCATCATGGAGTCCCACACATGGCCAGGGAGTAACATCCTCTTGTTTCTTTCTGTTTTCTGTACAGATGAGAAGGTCTGTGCCCAGGCAACCATCTTCAAGTCCCGGTAAGTACCCTGAGCCAGTGCGTAGCCTGCTCCCACAGCAGGGCGGAATGCAGTGGCACACCACCTCTGCAGCTGCAGAAAACGAGCTGCTCTGTCCAGGACTCTCCAGCTGGACTTGCTTCAGTCACCAGGAACAGAAGGCAGAGACAAACACTGCTGCATATTCGGCAGTGGACTCCTGGCAACATCTGTGCCTTGTGTTTTCCTTGCAATATGATGCCATTTGCTCTGGAGAACAAATGAGCTTCTAGTCTAAACAAATGACTGCCTTCAAGTGAGGCTTTTATTGTGCCTCATTCATGGAATTCTGTAGCCATCCAGTATTTTCCTACCACTTCTACTGTTCCTGTTTTACTACAAAAATCAGTTAAAGAGGCAGCACTTCGGGGTCAGGAGTGGCAGATGGTGGCATCCAATGCTGGGCTGGAATGTCAGGTAGTGCCTCTAGCGTAAGGCAGGGACACTGAGGCACGCATGCTGATCAGTGAAGTAGGAGGCAGCCAGAGCCTCAGTGAAGGTGGTGGTTAGTAAAGATCAGAGGACTGCTGGCAGCTTTACAGCTGGAGAGAACAAGTGGGTGGACATTTCTTTTAAAGTCAAATATTGATATTTCAGAATCTGGGATACTGACCAGAAATCCCTTTACCTGCAGAATGACGAGCTGGTAGCTGGACATCTGCAAGGCCCCAATTCTGCTCTAGAAGGTGAGTTTGTTCCTGAGGATGAAGGTGGGAGGGGCAAGAAATCCTCCCACCAAATTAGATCCAATCCGGATTGGGGATGCAGCCAGTGCATCCCTCCTGGGAGCTGGACTGCTTGGGATGCTTGCAAGATTTCAAGGTGGAGGGGTGTTAGCTTTAGGTGCCAGTTGACATTTCCCATGTGCCCACCCACCCTTTCCTTGCCTCAAAATCTAGTTACTCCAGCGGCAAGGCAAGTCTCCCTCAGTACTTCACCTGGTCCTTTCCTTCCTTCTTCTCCTCATTACTGCCTCCCTCTTTGTGCCACCTCCCCTTTCCAGATCTGTTGCAGGCAACATCCATGCTGGGGAGTTTTTCTTGTTGGACCTAGCCCTGTGTCTTCGGGAAAGGACATTAAGCTTGTCTGAGGAGCCCTGACCTCCTTCTCACAAGCACAGGTGGTTTCCTTCTGAGATGGAGGCAGGTTGTACATCAAATGTCTCCTTGGCTAAGAGCTTTTGACCGTACCTTGCCATCTGCCAGTTCCTAATCTCCAAATGCCTTCCATCAGCTAGGAGATGGCTTCAGTGGGTGTGACAGCCCCTCTTTTTCTCATGTGAGCCAGCATGCTGAGGATGAGGAAGCACCCCTCAAATGCTCCCTTAGCCATGGAGCTCACTGGGCAGCCTTGGGCAGGCGTTCTTCCCCAGCCAGCCCCAGCTCGGTTGTCGCTAGGCTGGAACAGGGAGCGGGAGAGCTGAGTGTACTGCCTTTCATGGGCCAGAAGGTGTGAAATAAATATGATAAATAAACATGGAATGTATTGATTATGTTTACACGCTATCTCTGTTCTCTCTCCCTCCCCTGCAGAAATGATTTACTGGATTCCCATCCATGCCTTTGACCATGAGAAATTACTAGTCATCTTGAGCATCCAGGATGGGCAGAGGTGCTTGGCCTGCTCCTCTGGGGCCCAGCCAGTGCTACAGCTTGAGGTGAGAGCTCATCTTTGTCCAACATATTAGTTCACTGTGCTGGGGAGATAAAGCCAGCTCAGCAGGTGTGTCAGTCTTGGGGGGGGGGGCGGGGGGGAGAGAAGTGGGGGTGTTGTTACAACCTAATTCTCTGTGTGTTTACCTGGAAAGGCATTATAGTTTGGGGTTCCTGTGTCCATGTTTGCAGCCCTACAAGCTCCATGTTATTGGTGTTTACAAATGCAGGACTCTTGATGCTAACTCTCAGAAGGCACATACAGCAATACAGCATTTTTCCTTAATGGAACCGTCAAGCAGAACAAGCAGTGGGGAAACACAGGAGGTTATCAGTGGAAGGCATTGGGACTTCCTGCAAAATTCTGCCAATGAGGCAGGATGGTAGCACAGGGGAGGCTTCTCTGGAAACACTCTTTCTGTGGAGGGAAAGCTGGAGAATTGGCTGCCGCCACCCTGCCTGCAGCCTGCCCACCCAGTCCTCTGGGACTGCAGCTGCTTTGGAAAGAAGCAATCCCAGAACAGCAGTAGCTGCTCTCAGAGTGGAGCCGATGCTGCTTTGCTCCAAGGGCCCTTCAAGGAAGGAGGCAACATCACCCTCGCGTCTTCCATTTTGCTTCTTCTGCTTTGACAGCAGGATAGGAGGAAAAGACAGCGGGTCTGTTTGTACTGTACAGGAGTGCGTGAGCAGTAGTGTGGGCCCCCAGGGTATCCTACTGAGTCTTCCCCTCCAGATGGGATGACTTTTTTGTGGCTGCAAAGCTATCCCAACAAGCCATGGCTGTTGTCTGGTGTTGTAGCCATCCCTGGGCCTGCCATGTGGTCCAGGCTCAGAGGACGCAGTTGGCCCCAGGGAAGCCCCAAACCCTACCGGCTGCCTCGCTAGAGGGCCACAGGATAGAGGAGCTCTGACCAAGCTGGTCGGGTGGCAGCCGCCCGCACAGGCCTCGCGGGGGGGGGGGGGCCTGCCCGAGTCGGTCGCCTGCATGGCCTCAGTAGGGAGGGCAGCAGGGGCATGTGGTAGCAGTGTGTTCCTGGGCACAGCAGCAGGGCCCTTTGTGGGGAGTGCTGCTGGTGCACGTCTGTGGCATCTGTCGTCTTCGCTCCCTCAGTGTCCCTGTGCTGTCTCCTGGTGGGAGACGTGAGGGAAGAAGAGTGGGGAGGGGTGGAGTTCTTCAGGACCCCCACTTTGCCTCCTCATTTGTCAGGCACAGCAGAGGGCCCAGGCTGCCTTCAAGGCAAGGGTAGCTTAAAGGTGGACCCAGGCTCAAAGTGTCCCATGACACCCCCTCCCCCGGGCTACTTACCCTTCGCATGGCTTGTGCTCCCCGGCTTTGCACAACATGAAAACCCCCAGCAGGGGCTGGATATGCAAAAGGCTGTGGGCACTGTGGTTCGTCTGAACAAGAGCAGTGACCGAAAGAAGCGGCACTATGGGTAGGGGCAGGAAAGACCCATGAAAGAAAGAGGGATTCTTCTCCACCCACCCCCTAGGTGGGCTTCAGTGAGGGATTGGCCGGCTGGGATGGGAATGTTCTTGTGTATCAGGATTCAGCATCCCAAAAGGTCTCTGGTTAGCAAGGGTGCCCCTCTGTTACGCTGACTACTCGTGATTCAGCTCCAGGGTTTGGCAAGCACACTTCCCTTTTTACCAGTCCCCCAGACCCGGCTGGGTCTAAGCCACATGTGGAGCAACTTCCCCTTTGCTATTCCTGCAGCAGCAGCCCTGATCCAGCAACTGGAGTTCAGTGACTCTACAACAGCAGGAGTGAGGGGCTGGCAAATGGACCATTTGCTATTTTTCCCTACTGTTTTGTTTAGTTGAAACAATTTTTCTGGGCACCTTAAGTGCGTGTTGGGAGGCAGCTTCTGATGTCATCAGTTTCACTCCAAGAGAATGAGCTACTGAGCATAAACTGATTTTTGAAGTAGTTGACTTGTTGGGTAATAAGGGGAAGGAAATGATGCCAGGGTTTTGCTGGGCCCTGTTGCAAGATGCCAGCAGGAAGGGCAGGCAAGTATTGCAGGTGTGTTGCAGCACATGCAGTGGGGAGAAGTTTCGCGCTTTCTCAGACTGTCAGCTTCCCAGACTGCGCATGATGACAGCAGATGCGGACTCTGCTAAGCAAAGTCCATGCAGAGGGCAATGCCCACATTCTATTATTTTAGACACCAGCGAAAGAGGCTTTTGTTCTGCAGGCACTTTGGAGGGTGAATCTCTTGGGCTTTGCTTTTAATGTTTTGTTTCAAACTTAATTGCTGCTACTATTTAAAATTTTATAAGTTTATATTTGTATGACTTTATAACTTATGGATTGCGCTTAATCATTTTTTATTGTTGCTGGAAATTTGATTTATGTTGCAGCTCCTTCTCAATTTACTCCTTTTATTTATCTTATTTATTTAATTCTTTTAATTATTATTACTTATTGCTTATTCTTTGGTTATTATTGATTTAATTGCTTATTAGTTTTATTGTATTTATTGGTTTCATTGTATTGCTTGGTGGCACTGATTACCGTATTTTTCACTCTATAAGACACACTTTTTTCCCCCCTCAAAAGTAAGGGGAAATGTCTGTGCGTCTTATAGAGCAAATGTGTGTGTGCCCGATGCCCGGGACGCTGCCGGCCGCCTGCACCACGTGGCATCACCTGGCCGGCACGCGCTCGGCACGCCCTGCTCCACCCCACCCCCCAGCACAGGTGAGAGCTGTGCCGCTCAGGGGGAGGTGTGTAGAGGAGGAGGAGCTGCGGACTTTAACCCGCCGGCCGCACAGACAGATGGACTGCTCACCCCCACCGCCCGGGAAGACCTGCCGCCGCCGCCATGCTGCCTGGAAGACCACCACCGGCATGCTGCCGGCCCGGCTGCACCACACCTGGCCGGCATGCGCTCGGCGCACCCTGCTCCGCCCCCCTCCTCCGGTGCAGGTGTGAGCTGTTAATCAAATGGCAACTCATCTTTTAATGAAGCCCATGGGGAAGTGATGGGGGAATGTGCCTGTGATTATCAGGAAGTTTTCCATGGATCAGTTATCTGTTAGTTGATCAGACACATTTTTTTTTAAGATCAGTGGATATTTGAACAGCATTACCTTTGTGTATGAAGTTTATTCTTCAAAGGCTACTTAGTCTGCTGTGTGTTTGATTTACCGTACAATATCTCATTTTTTGTCAGAAGTTTTTTTCTATTATTTACTAGTAGGGCAACGTGGACATTACTGGCTTTTTTAGATTTGTTATTGAATTGTCTGCAGCAGCTCTTGTATAACTGGTGTAGATTGTGGATTCCTTTAATAATTCCACTACTGACTAAGAAAGTGATGTCAGTGATTGTGAGCAACAGGGCTTCATAAATTCTTACTCTAGTGATGATGAGTTCTATGAGTTCAACGAAAACTAGAAGAGTACCTTGAACTTTAAAGTCTCTCTTGTGTTAAGGACAGTGATGATGGTTCTTAATGCCACTGTTGACTGCTGTTCACTTTACAAGGTTGAAATACGGTATTACTGTATTCTGTTATAGTTTATTAAATAGTTTAGTAAACCATTTGATTCAGAATATTTTTTTCTTGTTTTCCTGTTTTCCTCCTCTAAAAACTAGGTGCATCTTATAGAGTGAAAAATACAGTATATGCAAGCCTCCCAGAGAGCCTTTGGCTAATCGGGCTGCATGTAAATCAAATGCATGAATAAAATGATGCTTCTTTGCCCAAACTGCAAAATCTTTGCCCAAACTGCAAACTGCAAAAAACTGCATTTGCCTATTGAACGAGGTAGAGTGTTTTGGACCACTGGCTTCTTCAGGATGAAGGCGTCACCCCCCACCCCCCTCAGTGGGCATGGGGACTGTTGTAGGAAGGCTGCCATGCCTTTGGCAGCAGTCACTCGATGAAGCAGCGTTGGGCATTTCACTGAACCTCCTTGGTAACTCCGTCTCTCCTCACCAGTCTGTACAATGCAACCCAGTGTGAGCCAGTGTGGTGTAGTGGTTAAGAGCATGGGACTGGGACTCAGATGACCTGGGTTCTAGTCCCCGCTCGGCCATGGAGCCAACCGGGTGACTTTGGGCCAGTCACAGACTCTCAGCCCTACCTACCTCACAGGGTTGTTGTTGTGGGGATAAGATGGAGGAGGAGAATGATGTAAGCTGCCTTGAGCCCTTTGAGGAAAAAGGCAGGATATAAATCGAAAAAGAAATAAATAAATACCCCCACTGGACAGGGATCAACCCACAGGAAGGCAGCAGAGTGATGGTCCAGGGGGTGCCCTCCCACCCTAACCAGCCTCTCTCTTTCTCTTCCTCAGAGCATCAACATCACAGATCTGTACAAAGATGGCAAAGAAGAACGAGCCCGTTTTACTTTCTTCCTGTCTCGTAAGGGTGGGATGTGCCAGTTTGAGTCGGCAGCCCATCCAGGCTGGTTCCTCTGCACCTCTTACAGACCCAACGAGCCCCTTGGCCTCACACGGGTGACGGGAGCATCTCATCTGGTGGACTTCTATTTCCAGTCACACTGAACTTGGGAGTACCAGTGGCAGGAAGCTCTTGAAGAGAACAGCCTCAGCAGGGCCTTGTAAAACTGCAGCCACTGCCCCAGATGCCAGAGCCTCCCTCCTTCAGCTGTGCTGCAGCCCCCACTCCCATGGCGGAAGTGCTGCCGGGATGGATGGCTGAGCACATACTGCATTCAGGGGTCCCTCGTCCTCAGGGTGTTCCCAGGCAAGGGCTCCTGATGCATTTAACACTTTCCTACCACATCCATGAGCAGAATGCCTCTTGATTGTCCAACCTTCAGAGCTGCTCGCTTCTTCCTCCTCTTCACTGGCGCATGCTTATTGCTATGAGAGCTCCCGGGCAAGGTTTTCACCATGCCAACATTGCCCTGCTTCATTGCTTCGTTTAATTAAGGAGAGAGAAAAGGCTGGCTGCAGGAAGTGTAGTCAGGTATCCTTTGCTGCTTGCCCCCTGTGCTGGCCACTGGGTGCTTTCGAGCACACAGCTGAAACTACTCAAGACATCTGTCCTGGGTGGTTTTCCCTCAAGGCTTTCTTGCTTACTGGCCATGTTGCAGTCACAAATAGGAAAGCAGTAATGGTGTGGAAGAAATCCAGACTCTTCTATGCTACTTTTCTTACAAATGTCTACTGCATCTGTTTTGGACTCACTGAGAAAAGACAGAGGCAATCAAGCCTTATCTGCAATATTCCAGTATGTTAAAAATGTACAAACACACCACAAAATGCTTGTTTGAAAGAGCACAGAAGAACGGAAATAAAGATGTTAGCTGTTCAAAGGAATAATTTTAAATAATTTACATAATTCTACAGCCATACAGCTGATGGAAAATCAAGGAAAGGGTATCCTTACACATACCAACAGGGTCAAGCAATTTGCTTCACAACCAGATTTAGAGATGCCCCTAGCAATTTGGACAAGCACGATGAGAATGAAACAAATATCAGGGTTACCTCCCCACAGCCAGAAGTACAAGTTCAGATCTGGAATGCCCTGCCTCATGCAGGAGAAGCAAGACTCCATCTCCTTCCTCCCAAATTGGATATGAAGCAGCCAGCTGAGAATCCCAGTTTTAAAGGATTTTTATGCATGTGGGGCTTCTGGGAGTGTGGAGAATTGGTGGCTAAATTGCTGCTGAATGTAAATTTGGAAGACTGTTGACCTTCCAAAAGCGTAGACTCCCCAAACATTCAAAAACACTCTGTCTAGAGGTAAAGTGATGTAGCAAGAATGGCATGTGTGGCACTTCCCTTTGGCCAGGTGGGGGTTGGGGGTACCAAATGGTGAGGATTTTATTGTGTAGTTGTCCTACCTTGTTCACAGAATTTTAGGTCCCATGTGCACTATCAGTATCCCTCCGGGACATCCCCTTCTGTCTTTCTTCCCTTCCACAAAGCATGTGTTAAAGTGGGAAGGACAGAAAAGCTGCTCAATGCTGTCCATCGGTAGTGCTGAGAGCCTGGAAGAGTTAGAGCTGGTATCAGTCCTTCATTACCCCAGGGACTTCCAAGCCAGGCAGTGTTGAGGTTGGTTTGGAAACTGTAGTTGGTCCAAAATGAGCAACACACTGATTGATACATAGCACTCCAATCTTTGTTTTTCCTTTTCAAATTCCATGTATGTGCCAGTGTAGTCTTTAAAGCCAGGTTACCTCAAGAACCGCTGCTCCCCTCGGAGGCTGCTCTGTCCCACAGTATAAGAGTGCCTTTTCAGTGGTGGCACCAAGCCAAGCTTCCTTCCCTGCAAATATCTGCCAGACTGACCCCACTCCTGCCACTTTTCTTTAGGTATCAAAGATCTTTTTGTATTTTAACAAGCTTTTGATCTTTAAATTTTATGGCTGCTAGTTTTAAGTATTGTTGCTACTCTCACATTTTAGGTATTTTTGCCTTTAATTGTTCTGTAGTGTTTATCAGTTTTATTGTTTATGTCTCTAAGCCCCTGGAATGTTTTAATGAATACTGAAGAACAACAGCAAAATGGAGTACCATTCAGGGCACAGCAGCTTCCTTTAGGAACCAGCTGCAGGTTGAGCAGCTGTGCTACCTGCTGCCAGGCTTCAACTCGCTTCCATGAGCGTGTGTGAGTCTATTTGTCAATAAGCTTGTTTCTAGGGGTGAAAACTGCAGCTCTTAATTGGTTATGGAGTGGCCACAGGAAAGAGCAGACGAGCCTCCTCAGCCTTTGACGGGCATGGGAAGCTCCCTCTCGGACCTCACAGTTGCTCTCCCCTCAGAACATCCCCAATCTCAGAAGGGCAGCACTGGGGTGCAGAAAACCATGCGGGTGGCAGGGGCACAGCCTCCTTATGAAGTACACACCTCGCATCCACCTCCTCATGTACAACTGACAGCAGCTTGGGCATTTTGGAAGTACAAAACAGTTCCATTCATACTTTAATTCCTTACATCCCCCCTCCCGCCGCCAGCAATCAAATAAACACTCCAGGGACAGGGCTATGTGTCGCTGCTTCCAGGGCAGCCACTGCACCAAGGAGGGAGAGCTGTGTGCAATGAACTCTAGAGGACAGGTCTGCCTTGCATTTTGCAAACAAACCCCTAGATATGCAGGTCAAGCGTGGTGACTGGTGCATGCTCAGTTGCAGCAAATGTGCTGTGGGACTGCACACATGCTCAGCTCCAAGTTCCATGCCCGAAGCTCAGAAGCTACCCAGTGCCTGGCAATACCATGCAGACCATCGGCCACATCCATCAGCCAGCAGTACCCTGGAGTACAACCTGATGCCTGCATCCTTGGCAATTTAGGGCACCCAGATCCATGGCCTGGGGAGTCGGATCTCAGCACATGATGCTTTGGGCTGCTTAAGAGAATCTGGCATGGGAATCTGAAACCTTCATCCTTCCATGGAAGCAAGTCAAGCTGAGAAAGGAGAGGAAATCTTGCTGGTCCTGCAGGGCCCACAAGGAATCTAGAGTCAGGCAGCCCGAAACAGCACCCCATTCACAGCCCATCCCTCAAGCCAGGAGCAGCAGCAAGGGCCCCGTGATCAGCTGCTGCAGATCCACCATGCTGCTGCCACCTTTGCCGAGTAAACGATGTTTATTCAGAAGTTCTCCAGCCCCAATTGTGCTCAGTCAGCACTCTCCCAGGTCAACGTATTCGGAACTGTGGCCCCTTCAACCCCAGATGGCTCTCTAACATGTCAGAAAGATGTTGCAAGCCGCATGTGGCACAGATCTTTGATGTGGAGGGAGCATCAATACTGCTTTGGAGGAAAAATGCTGTTCCAAGCGTCTCCACCCTCATCAGCATGACCTGGGTTGCAGTTTGGCGGTACCTGGGGGAAGAAATTCATGGCTCCCCGGTCTTTTTTTACTGCCACCGATTCTGGTCCCACCCTGCAGCACCACAGCCATGGCAAAGACCAGTTGCGTTAGAGCAGATTGGCTAGAAGAGCCAAAGGGCTATGCTCCTCTTGTCATGCCCACGCACTGACTGCATTGCTGCTAAACCTGTCCTGCAACTGGCAGGCTCCTCCTTGGCGGGCTGGATTGCTCTGTTTTCTTGTTGGCTCCATCTTAAGATGTCTGCTTCGGTTGGGCCCTGACCTGCATGAGGCTGTTCCTGGTGAGATCATGGCACGGTGGTCCAGCGGCTGCTGCTGTGCTGCTGCGGGGAGAGTTAGATGATGTGGGCCTCTTGTGGCCGAGCCCAGCAGTGAAATGGGTAAGGAGAGCAGGGGCAGGGGCGGGCTGACAGAAACCTTGAGCTGGGCACAGGGTGCCATCCTACAGGGATGCTCGCCAGCTCCTGAGCTTGGGGCACCTTGGTGCTGCAGCTTTGCCAGACGGTCGTTTGCAGCCCTCCAGCTGAGGTGTTCCGGGGGGAGAGAACACCTCATTCGCTGGCTGCCCCAGTCTCCTTTCCACCCCCAGGAAGCACGCTGTGCAACCCCTCTCTGGGGTATCTTTCCAGACTTGGAATGTGGCTGGCTGTGATGGAGAGGGGGAACCAGTGTTCTGGTGTTGGGCACTATTCCCAACAGAACTGGGAATCAACTATCCTGAGGTCTCCGCAGACAATGCTAAGGGAGATAGGAATGTTCCCTTGCAGAGGGAGGGGGGGAGAGCCCTGTGCTGGTCAGAACAAGGATTTGCCTAGTTGGGTGCTTCGATGAGATTGTGGTCAACAGAAGGAAAGCCCCACAGGGGGCATATTCACGAAGCCACGTGAGCAGAGGCTATTGGGAGCCGCACAGAAGGTCAGGACAGCAGGTAAACCCCCTTCGGGCTGCTCCACTGCAGCCCCTGGTCTGCTGTGAAAGCTGATGGCCAGAGCCTGATCATTTGAAAGTAAGAAAAAGCCGCCTGCATAACAGTGAAATAGGCATGCCTCCACTTGCATGCTGAGAGGCTTGTATTTTGGCATATTCAGACAAAATCTTTCCAAAGGACTGCCGCTGGAATGGTCAGTTTCTGGTGAAATCTGTTCCTCTGTTGTTGATTCTCAATATGTATCTGCGATTCATCTCCCTGCCTCCCTGTTTTGATGGCAAGGATAGCCCGTGTGTGACAACTTTCCTTAGGACAGCACTGGCTGTTCCTGACTAGAGGCTGGGGGCAGCAGCCTTGCCACTGTCTCTGGGTGGCAGTCAGCACTCACCATGCTTCATCTGCCCTAGAGGGGCCTGTGGCAGCACTGCTCAGGCAGCAGAAGGATCTCCCCCCCCCCCCCCCCCGCACCAGCCCCATCGCCCACCTCTGTCTCACTCTCTGGTGCAGAATTCTGTGGCTTCCCACTGAAGACAAGGGGAGCGAAATTACTTGCACTTGTCTGGGCGTATTTGGAGAACAAGGCCAGTCAGATTTGGAAACTGCAGCCCAAGTCTGCCCCAGTTCCCTTGCTCTGCTAGCGTAGCTTCACCAGAAAAGCATCCTCAACAGAGTTCCTCCGCTGTACTAGGAGAGTCCTGCTGGCGTAACAGCACCATGCTGGCAGCGTAATTCTAGATGAGGCCCACGGTGTCCCCTGGTTTAGCTAACATTAACAATCCCACATTGTCTTTAACCAGTCCAATTTTTCTCTCTAGTAACTTCCAGATTTTGCAAAAATAATTCTGTCAGTGGCCAACAGATACATCAGTGGGATCTGAATACTTTTCAGGTTTCATGTGTTTAACAAAATGTATTTAGATACATGTTTGGGTCTAGACTTGACTTTAATTTAAACAGAGTTTAAAAGTGCTCCTAGCCATTCCCTAGAACTTGCAAGCCCTGGTACCTGCCCACCACATGCACTGGAGGCTTCTCAGAGGCTTCATACCACCCCATTTCTTGACTGCAAAGTGACTCAGGAATCCTTCCAAAAATGTAATTCTTGTTTCCAAGGGTGCTTCCAGAGGGAGGGCCAGAGAACCCATAATGGGAAGGCCTTGTGTCTCCATTCTGTCCTTTCCTCCTTACGTGAGTCTCTGTAATACGAATCCAGATGGAATAAGCTGTGGAAAAAGGAAGAGTGTAAGTCAAGGCTGTCTGGACCACCTGAAAAGTTTGGTGATGGCAGCACAGCCATGGCACCATGACAGTCTTGTCCAAAAGCACCCCAAGGTTTGTGTAAGGGGAGCTTTCATTGTGCGTACCTTCAAGTAGCACCTCTTTAAGGACAGTTGACAGACATTCACTGGAGCATGACATTTTGTGGACTAGAAAGGCTCAACGAGGGATAAGAAAGCACCCAGCACAAGCAATCCCTTCATCTTTAGGGTGATGGAATATTCTGTCTGTCTGTCCTTTGTTTTTGTGCTGCCTGATAGCCAAAGTCCTCTGGGAGGTTAACAGCAACACCAATGAAGATTCTTCACTGGACAAGCTGCAACTCAGCAGCCTAGAACAGATAGCATCTGGTCTAAGCCTCTGTTGAATGCAGGATAACCACTGCAAGAGCATCCTCATGTGAAGCGCTAGTTCCCTTTGCTCAGCACTGGTCGGGCCTCATCTGGAGTTCTGTGTCCAGTTCTGGGCACCACAAGAAAGACGAAAACAAGATGGAAGGGCTGGAAATGAGAGATTAAAAGAATGGGCATGTTTAGCCTCAAGAAGAGAAGGCCAAGGTGAACTCAGATAGCACTCCGCAAGTGCTCAAAAAGTTGTCACGGAAAGGAAGGACAAGATCTCTTCTCCATTTTCCCAGAGTGCACAGAATAATGAGCTCAAGTTGCACAAAGCCAGGTTCTGGATCGACATCCTGACTGTTGCAGCAGTACAACAATGAAACCCATGACCCAGGGAAGTCATGGGCTTTCTTACACTGGGGGCATTCCAGATGCAACTGGACAGCCATCTTATAGGGATGGTTTCAGTTGGAGTCCTGTGCTCAGCAATGGGTTGGATCCAATTACAGTGGTACTTTGGCTCATGAACTTAATCCATTACACAACTCTGGTCACAACCCAAATTGGTTGTGAGCCAAGTCAAATTTCCCCATAAGGTTCAATGTAAATAAGGTTAATCTGTTCTGTAACTATTTTTTTTTAATCACAAAAATTTGAAGCAATGTGACAAAGAACAACAAAGATTGTGCCCATCTTCCCTGCATGAGTGTGATCGCGGTCGCGCTCGGCCATCTCCCCACCCCACCAAGCACGACCACGATCCTGCCCATACAGAGAAGATGGATGCAATCGTGATCGTCACCTGATGTGAAGTTCGCAACGTGAGGCAATTTTTTTCTGAAATTTCTGTTTGCAACCCAATTTGGTCATGAACTGAGGGACCACTGTACTTCCTTGGCCCCTTCCAACTTTGCTATTCTGTGATCCCCAATAGGTGTCCAGCACCTGCCTGAAGTCTCCCCCAAAGGAAAGCATGTGTTCCCTTTAGCCTGGGGGAGGGGGCAAGTTGAGAGCCTGCAAATTTTTTGGCCTACAACATCCCTCATTACTGGCTATACTGCACAGAGCTGACAAGTGTTGAAGGCTACAACATCTCAAGGGCTGCAAGTTGCCCACCACCCCTCTAGATAATTGCTTTCATTGTTGAATTGTTCATCAAGAAGTTTCTCCTAATGTTGTATCCAAATTTGTGCCCCTGTAACAAGGAGCCCTGCTGTTAAGATGTAGCTCTGTCCTCCAGAGCAGAGTGCAACCCTTGCTTAGAGCAACCACTCTGGAGGTTGAAATTTGCCACTGTTCATCTTCAAAGAATCTTGCTTGCGGGAAGCAAAGCTATAGCTCCGGCTCAAGATGCTTTCTGGCTCCCTCCACCCTATTAAGCATATAGACGCTCCTGTCCATCTTATTTGCTCACCTTCTTGTCTCCTCCTTTTCTTTTCCTATTATTCCTTCCCTTCCTTGAGGAAGATGGTACAAAATTGTGTGGGAGCAGACTGGGCTTGGGGGGATAGTTTGGAATTTAACCCTATGAAGGAGGGAGGTGAAACAGCTATGACAAAAGAACTGAATAACAAAAAGGTCACTGTCCTAGCTCTCCTCCAGTTTCTCAAAACCCTCAACAGATTCAGAGCTCATTTCTCCCAGAGCATCCCAAGCTACAAAGCACGTTGTCCATGTTGTTGGTTCAGCAAACTGGTCTCCCTTTTTTGTTGTACAGGGCACCGGGTCTGTTCGTGACAAGGAAAAGAAGAGGTTTCCAGCCTTCCATCTTGTTCAGGTCTTGTTCAAAAAGTTCCTCTATGTGTCACTGGGATTTAAGTACGCTTAAGAGGGAGGCTCTGGCCCCGATCCCTCTTCCACTCCTGGCCTCAGAGAGAACAGCCCTTTGTTCCTCATTAATCTGTGTGCAGAACAGCCACCGTAAGCCCTGGGGGTAATCCGGAAGCCTCTGCATGGGTGCAGGCCCCCAGCGCTGTTCACGCGACTCTCCAGTCATACCAAGGGTTCACTTTCTGAAGCAAAGCTTGGACAGCAGGCTGCAGTGGCTCCTGTGGTTTCCTGCTGCTCCTCACAGCTGTGACTTCCTGACAAGACGACAGCAGCAGCAGTGGCGGCGGCGGCGGCTGCCACCTCCATGCAGGGCAAGTTCAGTGCTTCCAGCATTCTGCCAGGTTCAAGCGGCAGCGGAAAAGGACTGGTATCTTTTCCCAGGCTTTAATGCACTTCCGAGGTTAGCATGCTCCATGCCTTGCATGACAGCAGGACGTTTTAGAAAGGCAGAGTGGAAGCCTGTTCAGAAATGGCAAACTTGACTGACAGTGACTGCATTTGAGGAACCAGGACACTTTCTACACCAGACAGTCTGAAGGTTTGGGGACAAAGCAAAGTGCCTGGACTGCAAAAGAACAAGTAAAAAGCCAGCCTGTCTCTGCTGAAGACCTCACTTTGGGCTCTTAGGAAAGGTGTAAAGCAGTACAAGCCCTGGAGGAGGAGTTTGACTGTCCAAACTGGAGGTGAGTAAAGAGTATGTGAAAGGGAAGTAGCTTACAGGGATGGGTGCAACTCATGGTGCCACCCCCAACTCCTTCCTGTCCTTGCTGTGTTCGTAGAACTTGAATAATCACACAAAGGATTATGGTGCAGAGTGAAAAGGCAAGACCTGGTGACAGTGGCGGGACCCTTAAAAGTTACAGCCCAGAGTATCGCCTGGCCCCTCTCTGAGAGCTCCTGCAACTCAGAGCAGTTGTCGGGCTGGGCTGGGGCTTGCCCATTTTGCACCTTCCCTCCCAGCTGCTCCCAACAGCTGCTGCAGCCAAACTAGACCAGAACCAAAGCGGGCAGGAGCATCGTTAAGATGGCCCCCTTGTGGGTCTCTACCGCTGAGGGTTAGTAAAGAAAATCTTAGCCAGTCCTGCGACCACACCTCATATGTGCTGGCCCTGAGCCTCTAATATACTCAGAGCCAACCCAGTGCCAGTTGCCTAAGAGACCTTCCCCATCTGGACATGCAGAAGCTCCAGCTGAAACCACAGAAGACCCTCAGGCAGAATGTTTGCTCCAGACAGCACGAGGTTCAAGTGTGTTTCTCGATGTGGCTTTTCTTGGACCCTACGTCATTCCTAGAATTTTATGAGGGATCTGGATGAGAGTTTCCATTCATAACCCTCTTGTGGTCTCCCACAGTTTTCATTGTCTTTTTTCTTAATAGAAAAAAGGAAGGAAAAAATGAAAAACATGAAGTATGAAAAATGAAGTATTTCCCTGTCCAAAAAAAAAAAAAAAAAACAAAAAAACCCATTGTCCTATTTTTAAAGGAATCCAGGCCTTTGAGAGCTATGTCAAAATTACTTTCCCTTTTGGGGTGGGATACACTTTGCAATTGCTGAAGCAGTTCGAATTTTGGGGAAGTACATGCAAAATGTTCAAGACCTATGGACAGTCAGGGCAGAAAAGAAAAAGACAAGGATTCCCTCACAAGCAAGGTTCATTTGCACCTTCACAGTCCATTCACAGCTTGCATTTTGGCAGCTGTTGTTCTTGCTGCTAGTCATGAAGTTGTGCCCAACCCATCGCGACCCCATGGACAACACTCCTCCACGCCTTCCTGTCCTCCACCATCCCCTGGAGCCCACTTAAGCTCCAGTGACTCCATCCAGCCACCTCATTCTCTTCTCTGCCATCCCCTTCTTTTGCCATCTATTGTTCCCGGCATTAGGCTCGTCTCCAGGGAGTCCTTCCTTCTCATTAGGTGGCCAAAGTACAGCTGTCAGGACAAAGCAAAAGAAAAAAACGCTGTGTGGTGCCTCTCCGGTTCACACTTGACTGCAGGTGTCCCACCCTCCAACCCAGCTGAGACTTCCCAGTTTTACTTTCATGGAATTGTACTGCTCTGCAGTTGTGCAAGTTTAGTCAACTTTTTAAAAAACGAACATATTTGCATACTCTGTAGGTGCCATTTTTAATTTTTTAAAAATGGTTTGCCAACCACTGAAATCCTTTCCAATGTGCTGCTTTACCGCTTTGAATGGTCTGCTACTGGCTATCAAGAGAGAGATCATGAAAATAGACTGTCAAGCTCAAGTTCATGATCTTCAAATTGAAGAAAAGGTTAATGGGTCAGGGAAGCTACAAGAAATGAGAACTGCTTGGGATTGCAGCATGGGACAGTGGGGATGTGCGAGGAGCTCATTAGGGGTGGGAATCCTTTGAATTCCCTGGGTTCAGCTCCTTGGCCTCAGATCCAGTTGGCAGTGGCCCTGAGCCCAGATTCCTGGCGAGTACTCCCAGGGACAGCAGGATGTTCTCCGGGAATTAAACCCCACATGCTGCACACGCAGCACCCCAGTTCTCTGCCCAGAGAAGAAGGTCAGTCCCCAGGAAGAGTGCCTGGCTCATAACACCCCTCTCCTGTGCCCCGCATGGCCACTGCCTGGGGCACCCGCAAGGAAGCAGGTTGCTTGTTAGGAACAGCATCTGGCACAACTGCTCACAGCACAACGAGCTGATGGGAAAACTTGCTGTTTGCACAATCGGGTGTCCATGAGCATTCACAAGCTTCCCCTTGTCTGAGCTTGTTTTGCAGGACTGGGCCAAGCATGAGAGGGAGTCTGCAGGTGCTGGACAGAGGGATCCCAAAAGGGTTCATCCCAACCCTGTGGTAGAGCCAGGGCCCCACAAATTGTCAGTGTGGTTTGGTGCCCACACAAGACAACTCATGGGAGTGTGTTACCCATGATGTATGCACTCAGTCAACAAGGGATGCATACCACTAACACTAGGGTTAGCAACATTTTTTTCAAAAATATATCCAAAACAGAAACAGTCATCTCTGAGGCAGGTGAGGAACAGTTGGATGGTTGGGTGACAACTGAGTTAAAGGAGTGCTAAAGAAAGATGAGACTGCAGAAAGCTGAATTGTTTTACTGCCTTCACTGCAGAAAATGTAGGGCAGGTACTTTAAGGAAGGAATTTTAAGGAACTGAGGCAAATAGTGGTAGCAAGAGAGGGAAATCCTCCTTTATGGACAGAAAACAAACAGATCATCAGGTCCAAAAATTCTTAAACCATGGAATTCAATTTGATGAGATAGTCACCAACCCGGACAAATTCATGGAGAAGGTTTTGATGCCTACTAGTCCTGATGGCTCGGTGCTACCTCCAGTGTCAGTGTGTGTCTGTGCTGGTGAACTTAGGTGCGTGTGTGTGTGTGTCTTGCACTCATAGTCTGCTTGTGGAATCCTGTGGGCACCTGCAGCTCCCGAGTGAAGTGAATGCTGGATGGTCTGCTTTTCTTAGGTTCTTGAGAAACTTCTGCTCTTCTAAACAAAAATAGGTAATATGCCCCTAAGATTCACCTCTGTATAAATGGAACACCCATTTTAAAAAGGGATCCAGATGGGATCCAAGAAATTACAGGCTGGTTAGCTTATAGCATCTGTTCCAGGCAAACTGCCAGAATGTATTATTAACAATAGCATTATCAAGCATGTATAGGCCAAAACTTGCTAAAAGAAATGTAAATGTTTTCCACAAAAATAAGTCCAGTCTCATTAACCTTTTACTCTGAGTGTCAATAAACATGTGATCAGGAAGACATTTTTTAATTGGACTTTCAAAAGGCATTTGATGACATTCCTCACCAAAGCTCCTCTTACGAACCAGTAACTGGTTAGCAAGGAGGACAAGTATCTAGCCAGTGTTTGTATTGGTGGAATGTAAACAGCAAGACCCCCAGGAATCTGTGTTGAGGGGCCAGTGCTTTTAAACGTGTCCATAAATGATGTGAAGCAGGAAGGGCGAGAGTAAGGTGGCTATGTTTACCAATAACAGCAATTCTTTAGAATGACTAGGAAAAAAACAGGATTTCAAGGAACTCCAAAACAAATGGGCATTAAAATGGCAAATGCATTCTAAGGTAAGCAAGTGTAAAATGTGCCCAAATGTAAATTTGTGTACTTATTTGATTTATATCCCATTTTTATATAACAAACCTAAGGTGGCTTATATCATTCTCTTGCTCCTTCTCCCACACCAACAACCCTGTGAAACTGGCTCAACTCTGTGACTGGCCCAAAGTCACCCAGCTGACTCCATGGCCAAGTGGGGACTAGATCCCAGAATGCCCGAATCCCAGTCTTGTGCTCTTTTGCTACTAATAATTACATATAGGCTGATAAGATCTGCTCAGGGAAGAGATCTTTGAGTTGTACTGGGCAGTTTGATGACAATATTAGCCCACCCACCAAGCTCTCACAATGCAGCAGCCCAGTCCCTGTGCCTCAGTTGAACTGGAGGGGCTGATGTGTCATGCCAGGCATCTGCAGGCACCTGGCTTGCCATGCCATGTGAACTCGGGCATCATCAGTTAAAACCCCCTCAGATTAACTCCTGCCCCACCCCCAGGTTCACACAAACCACAGAAGTTGTGCACCTGGCACAACGAGAACTCCCACCAGTAAACTGAGCCATGGTGTGTTGCCGTGTCACACGAACCAGGTCAGCATGTGGCTGCTGTGAAACAGGCCGTGTGACTTTGGAATGGCTGGAACATGAGATGCCGCCTTGTTGGCAGATGGGACAACCCTCTCGGGTCCATGCCTGGTGCTGTGAGTCCCAAGCCCCCCAGATACCCCAGCTTCTTTTTGGTCCAATTCACTGGTGCTGTTTAATTCAGCCTTGCCTGGAAGCCACACAGTAAGATGGCTGCCCCACTCCCCCTGGCACTTTCAGTTGCCTGTCTTTGTGGCCATTTTTCTCTGGCCAGACTCTGGTGGTTGCCTGGGCTCCACTTGCGTGGGGCCTTTTACAAGTCCTGCTCCAGCCTGTTTCTTGCTTGCTGCCTTCTCTCACAGCCTGAGCAGAACATAATGCTCACAATACCATTTGGGGAATGTGTCCCTCCCCCCCGCCGCTGTTAGTCCTCCCTCTCCGACTTAGGCACATTGTTTCTTTCCCTGGGATGTCTCCATCTTTTCAGGCAGGGTGAGCCATGGAAAACCTGCAAGCATTGTTTCCGTGATGATGGGTGAGGACAGCAAACCAGTCATTGCCCCCAGAACAGCAGGGACAGTTCTGTCCTTACCACCAGATTCTGTCTGGGCAAGGAGTACATGACCTCTGAGGCACATTTCTTCCTGGCACAGGAGAAGCAGGTGGTGAAACTTTGCAGACAACAGGAAGCACTGCGTTGGCCCCATCTCCGTTGCTCAAGAAACAGGCACAGACCTGGCCCAGGCCAAGCAGTGGGTAAGTAGGTCGTGACACCTCCCAATCAGTTCTCCTAGGGAAGTAGCTCAGTGGAGTCTAAGGCTGTCCCTCCACTCTGATATCTAGGAATGCGGGCTGGTGCACTTGGGACTGCCCTTGGAAGCTGCATGACAGACCTCAGGCTATGGCAGCTGCACTGCGCCACCTCCAGGGCGTAGAATAGGTGGGTTAACAGAAGCCATGAGACGCAAAGGGTAACACTTCTGCATCCAGGCAGTGGAGGCCCCCAAACAGTCTGGACCTGTTCTGTGAGTGACAAGAACATGTGATCTGATCATGGCAGCCTTTGGGAATGAGGTAAACTGGAAGATCTGGAGCAGAAGCCAGGCTGGGGACCAGCCACTCTGATCTGCTCAAGCAGCCTGCCAAGAAGAGTTGTCCTTTGCACTAGAGGCAGAGAAAGGTATGGCTGTGAGGTGCCACAAGCCAGAGGATCCGTTCAAGGGAGATTTGTCCCCAGGGTCCTGTAGGATCTCTCAGGAAAGCGCAAAACAAATTTCCAGGTAGATCCATTATGTTAACTTACTGGCAGCAGTCAAAAGAGCATCCTATCTCCAGACTCCTATCTGTGGGAATAGGAAATTACATCCTCCAAACAGGCCTTTGAACCTGTAGGACCGCTCACTCTGGGTCCTGTGGGGAGGATCCAAACAGAGCCTTCGGGATGCTAGCACAGGCAACTGTAGGCAAGGAGAGCGGCAACAACTCAAGCAGGGCTGCAGTGGCGAAGGAAGCCCTGGCCATGCATTTTGCCAGGCAGGGACTGGCCCACAGCAACGTCAACCCCCCCCCCCGCCCCAGGCGGAGAGCTAAGTCTCCTGTCAAACGATGGACGCAAGGCGGGTGGCACCGGTTCTGGTTGCTGGCCCGGTCTTTAAACAGCGGGAGGCTGCGCTGCGGGCGGGGCAGGGGCAGGGGCAGGGGCAGGGGCAGCCACAGGCGCCCGTAAAACGGGGGAGCGGCTGCACCTCCGTGGCGGAGCCCCTGCCTCGCACACTTGAAGGCGCCAGGCCGGCTCTCCCGCAGCTCCGCTCCTGAACGCAGCTGGGGCGAGCGGCTTCCCGACACCGTGGATAGATCCAGGCCGGCGCTACGGCAGGGCGAGGGAGGGCCACGCTCTTCCCCCGCCGCGGCCCGATCCGATGGGCTCCCGACAACCGCGCCGTGCGGGAAGGGCGCGCAGGGATCGCGGCTGTCCGCCCTCCCGGCTCCGGCGAGCGAGCCGACCGAGGCCCTGCGCCGGGAGCTGCCTCTCCCCAGGGCGCGAGGGGGCGCGCTGCTGAGCCCCTTTCCTGCGAGCCGCGAGGGCTGCGCGCCCCGACTCGGCTGCGGGCCCCGCGCCCCGGGCCGCAAAGCTGCGCCGTTTTCCTCTCCCGCCGGCGACGCGGCAGGCCCTTGCCCCGGAGGAGGGCGGCTGCTCCGCCGCATCCGGAAAGACCCACCGATGGGTCTCGATGGGAGCTGCCACGTCCCCGTGTCGCCGTGGCGGGAGGAGCGCGCCGGCCGGAGGGTTCACACAGGGCAGCTGCGGAGAGGCCGGCGGGCGCGCGGCTCGTCTTTGCGGGACGCCGCAGGCCTTCCGGGGGGAGGGGGGGTTCGCCTGCCCGGCCGCGGGCCCGGGAGATGCCGCTCGGCGCTTCCAGGAGGCCGAGAGCGGGCTGGGACGGCCTGGGTCTTTCGCCCTGCCCGTGCCGCTGCCGCGTCAGGGGCTCCGGGGAAGCCCAGCGGGGCCTCGGAGCTACGCGGGCGAACGGGAGAAACGTCCCCCTGCGCCTACCCGCGGCTTGGCGGCAGCGCGACCATCGCGGACTCGCCGGGAAGCGCAGCCTCCCCTTCCTGCGGCGGCGCTGGTGTGGAGACGTCGGCCTGGAAGGGGCCGCAGGGCGGCTGGGTAAGTGGCGGCCGGGCGGCGCGCTCCCTGCTGGTCTCCGGCCCTGGCCCGGCTCGAGGCGGCCCCGCGCTCTGCCGCCGTCTCTCCGCGCAGCCCCGGGGCTGCCTCTGCCGGCCGGGGCCCGCCGTCGCCCCGCGCGCCACCTCGGCAGCTCTGGCGAGAGAGGGGAGCGGCGCCGGGCTCGCCTCGGCCGGGGCACCGGGCGGGCCGCGCTGGAGGCGCTCCGGACGAGCCGCGCCGAGCTGGCGCAGCGGGAGCAGGCGGGCTTGGTTGCGCCCAGAGGACGGGGCCCCTGCGGCGGCGGGCCCGAGGAGGCCCCTGGCGGGCGGCGGCTCGCAGCGCTCCTGCTTCCGCGCGCCCTCGGCGTCCTCCGAGCGGGACCTGGCGTGGCTGCCGGCCCTGCAAAGATATCGCTTGCCCGGCTTCGCTGTGTTGCTGTGCGGGAAGGCTCGGAGGGCAGTGAATCCCGAAATCGAAAGCGGGACAGTTAGGAAATGGTCAAAATGGCAAATATATACAACGCTAAAGGGAAACTTGGCAGACAGACGGAGTGCTTAGTGAAACAGCTGTGAATTCAGATGACTTCGCGCCTAAGGGAAGAAGGAACTTGCATTATATTCATATGTATTTGGCCCAGTGAAAAGATCTTGTCCAGGTAGCCAAGTGAGTGGGATCCAGACAACTGCCAGAGTCTGGGTGCCTCCGCAGTGGGCACCATCGCCTCCCACTAGAGAGCAGCAAGGGGGAGGGCAGAGGAAGAGGTTCTCTGCCCCTGACCTGCTGCTTCAAGGGGAGCACAGAACTCCTGGCTCAGTCTGCAGGCAAGGCTGTTCCTTCTGCAGGAAGTCCCCCCAGTTTCAGAGTGGCAAAACAGCCTTCCCCTAACCGTTGTTTCTTCCTGGATTTTTCCTTTTTGTTACCAGATTCCAAGGGAATCCCATGACTGATGGGTTCTCTCTTGGCTCCAGCTGGAAAGGGCCCTGAGCCTGGCAGCACTACCTCTCTTCTGACTTTCAGTCTAAAGAAGGGGAGTGACTGATGCAGCATCGCACACCCCCTTTTCCTGCCAGTTGGACAGGAGGGCCCTGTGGGCAGATCAGCCCTTCTTTCTACCTGACCCCAATCTTGGAGGTGGGTTCCAGCTTTTGGACAGCTGCAAATGTTCCTGATAACTGCATAGAATTTAGAACTAGCTTTGGATTTTATTTTGCAGAACAAATATTTAGGGTTGACATCATTCCAAATAAAAAAACTTCTTCAGTTACTTTGCACTGAACCCCCAGATTTTATGTATTTATTTGTCTAACTTTTAAATTATCTGATAGCCAAAGCTCTCTTTGCAATCCACCCTAAAGAGGACTGTAATACACTAAAGCATGGGTCCTCAAACTACGGCCTGCGGGCCTTATCCAGCCCTCCATGCCCATATATCTGGCCACCTCAGAGATTTTGGCCTTGCCACACCATGCCTACCGCCACCGCCTGCCACCACCCACCTTGCCCCGCGCATGGGGAGGCGGTGGCTTGCTCATGCGGAGATCGTTTTGGACTCACTCGGAGAAAATGATCTCCAAGTGAGCAAGCCGCTGCCTTGTGCCCTGCCCTCGCCTCAGCACATGTGCGCACCGCCCTGCCCCCTTTCTGGCCTGCGCCCAGCACCGGCACCTTTCAACTGGCCCCCTGGTGAAAAAGTTTGAGGACCCCTGCACTAAAGGCATAATATTTTTTCCAAAAATACTACAGTTGTGAAGAGTTGAATTTAATTTAAATTGGTAACACCCCAACCCCAACCCTGACCTGTACAGAAAGGCCTGGCCCAGAAGTGTGGGGGGATGCCAGCACATCTGCATGGAAAATCACTGTGATCAGAGAGCTTGCTTCTGCCGGTCAGTGGCGGATGCTGTGCGTGTTGGTCTCTGCCAAGCTGCTCATGGCACTAGAGTCTGGCTGCTCTCCCAGACTGTGGCAGCACAACTGCTGTTCTGGCCATCCGCGTGGCAGAGGAGCTCATGGCTGTGTTCCCCAACTGGTTCTGTGCCGGAGACGAGGTCCCAGGTGCGAAGTGATGTGACACAGTGCATCCATGAGTGGCATCTCCCCGAGGGCTCCCACCGCCTTCCTGGCCTTCTCTGGCTGCCTGCCTGCCTGCCTGCAGGTCCCACTCATCCACGGCCTCTTGCTGCAGGCCCTCCTCCTGCTCTGGGGCCCCTGGGCTGAGCCGCACCCTCTGGGGAGGGGCAAGGGATGGGTCATCCAACCTCCTGACTATCCTTGCCATGTAAAACCTGGATGCTGGGGAGGCTGAAACTGACAGGAGCGCTGCCTCAGTGTCTGCACTCACCTGGTCTGGATCATCATGCTGCCAAGCTTAGTGACGGTGCCTGCCACTGCTTCTGGCCATAGGCAATGCCTGGGTACCAGGGGCTGGTGGTGGGAGGGCCCCGCTGCAGGCCCACCCCACGTCCCCCTTCCCCGAATTTGTCCCCAAGTGACAACAGCAGGAAACCACACGCTTTCCTGTGGGAATGTTTTGCAACGGCAGCCCCATCCCTCGTCACCCCACGCTGCCCAGCATGCTTCACAGCAGGGGGCATATAGGCTGGGCTGCTGGTGCTGGAGGAGCCTGCCTGGTGGGGCGACGAGGCTGCACAGTGGCAAATTCTGTGTGCCAGGACAGAATGGCTGCCCTGCAGGAACAGGTGCTGAGCCAGAGGCCTTGCCTTGCAGTAAGGGCACCTGAAGGTTCGGTGAGATGCGGAAGGAGGGGGGCTGCGTATGGTTGCAGCTGCCTCGGGGTAGGGCTCTGTCCTCCTGGAAGGGATAATTCTGCCTGGGGCAGGGCGCTCTCCATGGGATGGTAGTGCATCCTGGGCTGCTGGAAGGGAGGAACGCCGCATCCCCGTGATTGAGGAGCGGGTGCCCAGCCTGTTACAGGAGGGCCTGACCCTCTTGGATTTCAGCTGCATGGAGGGGAAGCATCTGACAGACTTACTAGTGGACTGGGCTGTAAGTAGCAGCAATAGCCCAGTAACTCCTGCCCCTCACTCTTCTGATCAGCCAAGCCACTCTAGCCCAAGATCTTGGTTCTGGTTTGATATAATGGGGCCCCCCGTTGCTGAAAAAGACAACATCTGGGAAGAGAATTCTCCTGTGATTCACTTTCTCCCTCCTTCTTTCCTCCCTTCCTTTATCGCATATGTCTTATTTTCCTTGGGTTTTGTAAATATAAGCCTGGGAAGAGATTCAGATCTATCAGCAGGGCGACTTGCATTGCTCTTGTCACTCACACAGTGATCTGCGGGAATCTGCAGGACAGCTGCTCATTTTTCAGCCTAGGCAGAAGTAGGGAGCTTCTGTCTTCTCTTTCATTAAACATTAACTTCCATGTGTGTGTTTGCTCTGCTTTTCCAGGTAAGCAGGAGATTGGTGGAACCTGGCTTTAGCCATGGACTTGGCATTGCTCAGCCTTTTGCAAACAAAATGCTGCAGGGGTTTAGCCTCAGCTTAGCCTCACTTAGCCTTCATAGAGAGTTTCTGTGGTGAACCCTAGAATGGAGCACTCTGGACACCTCAACAATCCAGGCCAGATGGACGTAAGAGCTGACGATGGAACAGGCGAATTCAGCTGTGACCATGGAGATGGCTTGGGAGGGGCTCAAGCCCTGCTTGCACCTTCTGAAGTCTTCGGGGTCCCTTCTTTCTTATGCCCAGAAGATGTAAATTCCTTACAGGATGGGTTGGAAGGCTTTGGCAACAGGACAGGAATGCTATCCGAGAAAACCCTTTCAGCGTTAGCTCAGGCTCAGACTACACTTTTGAGCACTGACATGGGTCCTCTTGGTTTGGAGAGACTGAAGTTTTCTGAGAAGCTGGTGGAGCCTCTGAAAGAAGAACTTGAGTGGCCAGAAAGCCTAAAAAATCAGGACAAAAGTAGGAATGATGCTACCCAGACACTCTTCTGGGCCAGTATCCTCCAAGCTCAGATGTGTGTTTTGGACCTTCAAGGGGAGATTGACAGGCAGAAGGAGCCATTGAAAATTTCCTCCCTGAATTCTGAGACAGTGCCAGTGACAACCATATCACAGGACCTGGCAGTCTCCCATGAGCCTCAGCTCCTGGACAGCGACAGTGAGGAAGAGGCAGAGAGCTTGGAGAGGCAGGAAGAAAATGCAGGTTCATCAGAGGAGGAGGACGAAGAATATGTATTTTACAACAACCCCCTCTTTCAGGACTGTCCGCACCCAGCAAGAACTGTCAGCTCTGAAGGGCTGACCTTGTGTAGCCATCCAGAGGGAAAGGCTGCCGCAGAAGATGATGTGAGAATCCTTGACAGTGGTCTGGTCTCTCAGGGCTGTGGTGAAGACTGGTTTTCTCAAAGAGGTGTGACAACAAGCCCTGTAGCCCTGGGTGCTAGCGATGACCTGCCGGCAGGTCCTTTCCCAAGCTACACGCCCCACTACCGCTCTGTCTCGCCCTTGATGATCACTGAAGGGGATATGGAGGACGCCTACCCTTCAGCAGAGCTCGAGGAGGTAAGAGAGCTGGCTGCATCGACCGAGTGAGGCTCTTTTCAGGCCTGCCTTGCATGGGGTTGTTTCATATGGACCCCGGTGCATCCAGCTTCTTTTGGCTTGGCTGCAAATTAAAAGCAGAAGGATGCAGGGTCAGACCATGCAGCTCCTGGTCTGCCAAGAGCACCCGACGGGCGCTCTCTGCGACCCCACTATTTCCATGCAGGCCTCACGTGGCCCCGATGTGAAAAGGGCTTCCTGGGCAGGCCAACTGGCTCCCTGAGTCATGGGCCACTTCTGCCTTACATGGTTCCCCTGCTTTGACTTCCAGGTCCAGTGCTGCTTCCCGGACCAGCTGGCCTGCAGACCACCCAGAGACTTTCTGAGCAGCAAGACCCCAGAGGAATCCTGCCTCAAGCAGCAGTCTGTCTTCCAGAAGCATCACATGACATCCCTGGCACCCTCCCATCCTCCCCAAGAGCAATGGAGCTTTCTAGGGTGCAGCAGGAGTGCCTGGGGCACTGGAGGCTCACCTAGTGGGTTCCGTTCATGTCCAGATGCCTCCCCTCCCCTTTCTGGCAAGTGCACTGTAGCTGTCCGGGGGGGGGGGGGGGGGGGTTGTAGTTATTGATGGTCAGCAGGTCCCTTCTTAGACTGTTGCAGAAAGGTGCCATCTCAGCCTCTGCAGCACACGGTGTAGGTTCAGGGGTGGGGCGGCTCCCCAGGTCTGACTTTGCTGGTTCCCACCAGAAGTGCAAGCTCTCTTGGGCTGCCGTGGAGCCCTCTCACCTTTCCGCTTAGCTTCTGAAGCCTTAAGACCCCCGCCAGTTCCTCGGTGCTGCTACTAGTGTGGCCCAAGGACTGTGAAAGCTCTCCAGACATGTGGACTGACTTCTCCTCCCCTCCTGGGAAAGTAAGGTAAAGCAGAGCTGTGGAGGTACTGGGAGGGGCTGTGACACAGCTGGCTTTTCTTCCCATCTGCTGCAGGTGCAGGCAACTCTGCAGCCTCGCTGTCAGCATCAGGCCTGCTGTTCTCGAGCTCCAGCACTTCCCTCCTGTCTGCTTTGCTGCATGAGCCTCATGAAACCAACCTTTCTCACCAGCCTCTGTCTGCTGCTGACATTAGCAAAACACCTTGCAGCTCCCAGCTCATCTCAGCCCCTGCTGCAGAGCAGAGTCTGTGGCAGGAAAAATTACGACCACAAGTCCCAGCATCCTGTGGCCACCCATCGCTTTCCTGCGCATGGGTAGAGGAGCCCGAAAAGACTTCCTTTCTGCAGGAGGAAGTCACGCCACCAGCCTTGCACTCAGTCTCTCTCGGTGGTGTAGACAGGAAGCTGGTACAGTCAGCCGAGGGGATCAAGATGGTGGACTTGCCCCCCATACATCATGATGAAACCTTGGAAGATGGCGAGGAGGAGCAGACGGAGCCTCCCACGTGGTAAGTTTGCTCAGCTGAGGGTCCCTTGGGGTCTCAGCCACCTTCCATCTGCTCGCCACTCACAACATCCTCCTGCTGTGGTTAGGAACTAGGCTTGGGCCAAAAGAAGCAAAATCAAGTTGACAACCATTTGGGGAAGGCTTCCTCTGCTGTCACGCTGCCACCTGGCTGTTTCGATGGGCTCCGCTAGATGCAGCCTCCTGCCTCCTGCCCCTTCCTGCCAGCTTCTGCCCTTGTTTGTGGCTTTCTTGTGCACCAAAGCCCTCTTGTTCCCATTACGCCTGGCGGCTCTAGTGTCCTGTGTGGGATGCAGGAAGGCCGTGTTGCTGCTCAGATTTGCTCCCTGTCAGTGCCTGCGTGGTTCCCCGAAGCACACAGGCAACTAAGCTCCTTCTCTCCATCAGGGCGGCTGTCAGGCATCAGGCATCAACCCCCTGCCTCACTTCTTTTTTAATCCTGGCAGCCTGTCCAGTGGCCTTGCATGCCCTTGGACTCCCTTTTCTGCTGTGAAGCTCAGGTAGCTCTTTGATGCCCACAAAAGCTCTGTGGGGTTAAGGGCCAGGATGGCTTTCACGGCTCCCCAGGAAGCTTTCTGTCTGAGGTAGATTTCCTGTGTTGAAGCCGGGCAGCTGTGCCACGTTCAGTTCCACTTGCAGTGCCACAGCTCTGCTGGCACAGAGCCCCAGCATGGGCTTGACGGAGTCCTTTTCACTGCTACTGAATCCTGGCAGCCCACCAAACCCATGGCTTACTTGTGTTGCATCGGCTCCCCGCAGAACAGGGGTGGGGGAGGCTGAGTGTCATGTCTGAATAGAGAAGGGTCTTGCCTGGGACTGGGGTGTGCGGATGGGAGGGCAGGAGGGAGGAACAACTCTTCCCTGAACTGAATAACTGCATGGCAGAATTGGGTAATGGGAGTACATCTTTGGGAAAGTTCTGCAAGTCAGTGGCTCCTTCAGTGCTCCACTCCTAAGGAAAATCACAGAGGTGCAGCCCAGAACTAAGCCCAGTGTTTTTTCTTCCACAGGAGCCTGTAAAGAGTGTTGCACTGAGAGGTCAGGTCAGGTCAGGTCAGGTCAGCTGGTAACTTCTGAGGTCCCCCAGTAGCACAGCAGGGCCAGGAATCCCAGTCTGAGCTGGGCCTGCAAGGGTGGTGCAGCAGCAACTGGTCTTTGGCCAAGATGTGTTGCAAATTGAGGCCTGATCCTCTTGAAGAGCAGGAATCTACTGTTCTGTCTGGCTTCAGAGTGCTAAAGGCCACCAAGTATTTGGCACTCGAGAGTCTGATGTAAATGAGCAAGGGGTGGAGAACTTCCTCTGCATGACAACCCCAGAGACAAGCTGTTGAGTGTTTCTGTGGACGGCAACCTGAGATGGTAAGGATGCGTCTTTGCTTGGCCCCATCTGCTGCTGACACAGCGCACTTTCTTTTCTTGTCCCGCTCCCTCTGCCGCCTTCTGCAGCTGCCCTGAAGAGCTTTCTGAGGAGCCTCATGGAACAGAGGAGACTCTGCGAGCCACGCATGCGATGGAGCCAGATGGCATGCCCTTGGCCAATGGCACTTCTGGAGACCAGGCAGCGGCACTGAGGCTGGCCGGCCGTCTCTACCACCTAGATGGGATCAAGAAGTCACAGGTGGCCGCCTTCCTCCAAAAGAAGTAAGGGGGTCTTCGGACATGAATGCTTTCTGGAGGTCTTGACACTTGGAGGGGTCCTTCGTCTGCATCTCCTCTGAGAGATGGGTTGTTGCAACTTTGCAGCCCATGCAATTTAATCTGGTACAGTTTCCCTCTCCCAGCATCTTAAGCTCACCCCCACTTTTTATTTGAAGGGTAAAAAGTAGCATTTCTTGAAAAACAAAGGGCAGGAGGGCCGTTAGAGAAGCCAGGTGTCTCTGACCTGGAGCTCCAAAGGAAACCGTGCTCTCTCCAGACTGAAAAGTAATCATGCTCAGGGCATTTAAGCTTCCACATACTGGTGTGGATCACATGAGCAGGTGGGCAGCAAGTGCCCTTTATTTGCTTTGGGGAGAGCAGACAGCCCTCCGCTGTGAACTTGGAGGGATTTAGAAAGTGGGAGGCCTCCTGCAACAGAATCTGGGAAGCTGTGTGGACAGTGGGACAGCCTCCTCTGAGCGATGGTGTGAGCCGGGGGAAATGGAGGCTCTCTGCGAGGTAGCACCTGGGGTACACGAGGGGCTGGTTTTCCACCAGTGCAACTTTTCCTGTGTGTTTGTCTGCAGCAATTACTTCAGTCAGTTGGTAGCTGAGGCATACCTCTCCTTCTTCCAGTTCAGCAGACAGACTCTGGACCAGGCCTTGAGGTAAGGCTTCCTTAGGGGAACGATTTTCTGCTTTAAGAGGTGAAGGCCACACTGCAGATGATGCGGAAGTCAAGGTCCCAGCTTTGGTCCTTAGTGGGCAGATGCATGGGAGGCACCCCTGGCCCCAGGACTGTTTATAGGTATGGCCTTTCTGTCCGTTTTATTTCCAGCAGCCTCTGCTAGAAACCTTGACGTTCATCTTGGGTTAGGATGTAGAGGTGAACATAGTTAGTCCAGTGGAAAACCAGGACATACCTGGTTGACCATCCCTTTTCCCAGCAAGGAACGTGAGCAGCTGGAGGAGGGTGTGAGGCAGAACTCACTTTGGGCTATTCTAAGGCCAGATTTTCAGGGGCTGCAGAAACAGGCAGAGCCTGGATTTTCAAAAAGTTGCTTACAGCTGTTCAGCCCACAACCTCTTCCCTCAGCCCTTGTCCATCCTTGCTGATTTGAGCTAGGCAAGAGGAATTGGCTGAGTAATAGGAAGAGGAGACTCTGGTGGGCAATTTCCAGGTATGGGAGTTTGCTTAGATGGGGTTGCATGCCTCTGAAAGAACAGGTATATAGTTGAGGGGGGTGCTCCTGCTTTCATCATTGTCATTTTTTAATTTGCAAAAAATATTTGTATACTTTTGGGGTGTGCAAAAACATAGGTGGCAATCTTTCAAAGGGATGACTGGCTGTCATTTGGGAGATTGCAAGAAGCAATCTGCCAGAAATTCAGGGAGAAAGCCCACTATGAGCAGGGCTTACAATCTGTGAGCTGGGCTGGCAGCTGCAACTGGCGCAGAATGCAGTAGCCACCATGCTGAGTGGAATCTCTGGGTGTACGTATGAACTGGTGCCGAAGCACCTGAATGGTTTGCCTGGCCTGGCTCTCTGCCCTGCAGTCCTGCCTGCTGGGTTCCTTAAGTGCAGTCCTGCTTTTCACTCACTCTGCTAGAAATGTCTGTCAGTGCCAGTAGCATATTAGCTACTAAGCTATGTACAAGGTTTTGCACCTGACCTGAGCAGCTTCCTTAATTAAAGTAACTCAAGATGGAAAGCGGTTTATCTTCGGACCAGAACTGACTCTATCTACAAGCCTCAGTAACAATAAAACTGTGGAGTGCTTCCTGCTGGCATCCATCTCAGAGTGCTGTGTTTCCCGCTCTCATGGGCTTTCCTCCCATTGGCAGGTTGTTCCTGGAGGCTTTTGTGCTCACTGGGGAGACCCAGGAACGTGAGCGGATCCTCAGGCACTTTTCCCAACGCTACTGCTGTTGCAATCCCGAGGCCTTCCTTAGCCCAGGTAAGACATTTAGTGAGGCAGGCTTCCCCACCTGCAGCCACAGGAACCTTTTCAGAGTGTACGCAATGCTCACCTTGGATTAGACTGGGGTGGGCAGCTTTTTTCATTAATTATTTTATTGCATGATAGAAAACTCAGGCCATTAAAAGAAAGAGTAAAACTGAAACAGTAAGGTTTGTGGTAATAATTACATATATCTATTATATGTAAATATATAATATTTATAATATATTTAAAATATATATAAATATTATATATCTCTTTCTGTTAGTATATAACAGAAAATACTGCTGTTGTGAAATAATTATGCGTAGACTTCAACAAAAACACCCCAAGTTTCCATGTATTTCTCCATTTGTAAATCACACCTAAAGGCTACCTGTTCAAAAACTGAAAGTGTCATTGAATCCTCCACACCTTGTGCTACTGCTGTGTGGTTGTTGTCCCGGCTTGACTGCCTGCTGACAGAGTCCAAGCGCCATGGCTCTGCAATGCCCTCGGACATGAAAGGCCCCCAGCCATCCTGGGACTGAAGGACTGCCAGCACTGCCCACCCAGAGGCATTGCGCACACATCCCAGCTTCCCCCCGCGCCCTTTGCTGCATTCTTTTTCGATATATAAAATGACAGAAATGACAGAACAAATGTTTTCACTCCCAGCTTATTGGAGGAGCCCACATGAAAGAGATCGATTTTGTTTATAATCCTGCGCAAAATACTGTGCTTTCTCCAGGATGGATCATGACAAGCAGTGGAAAGACAGCTGTGGCTGTTGGGCAGTATTAAAATGTAATCATAGAAACCAAGCGAGCAGAAGGGGTCTCCCAGGCCATCTAGTCTGACCCCCGGCGCCACCCGGCTCCACCTATGGCATGCCCACCCTCAATGCATCATGGGGTGGAAGGCTGGCAGAGCCGTGTTCTCCTCTTGGGTGCCCCCCGCCCTGCCTGCTGCTCCTGGACAAGGCCCCTGCTGCCACTCAGCAGGGGAAGAGCCCCCCTCTCCAGCAACCTTGTCCTTCTGCCCCCTCTGCAGATGCCGTGCACACCCTGACCTGTGCCATCATGCTGCTCAACACAGACCTGCATGGGCAGGTAAGGCCATGTCGGGGGCACTGCACAGAGAGCCTGGCACAGAGCCTTATAGTGAGAGGTTCAGCCTGTGGGGTTGGGGGAAGGACGGGGTGGTGAAGGCAGGAGTTTCCTTGGAGAAGATGCCTGCTTACAGAGACGCAGCAGAGGAGGGGGTTGGGGATTGTCAGGCGCTTTTCTGCCCGAGAATCCCAGGTCTTAGTCTGCATATGGGGAAGGCAAGATGTGCAACGGAGGCTTGTTTGCATAGAATGAGATGGATGTACCAGTGCCCGTAGTCTGATCCCCCCCCCTCCCTGGCTCCACATGGTGTCTCCCTTCCTGTCCTCTGCTTGCGGACGCAGAATATTGGCCGGAGCATGACCTGTCAGGACTTCCTGGCCAACCTCGATGGCCTGAACGATGGCAAGAACTTCCCCAAGGAGCTCTTGAAGGTATGTGCCCCTCTGTCCGTAGGCCTTCCCCACAGGTGTAGGCCCGGCATGTGCGCTGACGTGTGTGGCGTAGTGTCCAGGCCCCTCATTCTGCTGGAAGTGCTTGACGGGCACCTGCAGTTCGGCGGGGCGGCTGAGGGCGCCGATGCCTAGCTCTCCAGACAGGAAAGGTGAGGTGTGGGTGGCAAGTCCAGCGTTTGGTGAGAAGTGCCGCACGGCACGCTTCCCCTCCATCTGTCGTCTTCTGCTGCAGGGCAGGAACAGGTGCGGCACCCAGCACCGTGCTTAGCGTGAGGTCTGTGGCAGTGACAGATTGCCCGATTTGGGGATACTAGAATTCCAGCCTGCGAGGCAGTGCACTTCCCCCTCCCCACTCCATGTGTCCTTCCAGAAGGGGTGGCCGTGCCATGCCGTCTGGGCCAGCTTCTCTTCTGTGAATGCCCGGGCACAGCTCTGCCACCTCCTACGAGAATGAGATGCCACCAGGCAGCTGCTCTGTGGGAAAGCTGCCACCTGCCAGTAGGGGAGAGCTCAGAATGAGCGGCTCCCTCAGCCCAGGGTGGCCGTTCCGCACCTTCCCCTCCCTGCGCAAGGTTGCAGGTTTATCATTCAGGAATGCTGATTGTGTGGTGTTTTGCACATCTGTGTTTCACTGTTCAGGAAATCAGAGGCTTGCTGTCTTGGTCTCACAGCAAAGCCTGGCATGGGGACTTCAGTCTGGCTTAGGCTCAGCGGCCTGCCCAGCTCTTGACCAGAAGCTGAGGCTCCCACCCCAGGCCATCCTGCCCTGGCCTCTTCTCAAAGATGGTCAGTGCTTGGGAACTGGATGCACTCTGCATGGCACTTGGGGCTCTTGGCCTGTTCCTGACCCCTCGTTGCACTGATGGCTCTTCCAGAGTTTTCTTACGGAATTCCCCTATGTGAGCATCCTGGCCCTCTAGCCATCTGGAAGGAGCAGTTGTTAAACCCTCCTCTGTGCCCTTTAATCTGGAAACTTTCAAGTAGTTTCTTGCAACCACGAGGGGTGGATTTTTCTTTTAGAAGAGAAAATTTTACTCCACTTAGCCAGTGGCCAACAGGGGTAGTGCTCACCTCCATTTCCGAGGCTGTGAGCCAGCGCTGTCCAAAGACGATCCCATGGTCGTGTGGCTGGCATGATGTCATAGTGCACTGGTACCTTCTCACCAAGGTGGTACCGATTTATCTACACACACTACAGACTTTTGAACTGCTAGGTTGGCCAGGTGAACAAAGGAATTTCACTCCGTCTGGCGGAGGCTGGGCTTGAACCGCTGGAGTGCAAGCCATTTCTGGCCGACAGTTCCCGCATAATGAGCTGCTGCACCTCTGCTTCCCCAAAAGGAAAGTGAAGGTTGTCCAAAAAAAGGGTGGGGGATGTTTTGTCCTGGAAGCAGAAAAAGCTGGACATGGTGGGTCAGGGATGCTTTGGAGAGGGGCACCCAGGTGGACTGCATGCCTTTTGGGGGGGGTGTTGCCTGTGGGGGAGTGGTGGTCTAACATACCGGCTCTTCTGTGGTGTCTCCAGGCGCTGTATTACTCAATCCGCCACAAGAAACTGGAATGGGCTGAGTAAGTACCAGCAACGTGTGGGGAACTTCCCTGGGGAGCAAACAGGAGGAGGCCCACAGCCGAGGGAGGAGGCTCTCCGAGATGAGCTGCTGTGATGCCTTGGGCGAGCTCAGCCGCATCGCCTGGCTCAGGCATTTGAGATACGAGGCACAGAGCGGGGAGGCTGCCTGGCTGCCGCACCATTGGCCCCCATCGGTTCCCACATGGAGGGCGCCATGTCCCAGGTGGCATGCAGGTCGCAGCGTGCTGCCCCCGGAAAGTGGAGAGATCATTCCAAGATTCTAAGTGGCACTGCACGTTCCAAGAGGGAGGAGGAGTGCTAGTCCACCGGGGCCTCCATCGTCCCAGGGATGTGAGACGCATGGTCCCCAGGCAGAAATGAACGCTCCCTGTGGAGGAGGCCTGTGGGCTTCTGCAGGGGCTGCTGGGCGTAGGGAGTCTTTCGCACGGAAGCTGGAAGTTCTCCTCCTGCGTCAGCATCCCACCAAAGCGACCTCGAACTGGTATTGAGGGGGTGGGGGCAGGTTTCTGGACTGCAGGCGCTGGTGTCTGGGTGGGAGCCTGCTGTGGGGTACCAGCCAAGGTGCTGGAAAGGAGTTCAGCTGCCATTTCTCCCTTCAGCTCCCTTTCCCTGCAGTTTCTACAGCCAGGCACAGACCTCCTCCTCCCTGTGTTCTCATTCTCCCTTGCTCACGCCCCCCACAGGTTCCACACACAGTTGATGCATGGAGGTGCATGCGTGTGCCAAGTACCTGCGCAACGCATATGCACATGCTTACAGAGTGCACAAAATGTGGCAGCCAAATTGAACTATGAGAATCTATGACTGGCCCAAAGTCACCAGTTAGCTCCACAGCTGAGTGGGAACTGGAGTCAAGATCTTCGGGATCCAAGTCTTGTGCTTCATGACTATTTGCTTCCATGACTACTCAAAGGCCCAGGGGATCAGGAAGAATCAGAAAAATTGCTGCACCCAGAAATGATTCTTTGTGGCATGCTTATTTATTTATTTAACTTCTTATTGCCCAACAGCCAGAGCTCTCTAGTTGGATTCATCTGCGATTCTTCCATATGTGTGTGGGGAGAGCCTGGCGGATGCTGGGGACAGAGCATTGGAGCTGCTGCTCTAGAGCAACCGTCCCGTCCCCCTGGGATGACCTGCCCAGTCAGGTCCATGGCAGCGCTGGCCGCAGCAGCAGCTGACTGGAGCCAGTGCTGAGGCCCTTCCACCCTCTGCAGGGGCTTGGGATCTTGGCATTGATTGTAGCAAGGATTTAAAATGGATTGTATTAGCAGAAGCGTTAGCTTTTTGGAAAAGATTCCAGTGCTGAATCCCTGCAACTTGGTAGCCAGCTCAGAGTGCTGTTTTCTTGTCTAAAGTGGTTTTTGGGTTAGGCCTGTGCAGCGCCTCTCTCTCCCTGCTGCAGGGATGATGAAGAGCCGGCGAGTGGCAAGATGCTGCAGCCCTCTGCATCCAGTGGCAGCTTGTCCAGCCAGAAGAAAACCAACCCTTTCCTGAGCCTGCTGCATGACCCCGATGCGCAAGTGTATCGGCAGGGCCCCCTCACTCGCAAGGTGCATGCTGAGGCTGATGGCAAAAAGAGTGAGTGGCAGCCCCCAGCTGTCTGGCATGCACAACGGGGGTGGCCTTGTTCTGGGCCCCTGAGGGGCTGTGCCAGTGGCCTGGGTGCGGGGAGGGGAACATCTGGTCCCCTTGCAGCCTGGTTCCCTGGCAGGAAGTGCTGGGTACCTATGATTACACTGGCCTCGGGCTCCCGTGCCAAGGTCCAAACTCCCTCGGTGGCAAGCGGGCAAAGTCTTCTGCAGGGCCAGCCTCTGACCTGGCTGCCTCCCTTGCAGCACCCTGGGGCAGGAGAAGCTGGAAGATGTTCCACACGGTTCTCAAGGGGATGGTGCTCTACTTCTTCAAGGTAACAGAGGGTTACCCATGGGTGGGCCCTTCGGATCCCTAGGGTGTCTCCGCTGAGGGGGCTCCCACCATTCCAGGGCCAGAGCCTCAGGGATCCCAGCAGAGCCAGAAGTGGGGTGTGCAGAGGAAGGGCGGAAGTGGGTATGCCACCCAGGGCAGTGTGTGGGTGTTGCTGGCCTCTGTCTCCTGGCTGCCTCCTCAGAAGGGCAAAGGCCCCCAGACACCGGTGCCGTGCCTGCCCCTGCTGCTGCCCCAGCTTCCTCCATTCTTCTTGGTTCTGTCAGGCTTGAACCCTAAGAAAGCCACTCTGGGACATTTCTCCCACCACTGATCAAGTGGGAAAGTGCTGGCCTTCCCCAGGGTCCCCGGGCACAGTGCCCCTCCTGTGGGGACAGACTGTGGTCCCAGCTTTTCTGCTTGGCCGAGGACTGAGCTGAGGGCATGGTACTTGTGGCCTACCTCTGCAACTGACTGCAGCAGCTCTGGGCCTGTTGCCTTCAGTCTGCATCTGTCTCCATAGGATGAGAGCCAGTTGGACGCCTTGAGCTCGGAGGAGCCCATTGGGGTGCATCATGCCCTGGCGGAGAAGGCCTGTCAATACACCAAGCGGCCGCATGTCTTCCGGCTTCAAACAGCAGATTGGCGCGTCTTCCTCTTCCAAGCCCCGTGAGTACCGCAGAGTTCCTTCCTCCCATGAATTCTGGGCATGGCCCATTCTTCCCAGGTGGGCTCCCAGCTGCCACCATCTCAGGCAACAAAGAAGCCAGCTCTGGGCCAAGGGGTGACAGCTCTGTCCAGCTCTGGCATCTCCGGTCAAGACTTCCTCCTAACTAGGGCTGGCCAAGACAAACCCTTTCAGAATCCGCCCCTCTAAAATTTGTGGACTCCCCCCATGTCTGGACTGTTCCTGCAAAGCACACCAAGCCAAGCAGAAGCCTGTGAACACTCATGGACTGCTGTTTTCGCAATCAGCAGCCTTCCCCAGGAGCCATTCCCAGGGGCCAACCCTCTTCTCCACTCGCTACTGCTGGAAAAATGGAACGGCTTGCACAGCACATGGATCAATTCCTTGGGAGCACCCCATGAACCCCGGGTGCACTCACCAGGCACTGGGCCATGGAAAAGTGGACTGGAGTCTGGGAAGCTGAAACTTGGGAATCCGGCAGCTTTTCCATCCCAAATGGACTCCTTGCATGCCCATATTTCTAGCTGTGCTGAGGGTTCCTTGTCTAGTCTGGTCACAGCCTCAGTTTTCCAGGCAAAACAAATTTCATGAGTTTTTTATTTGATTAATGAAACTGAAAACATGGACTTATGTAGGAACCATAGAGAAGTATAGAGAGTTACATTTAACCACTAGCCTTCATGATCCAGCTAGTTCATTTTATGTAGAGGCATGGCTGAGAATCGGACCTCTGTCCTTCTGGCAAATTGGCATTCTTATATTGCAACTTAAATATGCAGCCCGGTCCATCCTTCCCAGCAACCTGGGTTCCAGCTGCTGCTCTCATTTTTCATACTGGCTCGGTGGTACATTCTTCCCTTGGCTGGGGTGGGAAGCCCAGTTCTATTAGGTTGGAATCCAGTTGTGCCCACTGCAACAGGCTTCCGGGATTTTGTTGGAAGTAGAACTTATCTTATATGGCAACTATGAAAGCACTTCTAAATTGCAATTTGAAATGAAATGAACCTTAATTATGGGCATCTAGTGTTGCCTCCTGGATCCAAAATGGCCACACAGAAACTTTCACAGGTTGGTGCTGCAGGCCAGCTCTTCCATAGATCCAGCGCTTCTGCTAAATCTTCCTCAGAAGCTGTTGGACTGAATGTCCAACCAGTGAGGAGCTGCCAGTGAGGCGCACGGGCACTGCTGCAAGAGGGGCTTTGGGGGCTTTGGAAGTACAAATGGGGCCAAGCCAGCCTTTTGGTGCTGTGCGACTGACCTTGCTGCACCCTCCCTTTCCCCAGCACCTCGGAGGAAATGAGCTCGTGGATTTCCCGTATCAACCTTGTGGCTGCCATGTTCTCCTCTCCACCCTTCCCAGCAGCTGTCAGCTCCCAGCGGAGATTCATCCGGCCAGTCCTCCCGACGGCACCATGCAGGCACTCTCTAGTGAGTGGGGCACCACAGGAGGGCTTCTCGGGCTGCTCAGTAGCTGCATCGGTACTCATGTCCGAATAAAATGGTGGGAGGAGTAAGGATGGGCAGGAGCTGGCTGGCCGAGGCTTTCTGACCATGGCCTTCAGCTTGGGCCCAGGCATGTCAGGCTCCGAGTGCTGAAAATGGCACAGAGAGCTTGCTTCCTTGTTGCAGGAGGACCAGCACCTGGCTCACGAGAACCGTGTGGACAAGGTATCAGATGAGCTCCTGGAGCATCAGAGAAATCTCCCAGACAAGCGTGGCCGCAGCCGGGACCTGGAGGAGTATCAGCTCAAGAAAGAGTACTTGCTTTATGAGGTGCGTAAGTGGGATGTCTCCTCTTTCTCTCCCCGCCTTGTAGCAGCAAAGCTACATGAATTTTGCTTTTTGGGATGGGGACCGGAGTGGGAAGAGACTGTCTACGGAAGTGAACTAGCCCTTCTTTCCCCACAGTAGAGGAGGGGGATATATGGGACCTCCCACTCAGTTCGCAAGGCTTCATCCAGGAGCGGCTGCCTGATCCCTGTGTGCTGCTATTCCCCACCTCAGCACCATCTTCCGCAGGGCCTCTGTGCCCCCCTGCGCAAATCTGCCACAAAGCCTTTGAGTATGCGGTGGCGAATATGTGCATTTATACTCCCAAATATAAATCATGGGTCTTTCTTGCATCTCTCTTGGGATGAAAGAGAACGATGGGGAGAATGAAACCTCCCGCACCCCCTGGCTGAGCCCCGCACTCCGCTGCTCCAGCAGCAGCCATCACCTCTCCTTTGGTCTTGTGCAGAAGCGCCGGTACGAGACTTACGTGAGGCTCCTGGAGGTGAAGATCAGCAGCGCCACAGAGGACCTGGACCAATGGGAAGCGCAGCTGGGAGAAGCTGCAGAGAGCTGCCCCGGCCTGCAGAAGTCTCACTCCAGCCCCTCCCTGAACGTGGAGGGCCTGCCTGCTGGTGTCAAGGTGAAACGGAACATCTCTGAGCGCAGGACAGTTCGCAAAATCATCCCCAGGCGCAACAAGCACCTGCTGTGACCACCCGCAGCACTTCCTCCTCGGGACCCTCAACCCACCCTCTCTGGGCTGGCGGGCAGTGAATGCTGCTCTTCTGAGAGGTGGAACTTTGGCACTTGCAGTGCGTGGACACCAGGTGTCGCCACATTCCAGGGAACAGGCTCTAGAGCTGCTGGTGGGAGGATAGCCCTTCTTGATCCAACTGCAGAGGCCAGATGTCACAACTGGACTGTGTATGTACGGGACTTCCCATGCTTTTGCAGCACTGGGCCTTAGCCGGATTAGCCTCCAGTTCCGAGACTCAGGGAAAGCGTCTGGCACTGGGTTCAGTCTCTCCCAGCCTTCCGATTGCTAGTCTTTGCAATTGTAGCTGGCATCTTTGTGCAATAAATGGAGATCAGGCTTGGACTGCATGTGGGGCTGCTGACAGTCCCTCTGGCTGTGCACGGAGGTGTAGATGGCCCAACTCCTGGGGCTCTGAGTCTGCAGAGCCATCCAGCCTGGCAGCAGACTCCCACAAGGGGCTTCCTTGGTGCATCTGCTTCCCCCAGAAGGGAGCAACAGAGGAGAGGGAGAGGGCAGGGAATACAGGGGGGTCACAGACACCGGACAGGGCCGGGGCGGAGCGCATTAGCCACCTTTTGGTGGTGAGGCTTCAAAGAGGCAGCAGGCACCATGAGGTAGTGCCCAGCTGCCTGGGCAGACAGCCCAGAGGCCCACCTTCCCTCCTGCCCCGGTCACTGAGTTTACTCCTGCTTCCACTCAGCTGCCTTGCAGAGGCCGAGCTGTGCAGCTGGCCGAGGGGCAGAAGGCTGTGTGTGGCCCGGCGAGGCAGACCTCCGGCTTTGTTGGCTCAGGCGCCTCCTGCAAAGGGGTTCTGTGGAGGCCTGGGCAGATTTGCTGCAAACAGAATCCTCACTGGAGGCCCCTGTGCAGAACAGGCTCGGGCATGGGGCTGGGCGGCACAGTCTGTGGGGCTACAGCTTGCGAGAAGGCAGCAGGGCTGGCAATCTCGGTGTGCTGCCACCAGGAATCGAAGGGGGCCTTGGGATAGGATGGGGCTTGTGCCCCTGGCCGGGGCAGCTGCGGCTAGTGCGAACAAGCAGAAGCTGCGACAGCCCCGGGGGTAATGCATGAGGATGTTTGGCCGGGCATTTTGCGTGAGTGCAGAGGAGAGGCCTCCTTGCGGACTGAAGCAGGCATGGTCAGGGCCAGTTCCAGAGGGAAGGGTCTCCACGGGCTGCTGCAAGGACCAGAGCTGCTCTGCCCACCGGCTACGGATGCAGCCGGCGAAAGGAGGATGGGGCAGCGACCCTTCAAATTGCCACATCTGCAGAGCCCGCCTTTTATTTTCTGCACCACGAAATTTTATCGCCTGCTCCCGCTCCCGCTCCCGCCTGCTGCTCGTGCGCGCGCGCGCGGAGGAGCGCCCCCCCCCCCCCCCGCTGTGCGTTGGCGGCGGCGCGGATATTGCCCGGGACGCCGGCGGGGGAGCGCAGGGGCGCACTCCCTTCTCTGGGAAGCCGCCCGCGGGCGCCTTTGCAGGCTGGCCAAGCTGCCCCCCCACCCCCATGATGGACGCGCCCGGCTTTGGCCCGCAGCTCTGCCCGCCCGCTCGCCGGTCTCGGGGCGAGCCTCGGGGGCGAACGCGCCGGGCAGCGCAAACAGCTGCAGCGCCTCCAGACGTGGCGCCTCTGGCCGCGGTGCTTCCAGGGAAGCTTCCGGTCGTCCCTCCGTCATGTAGGCATGGCTGGCTTCGCGGGACTTGCTGGGCTTGGCTGGTGCTGTCCCCAGATGACCCGAGCCTGGGGTTTGGAGCCAGAGGTTTGAGAATAAAATGTAGCAGAGCAGAAAAACGGGCGAGTTCGAGCAGCAGCCGCGTCTAAAATGGACCGAATTTTCTGCTTTTCTCTTCAAGCCCACCTGTTTCCTTCTTTATGAGCTGGACTTTGCTAAACCTTGGTCAGGCTTTTGCTAACCCGCACAAGCATCGCCAGATCAGCCTAACTAGACCTACGGGGTGCTGCATCTCCTTAATTGAGGAAGGAAACAGGATACACTTCAAAATGTGGAATATCCAGACCGGCTGCCCTTGACTTTTATTCCACGTGTTTTCTGGAACCTTTGCTTGGTCTCCAAACCCATGTGGACCTTTGAACTGCTTGATGAGGCTGCTGCCCTGAGGAGAAGAAAGCGATGACTGGGACCTGAGATGGCTGCAGGAGTTTGGGGACCAACCAGCACAGCATCGTGGCCAGAGAAATCAGGCAAAACAGGTCCCCTTTGCTGCTTTTGTCCTGTAAGGGCAGCAGAGAATATGCTGGTCTCCACTGCTAGGGAGTTCCAGGCTCTCCCATGGCCTGGAATGCCCTTTCAGGGATCACAGGACTGCAGCTTCCTAATACTTCTAAGACCCACTTTGCATATTTGCTAGCCTTTCTTCATTCACTGCTGGCCACTGCTAATTAGGACTACTGTTTCATCTTCCCAGGGAGTCTTCCCACCAGGGCTGTGGAGTCAGTACTTAAAACCTTCTATTCCAGCTCCTCAATTTATGGTACCTTTGACTCTGACTCCTTTATTTATATATCAATATAGGAATACACTAATGATTTTTTTATTGATCAAATGCACTCAACCTACAAGGCATTTCACACAGTCCACAAGGGCTTTTTCACAATCATCTTCTCTAATACATTGGCACACATAATATTTCCCATCTGTTGTTCTTGGAAAGTGTTCAAAACAACCAACTTCACTGACACTTTTTTGCCATAGTGATTTTTTTCATGGGGCACCACTTTCACTAATATATAAAATTAAAATATCTTCTGAAAATATAACCTGAAAAGATAGGTTACTCAAATTATTTTCTGCAAAATAGGAAATTTTAACATTTATATTACAATTTAAATTTATTAGGAGTCAGAGTTGGTGCATTTTTTCCCAACCCTGTCTCCAGTAACTCAAGAATTGCTTTCTTGGAGTCATAGATTCTGACTCCATGACTCCACAGCCCTGCTTTCCACCCTCCAGACAGAATTACAGTTTGTCCTGTTTCTATGAGTGGTGGATGAGATCCATATTACAAACTACTAAAAAAGGCTGACCCTGTGATTAATTGGGTTCAGGTTAAATAATTATCTTCTTTCTAATCATAACCAATACAAATACATTACTACAGATGCCAAAGACCACCTTCCTTCCTGTTCACCCATTTCTCTCTGCTATGGAACAGGAGCTCCTTGTTCCATGTGTGAAGGGAAAACAGGCAAGGTAATGCACTCACGGGATCACAGAATGGCTGGGTTAGAAGGGGCCAAGGCGGCCATGGAGCCCAACCCCTCGCTAGTGCAGGATGCCATCCAAATCAGATAACCATCCAAGTGCTTCTTGATAGACTCCAGTGTGGAAGAGCCCACAACCCCTCTTGGCAGCTGGTTCCACTGTTGTCCCGCTCTCAGTCAGGAAGTTCCTCGTGTCTAGCCTGCACCCCAAGTACTACAGTTTAAGTTCATTGTTTCATGTCCTACAATCTGGGGTGAGTGAGGAGAGGCCTTTTCCTCCTCCTTTGTCCTTCCCTGACTTTTCTCTTGTTACCAAGTAGAACCTTTTCCTTCTTTCCCTCTTTCTTTGTCTTGTGGCTGCCCCCACCAAACCAGCCTAAACGCTGTCTAGGTCTCAGGTATCTACTTTGGTAATGTGAAGGTGGGTAACCCAAAAAGAGGAGAACTTGTGATTTCCCTGTGTTTAGGGCATGTTCAGAGGCAAGGATCCCACGTCTCCCCAAACTACACATGCCATGCCCCCATCCACCTTCTTGCCACTTGCATTCTGTCTTTTAAGAATGCCTTGTTTGAAAAGTCATATTGATTAGGGCAGTGCACAATATTTCCGTGTTTTGCCCAGTACCTCCTTCCATGCTTGTTCTCTGCCAAGGGTGCAAGAGGTGGGCAGAGATTATATTTCTGCCTCTTCAAAGAACTTTCCTCTCTAAAAGGAAGGGCAGGGCCTACTGCCACCTTTTCTGCAAGTACCACCTCGAAGGACAACATTGGTACTAGCCAAGAAAGGGTTTTGCATGCCTTTAATATGAGCAGGTGTCACTTAAAGGATAATGATATGAAGAGGAGATTGTCCAGTTAGTTTGATGCAAGAAGGGCTGGCGCTAAATACATATAATGCAACGCACAAACATATGTACATAGTAACACATACAGTTCCAGGTCTAGTGTGAGGCTCTTTCACATGCTGCAGCTGCTGCAGTCTTCGCCGAGCAAGGAAGAGCTCCTAGTGGCTCTGAGAATCCGTACCAGATCCTCTCTTAGTGTTCTGCAAACACTCTGCCAGCCTCTAGATGATGCCAGTTAGAGTGCCTAACGAAAGGGGATGAATGATCAAGCATCATGAGGTCTGTTCGGATCCTGCTGCAGTCTTTGGGACCCTTGGATTAAGGAAGTTGCTTTCAGTGGCATTTCTGAGGAGATGCATGAGGGAGGAACCCTTTTTTGGAGAACTGGGCAGTGTCTTTACTCTCCACAAGTACTGGTTACAGCTTTGTGTTTCCTTTGCTTGCCCTGACCACCCTCCCCTTCGCTTCCTGCCCTGTTATTCCCTGACGGTACTCATGTCAGTGATCTTCTGGCCCCAAACTGCCTTCCCCTATCTGCAGCACAACACATTCCTTCCGTCTGCAGTGCTGTCTGCTTCACACAGGACTCTGCTGCCTTGACTAGGGAGGCCTTAATCTGCATTCCTGCACTGAACAGAGGAGTGGCCCAAATAGGCCCTTCCTACAGTAGCATTCTAGGAACCATGCCTGCCAGAATGGATGGCTGCAGCCACCTGGGGCCTCTGGCACTCTGGTTCTTGGCACGTGAAGTTCCACTTGCACCTAACTTCCCTGCTGCTGGAATGTGCCAGAAACAAAAGGGAATGGCTTGGAATCCTTCACAAATAAGAGGTGGTCAGGATCCCATGGGGTGAGAACAGCAACTGCACGGTGACGGCTTATACAGTAACTCTCCTGTGGGCTAGTGGGTACCCAGCCAACTGTTCTCTGAGCAGATCAGCTCTCCCTCTGCCAAATTCCAGTTCTCTACCTTGCAATTTATTTTGGTGTCTATGGCTTCCTTGCGAGAGGAAAGAAAGGCAGGAAGTAAATGAGATACGATGATGGTGATGACCAAAGGACACACCTGTCCATGGGGCTGGCTCTCGGGGCTCCTTTCCTGCAATGTCCCTGTGTCCCCTTCACCCACCCTGCCACTTTGCCGTCCAGCCCACAGCCCCCTTCACCCACCTCTGCCTGTCTTCCTTTCTGGCCCTGGCTCTAGCTGAGTGGCTTGCATGCCCATACAAATGTCCATGTACAGTGGGCCGGCCGGCCAAGTTTTCTGCCTTCCATCATGAACCATGCCAGGCACTGAGCCCCCTTCCATTTTCTGTCCTGGCTGCCACAGCAACCATGTCAGCTAGAGGTGGTCGTACATGGTGGGGTGGGGGAGGGCCCCCCGGGAGGGTGGACTGTGGTAATATGGAGAACCTGGACAAAGACAAAACGCCAATTAGTCAGAAGCCCGCCGGGGTCAAGTATTCGCTCCAGCTAGTAACTGCTCTTCCCATGTCTCAGCAGACCTCACACTAAGCCACCATTAAAGCAGTCCTGGAGTGATACCTCCTCTGCATCCCACCCACCAGCTGAATGGGAAAACCTCTTCTGGCAGATCTTGTTGTTGTCGTTGTCCCCCCCCCCGCCCCCCACAAACTGCATAGTTTAATGAGTATTTCACATTTTTGGTCAGGCATTAGAGTGTCAAGCTTTGGCATTAGATGCAAAGCTTGTGTTGGAGTTTTTTCTTTCGCCATGGGGGCCTAATCTTCTAAAAAACAAAGAAAGAAACCCCGTATCTGCCCCAGCTGCTGTTCCCCCAGATTCTCATGCAAAGGATTCAGGACTAGGGAGCCTTAATTACTCCTTTCCCCAAGGATTCCTTTCAGGTGGGTGTTGGCGAAGGGCAATCCGAACCATTTCTTCCCCAGCATTTCTAGCATGTCCAGTCACTTCAGAGGCTTCTTGAGGCCAGCCAGTTGCAGGGGCTGCTTCTGCCCACCCATTTTCCTGAAACGAACTGTCCCGGATGCCTTACTTGGTTAAGTCCACCTGCTGGGCTTAGCTGGTCACGTTCCCCCTGCAAGGATACTCACTCAGTAGGGCAGAGCTGGGGAAGCGCCAGTTTTCTCCACAGCTTGAATAAGGACTGTGGCTGTAGGCATTCCCAGAGTAATCGCTTCCTGCTGGAGACAGAGAAAGAGGGATGGAGCACCATGAAGGAGATGGCTGGGGAAGACCCACTTGTTCTGCAGGAAAGCTTGAAGGGAACAGAGGAGGCTGGAAAGCCACGGGTCTTACAAACAAAGCAGTCGTGTTCTGTCTGTTCGTAAGTTCCCCTGGTTGAACGTCCACTGGTGTGTAACCACATGAAGCAACCCAAAAATAGGGGTGTGATTTCCTCCTACTTAGAGAGCTATCTAGCTATGCAGAAATTCTCTGTGTTAAAGGCAAATTTGTTTTCATAAAGGGGAAAAAAAAAGCACACTGCATGACAAGTACTGATAACAGCTGAACCGAATGAGGGACAGAAAGAAAAGGAAACCAGAGTCAGGCTATCTGTGCAAGTCCACCAGTTAAGCCAATGGTTGAGTGCACCATGAAACAGCGGAGGGGCGGGGGGGGGGGAGAGAAAAAGGAGTCCTTAATCCCTTCCGCACGGCTGAAACCCACTTGCAGCCTCTCCAAGGGTCCTGTTCTGCTCTTCCTGTGTATGCTGGAAGGCTCAGTCTAGGAGCCTCAAAAGGAGCCACCCCAAAATAAGTGGCATCTGTGCACTTGTGGGGCACCCTATATATTTCCACTGAGACATGAACAGTGAGAGAAAAAGGAAAGCCTGTGGAACAATTTCTGAATGTGTTGCACAGACGGAGAATGTCACATTATTATTACATTGCATTTATATCCCACCTTTTTTCCCTCTTATGCATTAGTTAAGGCAGCTTATATAGCTTCATTTTATCTTCCCCACAACTGAAAGCCTCAACTGGGAGCATGTCTGTCCTGCATCTTGTGATCATTGACTGCCCTGTGATGCTCCAGTCTTTTGAAAAGCAGAGCCAACCTCAAATTCACAATTACAAAGCCTGCAGAAAAAATCTTCCCGTGTATCAGTGTAGAATTTATTCTTTCACAATGTTAGATGCAGAGGTAGTAGTGTTGGTGCAGCCAGTTCCTGTCGCTGCAGAGAGAAGGCACCTCTGGGACGGTGGCCGCAGTCAAGTGAGAGGTAAGTGGAGGTCAATGGAGGACTCGAGGCGCTTGCACCGCTGTACATGTGCACCTTGTGTGTGGGGCTGCTTGCTCGTCTGCCTTTCTGCCGGAGAATTGCTAAGCCATGTTTCCCTTGTGAGGTGGTCTGGGGACTTAGGGGAGCCTGGGTGAGGGCTCAGCAGGGCAGGTAGCTGTGCTCCACACACTAGCTCAGACTGTTGAGACACGGCCACACAACTAGGTGTCCTGCTCTGGATTAAAGGGCAGCCTTTCTGAGCGGGGCTGCCTGACCCTGCAGCAGTTCCCATTGGTTCCAAGAAGTGCCCAGGAGCACCAGATGTCCATCTAGAGGGGACAGTCTGGCCTCAGGAGTCCCTGCCTAAAGGGCAGAACCGGGTCCGGTGGCCTGAGCCTGTGCAGAACTGGCTGCGTTCTGGTTCATGGCTCCTTGGGGCAGAAGATGGCGCCTGGCCCCGGGCTCCGTCCGTGACTGGGGCGTTCTTTCTCAGGCACCACGAGAAGGGGCCTCATCTGTGCCAAGGTTGCCACCCTGTTTTCTGTTCCAGTGTAGATGCAACAACAGGAAGGAACCTGATGGCTTACAGAGGCTAGCAAATGCAGCTTTTGCTTGTGTAATGAGCCCTGAACCCACTGGCTGTTAACAATCACTTGGGCCAGCTTTTGTCCTAGCTTAACTTGCATTTTGTGTGTAATCACAGAGTACCTTTATCACAATGATCTGGTAAGGGAGGACAACAGCCTGTCCCCATATCACATACAGCCATTTAATAGTTATGCGATTACCTGCTGGCCAGCTGGGCCGACTGCCTGCTCTGTCCTTTCCTTCCTCTTAGGTGCAGGCAGAGCAGTCCCTGTCTGTTTCCCTCCGCAGGTGAGGGGCATCGCTGTGGGGGGGGGGGCACCTGACTGAGTGTTCTCATTACAAGCATTATGTAAACAACCCCCAGTCTCTCCCTTCTTTTCCTGGCCAATCTCATTTCACGCTTGAGGGGAGGGAGCAGGCAGGGGGAGAAGAGTCTGTATTCTCAACGCCACATTAAACACATCTCCAAGGTAACACACGAACACACCAGCTCAGCATGTCTGTTCAGCCCAAAGGAATGGCACCAGCTTGCCAGATTTTCTTGGCCCTCCAGGTGAGGTCATGCAATCATAGGACAGGCGAGCCAGAAGGGGCCAGAAGGCCAGCGGGTCCAACTCCCAGCTCTGTCTAAGGTAGACCATCCCTCTCAGAGAGCTGCCCAGCCACCTCTGGAATGCCTCCAGTGTGGGAGATCCCACAGCCTCCCTAGGGAAACTTCTATTATCATACAAATTCTTCCTGATGTCCTGCTGGAACCTGGCTTCCTGTAACTTGAGCTTGTTATTCTGTTTCTTGCACTCTGGGGTGATTGAGAAGAGGTCCTGGCCTTCCTCTTGGTGACAGCCTTTCAAGTACTTGCAGAGTGCTATCTCCCCTCAGCCTTCTCTTCTTGAGGCTAAACTTACCCCATTCTTTCCATTTCTCTTCAAAGGACTTTTTTTCTGGTCCCTGGATCATCCTGGTTGCCCTCCTCTGAACCCTTTCCTGCTTGTCCACATCTTTCTTAAACTGCAGTGCACAAAACTGGATGCAGGACTCCAGATGAGGCCTAACCAGTGCTGAGTGGAGGGGAACTAGCACGTCACATGGACTCATCTTCAGCTTCTGGCCTTCCACATTCCCAAGACCCTTCTCTTGCTGAGCCAAGTATTCCCAAGCAAACATCAGAGGCTACCAGAGTGGCTGAAGGCAGCTTACGTACCAGCCCAGAGGTTTCAAGCATCTGCCTGGTGCTTGCAGCATTTTGTACCACACCATTTCTGGGCTTAATATTTTAATAATATTTCAAGCTCTAAACAGTTCAGCGTCAGGTGATTTTTATTTCCTTTGCCCAGAGGAATTTTCCAAAGCCTTAAGGTAAGTTCTGTGGCATTGTTCTAACAAAGATCCAATTTGGGGCATCAGAAGCTTTCAGCAAGCTCCCAACGGTCCCTTTTGAAAATGCTATTATTCTGGAAATTGTTTTATGGCTGTTCTGCTGGGTTTTACTGCTGTTGCATCTTTTAATTTGTTAATTTCTTTTCATGAGAGTCACTTTGGAAAATTAGTTTGAACAGTGAGTTATAAAAACCTGAAACAAAAACCAGCCAGGAAGGGGCTGCTGGGGGTGAAAGTGAGGGTCTATTAGCAGCCAGCAGAAGTTGTTTAACCAGAAGCTTTATGAGTCTCAGAAAAGCAACTGACTTTGCTGGCCCGGTTTGGTGCAGCTCCACATCTGAGTTGTCCCTCACACTAAGGAACTCCCGATGCAAATGGTAACCTGCAGGGCATTAGGCAGTGTCAGGATGACCCCAGAGTTCCTTTGTGGAGCAGAGATGCCATCCTATAGGTTAATGCATTGACAACAAAGCCAGTTTGGTTAAGTTTTGCTGCAACAAAAGGACTCCTCCACTGATCTTCTGAGATTTATTTTTTCTGGTAAGGGAAAAGAAGACATTAAAGGCAGTCTTTGCCATGCCAGGAACGGCCTTTGTCTAATACCTTGTTATACTTCATGTAGTGACTTAAAAACGTTCACAGGAAAAGGGGGGCTGCATACGAATCAAAACACAGACTATCTTTGCATGACAGGATGCAGTGCACATGCCATTTTTACCTACTTTCTTTTAAGAAAGGTGCAAGTATGAAGAACCTTTTCTTCAGGGCTTGCAGCAGGGGCACCTGTGTGCCTGGGCCGCCCCGCTTTTCCAAATGAGGCTAACACAAGGTTCACTCCCTGTAAAACCCCAGACGCCTGGTTTTATGGCAGGGTCACCTGGAAACTACGCTGTCCTCTTAGTGGAAGCGCCACAGAAAATGGCAACACCTGTGCGACATCCCAGTAGAAGGTGGACAAGTCTTGTGATTTGAAAAGACAAGGCTGCCACCCCACCGCCCCACGCTTGAAGAAGGCATGGGGTTTTCTTCAGGCTTTGAAATGCCCTCCCTCCTGCTAGCAGCGGAAGGGATGGTGGGCAGGGGGACACTGCAAACACTTGGGAAATACATGGGTCAGCCAACTCCCCCCAGAGAAACTAGGGGACTGCACTGTAAACAAGACGGAAGCAATCTGGTCTCTGGGCTTTGCAAAGAGTCACCCAGTCATGTTTTGACAGGCTGGCTCCCTGCAGAAGGAAGGGGGGCATTTAAAGCACAAAACATTTTATTCTGGAAGTGGCCAACTCAGAAGAAACAGAATGGCTCTAAGGCAGAGGCAAGACGTAGCAAAGGCAGTAAGGAGATACAGAGTGTGACTGAATAACAATCAGAATTCTGGGAAAACAACACACAATGTAGCTGATCAAAATCAAAGGGAAAATCACATCTAGATTAGGGTTGCTGAAAGACCAAGAGGGAAACATACTATTTGACCAGGAGAAAATAAAAAGAAGCAGGAAACAATATACAGAAGAACTATAAAGAAGAGATGAGAGATGATCAACTCCTTCTCAAAGGAAGAACCTGCAATATTAAAAAGCAAAGTGAAAAGTGCTCTGAAAACGCTCGGAAGGAATAGGGCACCAGGAGTGCACAGAGTACCAGCAGATGCAATCCAGGCTGCAGAGCCTGACCTGCTCCAAATCCTAACAAAAATACACCAACAAACAGGGGAACAAAACAATGACTGGAAGCATTCAATATACATCACAGTCTCTAGGGAAGGAGTGAGGAATTGCGCTAATTTCCCATGCAAGTGGAACAGGTGTTGCAACCCGGAGCAAGAAATGCCTGACATTCACGCTGGATTCAAAAAGGTTATATTGCATACACCTTCTGCCCACAGAGCTGGGACTGGAAGAACGGGCGCCACATGCTTATGCTCCATGTTCAGACATTCTCTGAATAGATTGACAGGGAAAGCAAAGAACTAAGCCTTTCTTTTTAGGATAGCCCTCCCATATCCCAGTTTAAGATACCAGGAATTTTGTGTGCAAAGTAGGTTACTACTTCCAGATTCCCAGTTCCTGATTACTATTTGGAAAGTGGTTCCTTCAATAAGCTCCATTTTTGCATCAGGTCCAGTTTATTTTCATTCAAGACACTGGCAAGTCCTCATGTCAAAATATGTATTCATGAGGGATCTCAGGATGTTCACACCAAAGAAGTCAACTCATATCCTATCTATGAGGTTGCATATCGTTTGCTTCCTTTCCTGTACTAACTTTGCTTGCAAGTCAGGAGTCCTGCTGTCATCAAAGCTACTCTGCTCTTCTTCAGACCTGTCTCAGGAGTTCCTTACCTGCCACCATTCCAGCAATTGCAGAAGAGCTGTAACTACACTGGCCATTAGTTGGAACGTGAGGAGGATACCCGGGAAGCGTGGGGCCAGCCACTTCACACCCTGAAAGTGGAAAAAAAGGATTTGCATTTGCTTATTGACATGTTTTGTTCATGTGGCTGCCTTGAAGAAGCCTGGAATCTTCAGCAAAAGATGGCTGTGAGGGTTGTTAGCGAGCAAGCAAGCACTATTGCAGTGGTCCACTCTCACTTGCACTGGCTTCCCAGGCCCAAACTCAACATGCAGGTTTTGGTCTATAAAGTCGCTACAGTAGAGCTTGACTCAGCTTCTTGGAACCTCAGTGCCTCTTCCTCTGTGTACCTGCCTGTGCCTTAGATATAAGATTCACTGAAGCCCTTTTTCAAGTGCCGCGCATTCTGAACAAGAAAGATGGCTTATCAGTGGTGGCCCTTTAGTTTTTGAATGCCTTCTTAGGGAAGTTCTCCTGGGGTCAACACTTTTCTTACAGGCTTTATACATATTTTAGTACTTTCGACTGTTTCAAAGATAATATTTTAGTCCCCATGACGTGGCTTTAAGTCTTGTACCTGATAGTAGTTTTAGGTTTTGCAACCTCTTGGATGCATACAATGGCCCACAAACCAGGAACATTCAATATGCATTCCAATCCCCAGGAAAGGAGAAGCACAAGAGTGTAGCAACCAAAGGACCATTGCACTAATTCCTCACACAAGCAAAGGGATGCTCAGGGTGTTGCAACAAAGACTATTATCCTATACGAAGCAAGAAATTCCTGGCATTCAAGCTAGTGCCTGAAAACAAAGAGACACTTGAGAGTCTATCACCAATATACATTTGCTACTTGAGCGCACCACAGATTTCAGGAGAAGACGAGCATTTTTGACACTTTTTGAGAGGACGCATAAGATTTTAAGATGTTTGTTCAGCTAGAGAAGCACAAGATGGCCCAAGTATCTGGAACCATTTGCAAAGAAATGGCTAGAAAGCGCTTTTCTGACTGTGGCCATCTGAGTGAATTAAATGGCGTACTTGCAGAAGTGAATACTGTTATGCACAATATATGAGGAAGAAGGAAATCTTGTCCCTTATCCACCAAGGGCACAAAGCAATCAGTGCAGTGACTTGGAACTGACCATGACCTAATGGACAAAATTTTATCCAGGGGCTCCTGCAGTAGAAACAAACCAACACTAAAGAAAAGTTTGGCCACGACACCCTTACTTAGAAAAAGGTCAGAACTGACATGGGTGACCTGGGATCTTGCCACCATTGGGTTGTTGTGCACTGGTGCTTAAGGTACATTGGGATATCTCGTTCGCCTGACATTACCTGCTACAAAGTTGTTGTGCATTTGAAATATGTCTCTGGGTTGTTTGGCACATCAGTTAAACTAATAACTAGCAATGCAACCCAATTCTGGCAGCAGAATTCCATCTTACAAGTTTTGTAAAAAGTTTAAAAAACTGAGCAAATGTACCTGGCAAGTAAAATTTTCCATTTGTTCCTGCAAATATGCCCACCTTACACCTGCACAACCTACTCCATAATGCAGAAGCTGCATTGCTGTGCCTGAGAGGAAGGCCTGGCCTGAGACTATCAAAGGCAGAGGCCAGGTTGGGAAGGCACTGAGCAGTGCTAAAGCCCAAACAGGAGAGCTATACAGAAAGGAAGGCAAAGAGCAAGGAAGACTTTAGAGGCTTCCTGACATGCCAGGCCACAAAACCAATGACAGTGGGGAGAGGGGAACCATGGGGAAAGAAGAGCTAAAACAGAGGGTGCTCCTAGGCGCAGGGGCCCTAGTACTACCTTTCTTATGGCCTAGGGCAGAGATGCTGCAGTCCATGTGTCCTTGACGGGGAAGCCACATGAAATGCTCCACCTCATCTATGGGCAGAGGAACTGGGAGGCCCATTTCTCCAAATTACTTCTGGGGCAGGGGAAATTCTGCTGTGTGTCTCACCCTTAGAAATGGAAGGAGCAGCACCTGTGTGGACAGTCTGGCCACCCTTTTCCATCCTTCATAATGTTCCAGACCTGGTCATTCCTGAGGCACTAAGTGTACAAGGGGAGACTAAAAAAGCCCAGGAATTTATTTATAAAAAATTGTGTCTTTTACATGTTCATACTTTAGTCACCAACAAAGTACTCTCTGTCTGATGCAATACACCTATTGAGACTTTTTTCCATGGCTCAAAACAGGTTTCGAACTCGTCAGTTTTGATGCCTTTTAGTGCTTCTGCTGTTTTTTTTGTTTCATCCCTTCCACAGTGGCAAACCATTTACCCTGGAGAACTTTTTCCAACCAGGGAAACAAAACAAAGTTGCATGGGGCAAGATGGGGTGAATAGGGAGGGTGGGGCACAAGGGTCAAGCTGAACACTCAGCTGAACAAAATTTCACTGCCACACGTTGGTTGTGTAAATCGGCCATCACGAAAGAGGCAAACACATTGAAAGAGTTTCCAAAACAGAAAAGGACGAAAGCCTCACTGAAGCTGAAGGCAGCTTCGCACAGCGACCCGCCTGGGTGCCCTGATGCAGGTGGGTTTCCTAGCAGGGGGAGCCTGGCCTGCAAGGGCCAGCCCTCCAGAAGGGGGAGGGGAATTCCTGGGTTTTTTTGGGTCCCCCCTCGTATGTGTACGGGGAAAATGTCACTCTCTCCACAAAAAACAAAACAAAAGCAGAGAACATCTGAGCTTCTTTAACATGGCATTCTTTGTTGGGGGGTGGGGGTGGGGAGAAAACTCCCATAATTCATTCTAGAAAAATATCTTCTGAGAAATGTCAGCTCAGTTCTCCTTACCTGGCACGGTGGAGTAGGCCTGGTGAGCAGCCAGGCTGCGACCCAGCGGTGCATGGGAAGGAGAGAGCAGAGCTTTGCCGTTGTCCAGCAGGGGCAGCGTGTAACAGCCTGCCTGAGAGAATTGGGCAGCAAGAGATTAGCGCCTTCTGCAGCCAGCCCTGGCCTCCTGTGCCTCCTCTGCTCTGCACCCCTCGGCTGTTCAGCCCCCGCCCCCCGTTCCTCGCTTGCTCCTTGACCTCCTCCATGTTAATCAACTCGACATCCCTGACACGTGCCCCAGCATCGGGCCCGGCCTCTTCGTGCTGCCCCGCTCAGACTCCCGAGTTGCCCTCACTCGGGCTACTGCTTTCGCCCTCAGCCGCAGCCCCAGGAGCTTGGCATGCACTGCACATGCCTGACCCTGGATGCGGCCCTTCCCTAGCCCCTCCCCGGGAAAGGCCCTTGCCCAGCAAGCACCTGCTCCCCTTTGGCATGGCTGGCGGAAGCGTAGACATCTGGGAAGTGCTGCCTTTCGGATGGGCATTCCAGCAGGACTGGTCCATAGGTGCCATTCTGCAGGTGCTTGTGGGAGGTGCTGCTGCTGCTTTGGTTGTCTGAGCTGAGGCTGCAGCTTTCCGGGTCACCTGTCACAAGACGCCCATGTTAGTCTGCCCAGAGCTGCACCAGCCTTCAGCCTTCCGAGCACAGTTTCATCGGGGGAAAGTGCGATCCCATCCCGCGGTGTTTTCCTCAGGTCATGGAGTCGGACAGGACTTCGGAAGCAACCCAGTTCCACTCCCTGCCCAGGGCAGACCTGGCCGCAGGATGCAGCTCCAGCATCAAGGCCCTCCTGCCTCGGCTGGCACACCTCTAACGAATGCCACCCTCTGAAGGGTTCTCTCTGTTAGGAAGTTCTTCTAGATGCTGAGCTGAAATCTACTTCTCTGCCATTTCTACCTGTTGGTTCTAGGCTTGCCACGGGAGCAACAAGGAGCAAGTCTATTCTCTCTTCTTTAGGTATCTGATGTGCTCTCATCATGTCTCTGTGCAGTTTTCTCTACATTTAGCAGTGCTGCTGTGGCAAGGATGCTTTTCATGCTGCGATATGAATCTGGCTGAGGTCTACAGCACTACATCCTGGAAAGTGCCTCTTGCTAGCTCTACTTGCTCTTTGCAAAAGCAAGTTTAAAGCTCAGCGGTAGTGTGAGGTGCTATAGTGGAGCACCCTCCCGAATCATACAAACACACCATTCTTTAAAATGATGGTTTGTTCTTGGGTGCACATAGTCCCTGACCACTCAAAACATAACAGTAAAATATTTAAATAGAAGGGTTTTAAAATTGGGCTAGCACAAGGAAGAGGCTGTGACACTCAGAACACTGAGCAGTATACAGGAAATGATCTAATTGGACCGAATGGGCTGATTGATACAAGGTGATTACAAAGGTAGCAGAATAACGGCTCCAGTTACAGCAAGCCAGATTCCAGCTAGTTTTCAGGAAGATCTTCCTGACAGTTAGAGCAGTAAGATAATGGAACCAAATATCCCAGGAGGCTGCAGGCTCTCCCAAATTAGAGGAATTCAGATGCAATTGGACAGCTGAGAGGGATGGTCGAACTGCGGGTTACATAACTGGGTTTCACTCTGTCCCCTTTCACATACCACAGATTTACTGAGGGAAACTGTACTTGCATGGAGCCTGTGCTAAGTAAATGCAGCATGAAAGACTGTACAAAGTTTGGACTGGACTATCACTGGCACAGCAGTTACAGACTTAACACAGAATTTCCATGGTTTTTTGGCTCACTAATGGATGTCAAAGAGGGTGTTTTTTTTAATGAAGCATTTTTGAGCCAGGAATCACAACCGTGGTAACTAAGTACAGTCAGAAGGATGCATCTCATTTCTCCTCCCCTGCGAGGTACCACTTACTGCCTTTGATCTTCCTCTTGTTGTCACTGCTGGGTGAACCAGTTCCCAGGATGCCACTGATGGAGTAGGTGGAATCTGACCGGGGTGACTCTGGTGGGGTCACAGCTGAACTGGGAACTAAAGAACAGGAAAGGGTGATCAGCCAAGCTCGTCTGGTTATTCTAAGTGCCCCCACTTCGTGTGTGTGTCAGATGTGAGGAAAAGATGGGAAACAGGGCAGGTGGTGCTGCCATCACTACTCACCACATCAGGCGCTAGATAAATGGCTTTCTGGGTACTAATCTGTGGACTCCAGAAACTGGAGATTATCCACTTTGCTTCCACTGAACAATAGTGGAGAAGCCTCAGCACAAGACCGCATGGAATGGCAGCTCCTTCCCTCCGGCAGTCTCTCTGTCTCCCTGTCCGTCCTTTGATCTATTTATCCATCCAGCCAATTTCTATACTACTCTTCAATGCACAATTGCCAGAGCAGCTTACAAACATTAAATGTCGATTTCTCCAGAGAAAATGGGACAAAAGAACTGTAAAGATGTTATTTATTGCAGTGTGAGCTTTCTTGGTGCCATGAAACAAGGTGGCAACCCTACACACCCTTACTTAGGAGTCACGGCCTTGTGGCTTCAGTGTTTACATTTTCTTCTGAAACCGTATCTTGGTCACGGGAGCATAACATTTCCTGCATCTAATGAAGTCTGCTGTAGTTCACAAATGCTTCAGCCCCAATAATTGTGTTCACTTTTAATGTCAGAAGATACCTGTTTTGCCACAACAGGCTAATGTCCAGCCTAGCTCTGCTGTCATGCTTTGCCATAGAATGGCTAGGGATGTGCCAGTAATGGGAAATCCAACTTATTTGGGTCCAGCAGTTTTCCTGGCCACTGCCAATCCAGTGATCAGAAGTGGCCCATGCTGAGTGTTTTTTAATGGATTCCCATGAGCTAGTGGAAATGGGTTACAATTTGTGCATTCAAAACTGTTAAGGTACTTTGGGTAGCCAAAAATTCTGCATTTCTAGCACACTTAGTGCTGATCCAATTTTCTCCACAGTACTTTTTCTAAAATGGGCAAGTCATTTGCGTGTCTTGCAGACAGAAGTTTGTGAGCTGGCTTGAAAGCATGGCACCAGGGTAGGCAAAGTGGGAACTTGAATCATGAACACCCATTGGATTTTCACTCCCTGTCTGATCCCCTATGCAGCCCTGACAACAGCAACTCGAGCAGTTATAACAGGCAGGGTCTCTTCGCCATTGGCATTTCTTGAAGACTTACAATCTTCAGTCATCAACAGAGGCATCTCATGTTTGCATTAGCTCGCTTGGGGAGGGCTAGACTCCATGCTAAATGTTGACCACTATTTCTTAGAACAAGACATGTGGGCCTAATTTCCAGGATTTGCAATTTCATAAGGCACAGCTGAGGAGTGTCACTACTGCCAGACACCACGGCCCTTGATCTTTTGCAGTTTTGGTCTAGGAGCCCATTTATACATGCACACAAACATTCAGCAGCAACTATGACCTAACTTTAGCCGTGGCATCTTCAAATTACAGTGCGATCCTTTGGCCTTTGCAAGCGAAGTAACTAGGAGACTTGGCTGATTCTCTCTGGAACACAGGAAACAATGACTTGGGGAAGGAAGAACTGAAAACAGGCCAGGCAGTAGCCATCCCAAGGACACTTACTGATATGATGGCTAGGGCTCAAGGTTTTAGGCACCACGCAGTTGTCCATTGGTAGATTGAATGGTTGCTGCACTTTTGTGCGAATGATCCTAGAAATAAAAGAGAAAGAAACAGCCACATGGGTGGGAGTCCATGGAAGGATGTGAGGCCTCTGTGGCTTCACAGCACTGCCTGACAAGTGGTTGGATGGAACTTGAGATGGAACAATTTGGGTGGGAGCCAACCCTGCCAGACTGCATCCCTGCAAGCATCCTCAAGCTTCTTTTGTGCTCAGCCCAGTCTTCTGAGGGTGACTGCAGCTAGTGTGGAAGAGAAACTGCTTGCACAGGAGTCATGCAGCGTTTGCCAGGAAAGCAGGGCTTCTCTGGCTCTTCTTGGTACACCAGAGCAGTGCTGCAGACTCTGTGGGACTCATTTCCTGAGCAGCACCCCACAAAGCGGGCTGCACTTGTCAGGCACTTGCACTCTGGGCAGGCCACAGTCTGGGGAGATCAGCCGGACAACCTGACAGATTCTCACCCCAGACAGATGCTTTACACATGCCTAGGAACAATCCTCTCGCTAAGCACGCGAGAAGATCACACCTCTCACCTGTTGATGGAGCTAACACTGGGAACAGTGTCATTGTCACAGACACCCTCTGTTAACAGACGGTCCCGGATTTCCCAAGCAAACATGGTAGGGTTCTGCCGCTTGTAATCCCCGATCTTCTCTACCACCTTGGGTGTTGCCACCTTGGGCTTGGAGCCTCCAATCACACCAGGCCGGATGCTGCCAGTTTCATAGTACCTACTCCAATAGACAAAGTAATAAGGTCACCACACCACTGTCAAGAAGAATGCCAGGCATTGCCCAGAGTTCAGCAGCCATTGTCTGAAGTCCAGCTAAAAGCAAGGAGGTGGGCTCTCAAGGAATCTCCCTTTCAAAACATGTTCCTCGCTATTCGAATGACCAAATCCTCTTCCCCTCCCAATCTCTCTTCCTCCCACCGCACACGTTGTGTTGTCTACCTATCCAGGCAGGTACCAGATGTGCTTGGCTCAGATCATAAGAAGTCTCACTGCTCTTAAAAGCCAGCAACACTGGATGCTGCAAACCAAAAACTTGCAGCACTCGAGAAAGGATTGACCAGGACAAACTCCCCTAATACTAGGAGCAGATGGATTCCTGTTAAGATAGGCTAGGAAGCAGCTGATCTTCAGCAGATGGTGCTGGCAGATCTGGCTAGGATGGTTCCTCAGCAAATGAATGCTAAATGCTTTTAGAACTGTAGCTACATGTCAGTATTGCAAGCACCTGGCTATTGTTCTTTTTCAGCAGCCTGTTTGAGGAGGCCGGATGAGGAAGACCTTCTCTTTTACACATGAGTGCCCAATAAGCAAGCAGCCCAGATTTCTATGATCAGACAATGCATCCATCCATGGTCAGGTTCCGTACTGGTTGGGGGCATCCTCTTCTCTAGTCTTTCTCTCAGGCATGCAAGAGCTCTGTCATAAAATTGATATTGTCTATCTGAAAGGGCTTCAAAGATATCAAAGATATAAAGTTCAGATGCCACAAGGTTTGGTACTAAGCAAAGCACACCCTGAAGAATCTCCTCGAGAGGAGAACATGTCACTTTAAAATGCTTATGCTAGAATAATGCAACCAACCCTTTTTGGCTGTGTCTGCAGACTTAGAGGTGAAACCAAGCAGCATATTAACATTGGATATGCCTCTGAAAATAGGTATGGAAAAATCAGGACAGAATCCAGCCCTGTTGCACTTGCCAGACTTCTTTCCTGTGCTCAGCCCTGCCAGGAAGCACACTGAGCTGAGGTCATGGATGCCCAGGAACCCTCTTTCTGCAAATTATGTGATTATTTGCACGAAGTACACAAAGCCTGCAAGTCGCATCAACTCTGTTTACTTAGTGGGCATGTTGGTGGCATGTGTGCAAGCCAACCTCACAGATTTGCTTGGACTTGCTTCCTGTCAGCAAGTGGAGAGAAAGCAACCTGGAATCCCAGGAGCTGAACCGAGGAAATCCAATGAATTCTCATTCCCAGACTGGATGCTTCTCACATTGCTAAATGAGAATCAGGTAACATTGTTTAAGAAGCCAAATACAACTTGTGACCATGTTTGCTGACTACTTCCAACCAACAGGATGTTTTCTGATCCCCCAGCATGGAGCTTCTACCAAAACGGTTGCTGGAAACTCATATTCATTCTCGCCGAAAGAGCCTTTCTTGATGAACCCTCCCAGATCTGATGCTGGATGCTCGGAGCGAAAGAATAACCAAGAAGGGCATCATTCACTGTAGCTCCACCTAGCCCTGCAGGGCCACCTTCATGCTTACCTGCCGAGGATTTTGCTGACACAACCGTGACTGACTCGCAATTGTCGGGAGATGTCACAGGGTCTCACGCCTTGGTGTGCCAGATCCACGATGCGCTGCCGTACCACCTCTGGCAAGGGCCGGCCATTCACAAAGGCCCCACCCAGCTGGTTCAATCCTCCGTGCCCTGCTAAGATACAAGCCAAGTTATCGGTGGGCAAAGGAGTCCTGCATGCTGCTGCTGCACCGATAGAAGCGCCACAGGATTTTTTTGCAGGAACAATGAGTTGCATGGGCGCATGCAGAGGGCCGCATTCCTTAACCTGTGCAGAGAAAACTGCGCTTTTGTATTGCATATTACTAGTTAGCTTAAAGATTCTTCTGGACAGTTCTGCAGATGTTGGAATGCATGGTGAGCATTCAAAAGATAATGAAGAATTGGCAGGCTGTCTCCATGTGCCGTTTAGGATTGCAAGCCTTTTTTTGCTGAATTATGGAACACATTTTTTTAGATGGAGCAGCAAAGAAATTAATTAGTGCTCACCTGAAAGCACTCTTGGCTTTCTCAAGCCTATAATGGGGTATGCATGTTATAGTTTACCGATATAAATGTCTATTATAATGACAAGCCATCCTGATGAACTGGTGTGCTTGGCTTTGATATAGGCCCAGATGTTTATTTTAGCTCAAATAACAAATCTGACTGTGCTGATATAGTTACTGGAAGAATGATGTATCTTGCCTCCTTCTTGGGAGGTCTTCCAGGCTGTTTCTTGACTCATCCTTAGATTTCCTTCCTAACAAAGGAGGGGAACCAGTTCAACCAACAGTCAGACACTCAGCAAACAGGTGCTGGGTAAATTTTTTGAAGCATGCCTTGTGCTGCATTTTACACGTTCAGGAAAGCGTTATAAAGAAACTGGTAGGGGGTGTAGTTCTGGGGGTTCCCTGAAGCCCCGAGTAGTTTGGTGCTCTGCTAGTTCAAGCAAGCAGTATCCATATGCCCTCTCCTTGGCTTGAATTCTTCCCTCGCTTTCATGTAGGAGGTGGAAATTGAGCGGCTGTGAGTGATGGCAGGAAAGGCAGAAACAATGTCATAATTTTCCATACCTGCTTACAGTGAGCCACCATGTTAATGCCCTTCCTCCCAGTTTGGAGAGATCCTTTTATAGCTCATATAGCTTTTTGGTTTTAACCACCCTCAGTAATTCGGTATCATCAGCAAACATTTGCCAGCAAACGGCTCCTATTTCTCACTGGATGGTCCGATCCAGTCACACCCTTCAAGGCAAAGTGACCTTATGGGATTGTTGTGTGAAATGGAGAGGAGGGGGAGCATGATGCACACCACACTGGGCTCCTTCAAGGAAGGGTGGTTGGATCATCCTATGCAGCTTCTCCCAAAATATGCAGTACCTTTAAACAAGAAAGAAAGAAAGAAAGAAAGAAAGAAAGAAAGAAAGAAAGAAA